TGGCAGATAGTTTTCACTGATACAAGTCAACCAGAAGTGTGTGCAGAGGAAGCATTCAATTCTTGGACTCTGGAGATATGGCAGATAGTTTTCACTGAAACAAGTCAACCAGAAGTGTGTGCAGAGGAAGCATTCAATTCTTGGACTCTGGAGATATGGCAGATAGTTTTCACTGACACATGTCAATCAGAAGTGTACAAGCCCCAACCCTGGCCAGGACAGTGCTTACAACTAATTCGCATGTTCTGTGCGAGCTGCCAATCAATGACTGGCCAGCAATCTGTTGTGTAGAAAATACATTGTTTGTATCTAGGCGGGCAATTATTTGTTGTTGTAGTTGTTACGGCTGCTATTATTGATTGTTGTGATCAGCTCCGTCAGATAGGGTTTCCACATTTAACAACACCAGAAACAGGAGACCCTCCAGTTGCCTCCCTGCAGATTAGAAACATGCTCCACTGTGCTGCTTCGTGTAGCGTGTCTGTCATGTATATCATCTTTCACTGACACCAGTGTGTAACTGGTGTGTGAGGAGTAATCTTAAACAAAACATGACACAGGGCAAAGAACGCTTTCACTTCGATCAACCCTGCCCTACTATGGGTTGCAATTTCTTGTTATCTGAAAGTCCCACCCCCCCCCCCCCCCCCCCCCCACCCGGCTGTGGTCTGGGGCCCTAAAATAACCAAACGGTTAAACAGGGTTTCTGGGACTTGTGCACATGGGATACTCATCCGAATGTCGGCAACTTTGTGTCAGCTGGTTTTTACCCCTCGTTGTGCGGTCCTGATGAGCACATGTATCTGATGTTTGTGCTCACTTACGGGACATTTATCTGTTTGAATCTGCTATCTGTACGTTCATAGGGCACATTTATCTGTTTTTAGTGCTTACATACAGCATATTTATGTTTGTGCTCACATACCGCACATATATTTGTTGTCAGTGCTTACCTAAAACACATGTTATCTGCTGTCTGTACCTTCATACAACACATGTTATCTGCTGTCTGTACGTTCATACAACACATGTTATCTGCTGTCTGTACCTTCATACAACACATGTTATCTGCTGCCTGTACCTTCATACAACACATGTATCTGCTGCCTGTACCTTCATACAACACATGTTATCTGCTGCCTGTACCTTCATACAACACATGTTATTTGCTGCCTGTACCTTCATACAACACATGTATCTGCTGCCTGTACCTTCATACAACACATGTTATCTGCTGTCTGTACCTTCATACAACACATGTTATCTGCTGTCTGTACCTTCATACAACACATGTTATCTGCTGTCTGTACCTTCATACAACACATGTTATCTGCTGTCTGTACCTTCATACAACACATGTATCTGCTGTCTGTACCTTCATACAACACATGTATCTGCTGTCTGTACCTTCATACAGCACATGTTATCTGCTGTCTGTACCTTCATACAACACATGTTATCTGTTGTCTGTACCTTCATACAACACATGTTATCTGCTGTCTGTACCTTCATACAACACATGTTATCTGCTGTCTGTACCTTCATACAACACATGTTATCTGCTGTCTGTACCTTCATACAGCACATGTTATCTGCTGCCTGTACCTTCATACAACACATGTATCTGCTGTCTGTACAATCATACAGAACATTTATCTGCTGTCTGTACCTTCATACAACACATGTTATCTGCTGCCTGTACCTTCATACAACACATGTTATCTGATGTCTGTACCTTCATACAACACATGTTATCTGCTGTCTGTACCTTCATACAACACATGTATCTGCTGTCTGTACCTTCATACAGCACATGTATCTGCTGTCTGTACCTTCATACAGCACATGTATCTGCTGTCTGTACCTTCATACAGCACATTTATGTTTGTGCTCATATAACACATATTTATCTGTTGTTAGTGCTTACATGCAGCACATTTATCTGATGTTAGTGCTTACATGCAGCACATTTATCTGCTGTTAGTGCTTACATGCAGCACATTTCTGTTTGTGCTCATATAACACATATTTATCTGTTGTTAGTGCTTACATGCAGCACATTTATGTGTTGTTAGTGCTTACATGCAGCACATTTGTGTTGTTAGTGCTTACATGCAGCACATTTATCAGTTGTTAGTGCTTACATGCAGCACATTTATATCTTGTTAGTGCCTACATACAGCACATTCATCTGTTGTTAGTGCTTACATGCAGCACATTTTTCTGTTTTTAGTGCTTACATGCAGCACATTTATCTGTTGTTATTGCTTACATGCAGCACATATATTTGTTGTTAGTGCTTACATGCAGCACATTTATCTGTTGTTAGTGCTTACATGCAGCACATTTATCTGCTGTTAGTGCTTACATGCAGCACATTTGTATCTTGTTAGTGCCTACACACAGCACATTTATCTGTTGTTATTGCTTACATGCAGCACATATATTTGTTGTTAGTGCTTACATGCAGCACATTTATCTGTTGTTAGTGCTTACATGCAGCACATTTATCTGCTGTTAGTGCTTACATGCAGCACATTTATCTGTTGCTAGTGCTTACATGCAGCACATTTATCTGCTGTTAGTGCTTACATGCAGCACATTTGTATCTTGTTAGTGCCTACATACAGCACATTTATATGTTGTTAGTGCTTACATGCAGCACATTTATGTGTTGTTAGTGCTTACATGCAGCACATTTATGTGTTGTTAGTGCTTACATGCAGCACATTTATCAGTTGTTAGTGCTTACATGCAGCACAGTTATATCTTGTTAGTGCCTACATACAGCACATTTATCTGTTGTTAGTGCTTACATGCAGAACATTTATCTGTTGTTAGCGCTTACATGCAGCACATTTATCTGTTGTTATTGCTTACATGCAGCACATATATTTGTTGTTAGTGCTTACATGCAGCACATTTATCTGTTGTTATTGCTTACATACAGCACATATATTTGTTGTTAGTGCTTACATGCAGCACATTTATCTGTTGTTATTGCTTACATACAGCACATATATTTGTTGTAAGTGCTTACATACAGCACATTTATCTGTTATTATTGCTTACATACAGCACATATATTTGTTGTTAGTGCTTACATGCAGCACATTTATCTGTTGTTAGTGCTTACATGCAGCACATTTATCTGTTGTTAGTGCTTACATGCAGCACATTTATCTATTGTTAGTGCTTACATGCAGTACATTTATCTGATGAATGCTTACAGGCTGAATGTTTATGTGTGTGCCCCCTTTTTCACGCAGCATGTTTATCTGTGATGACTGTACATCTTCATCATGAGCTGTGTTTTATCTCTTGTTTTATCACAACTGGAGTGTAATGATAGTAGTTAATATCATGAACTCCAATGAGCAACACAAACAGCACAATAAATGACTGTAGCCTCAGCAAGCAACACTAACAGCACAATCAATGACTAACTCCAACAAGCAACACTGACAGCACAATCAGTTACTGTAGCTTCAACAAGCAACACTGACAGCACAAACAATGACTGTAGCTCCAACAAGCAACACTGATATCACAATCAAGACTGTAACTCCAACAAGGAACACTGATATCACAATCAAGACTGTAACTCCAAAAAGCAGCACTGATATCACAATCAAGACTGTAACTCCAACAAGCAACACTGATATCACAATCAAGACTGTAACTCCAACAAGCAACACTGATATCACAATCAAGACTGTAACTCCAACAAGCAACACTGATATCACAATCAAGACTTATCTCCAACAAGCAACACTGATATCACAATCAAGTCTGTAACTCCAACAAGCAACACTAATATCACAATCAAGACTGCAACTCCAACAAGCAACACTGATATCACAATCAAGTCTGTAACTCCAACAAGCAACACTAATATCACAATCAAGACTGTAACTCCAACAAGCAACACTGATATCACAATGAAGACTGTAACTCCAACAAGCAACACTGATATCACAATCAAGACTGCAACTCCAACAAGCAACACTGACAGCACAATCAATGACTGTAGCTCCAACAAGCAACACTAACAGCACAATCAATGACTGTAGCTCCAACAACCAACACTAACAGCACAATCAATGACTGTAGCTCCAACAACCAACACTAACAGCACAATCAATGACTGTAGCTCCAACAACCAACACTAACAGCACAATCAATAACTGTAGCTCCAACAACCAACACTAACAGCACAATCAATGACTGTAGCTCCAACAAGCAAAACTGACAGCACAATCAATGACTGTAGCTCCAACAACCAACACTAACAGCACAATCAATGACTGTAGCTCCAACAAGCAACACTGACAGCACAATCAATGACTGTAGCTCCAACAAGCAACACTGACAGCACAATCAATGACTGTAGCTCCAACAACCAACACTAACAGCACAATCAATGACTGTAGCTCCAACAACCAACACTAACAGCACAATCAATGACTGTAGCTCCAACAACCAACACTAACAGCACAATCAATGACTGTAGCTCCAACAACCAACACTAACAGCACAATCAATGACTGTAGCTCCAACAACCAACACTAACAGCACAATCAATGACTGTAGCTCTAACAACCAACACTAACAGCACAATCAATGACTGTAGCTCCAACAAGCAACACTGACAGCACAATCAATGACTGTAGCTCCAACAAGATATGTGTGCTAATGAAAAAAGATTTATTAAAACCATTCACTGTAGAAATGATACAACAACACAGATCAAATAGAAACAGAGGAATCATTAAGCTTGAACACAGTAACTACACAAAAATCAACTGAGGGTGAACCCTTGAGTGCTTTTTTTTTTTACTTCTTTCTTATCCCAAGCAATACACTGTCTGTATATTATATAACAACTCTAAAGCAGGGCCAGTTTTGGTGGATTTGAACATGGAAACCACACACAACATTCTTACATTTCCTGCTCACAGATGCTTTCACGTACAACTCTAACAGATTCACTCAAATTTTCATACACACACAGGTACACCTGAGCCACCACATGATGTCTCCATGTACTCACAAGGTAGACCTGAGCCCCCACAGGATGTCTCCATGTACACACAAGGTACACCCGAGCCCCCACAGGATGTCTCCATGTACACACAGGTACACCTGAGCTCCCACAGGATGTCTCCATGCACACACAGGTACACCCAAGCTCCCACAGGATGTCTCCATGTACACACAGGTACACCCGAGACCCCCACAGGATGTCTCCATGTACACACAGGTACACCTGAGCCCCCACAGGATGTCTCCATGTACACACAGGTACACCCGAGCTCCCACAGGATGTCTCCATGCACACACAGGTACACCCAAGCTCCCACAGGATGTCTCCATATACACACAGGTACACCCGAGCTCCCACAGGATGTCTCCATGTACACACAGATCTTCTCCTGTGTGAAACGCATCCTTTCTTAGAACCTCTTTACTTTATCTGTCAATTGGTATTAACTCACACAGACACACTTATCAGATATGTTCTACAAGAGATATATTCTGTCTATGTGTTAACAGATCCTGCTTAACTCTTTGAGTCCCAGAGGGCTTAGCATCACAGGCCCAAGGGGTAGTCAAGAGAGTCGAAAAATCGGCGCATCATGCGTTCATTGGGCCTCTAGGTAGGAATCTATGAATGTATGATGCGTTCCTTGGGACTCAAAGAGTTAAAAATGTCAGACTAGAGATCACGTTTAGTCACCACCCAGACATGGGTCACTACACACCCATCAAACATGGGTCACTTCACACCCATCAGACATGGTTTTACATGGATTTTCACAAAAAAGTAATAACTGTGTCCAGTCACCGCCAAGACATGGGTGCATAAGTCAAAATATTGATGAGGCATCAGTGTCTGGCTCCCCTTTCACCATTAGAGAGGCCAGAGACAATGACAGCAAACAGAGACAATCAACTAAACACTTGGAAACTGACAGTACTGACAGCCATCAACATGGCTGGAGTCACAACAACTAGCCACCACTTGTCCCCCCCCCCCCCCAATGGTTGGTGAGTCAGTATGTTAGTGAATGTGTTTACACAGAATTCAACATGACAGCTGCTACAACATAACATGACCAGGGAACCCCAAACCCCCCAAAAAACCAGGACTCATACAAAAACAGGTTCAGAGACCCAGTTGGAGCCTACAGCAGATGGCCCCGTTGCTGTACACAGACCAAAGTCTGTACCACCTTGTCGCCTGCTAGTATTCTGCCCCTCTACCACGATCGCTACCGGCCCAAAATCCTCGTCCTGGTGCATCAGTTCTGTTGTTGAATTCTCCTTTATCTCCAAACAAACCTGCACTGCCTCTCCCAAACCCACCTCCACCTCTTCCATTATCAAACCCCTCACTTCCACCAGCTTCTTGTCTAAACCCACCTCTTCCACTGCCAAAACCACTTCTTCCACCTCCAAATCCACCACTTCCACCTCCAAATCCACCACTTCCACCTTCAAATCCACTTTCTTGTCCAAACCCACTCCTTACACCACCAAATCCACCACCTTCTTGTCCAAGTACACCTCTTCCACTACCAAATCCACCTCTTCCACCGCCAAATCCACCACTTTCTCTTCCACTGCCAAATCCACCACTTTCTCTTCCAAATCGTGAACTGTTCTCTCTCCCAAATCCACTACTTCCTCCACCAAATCCACCACCTCTGCCCCCAAACCTGCCTCCACCTCTGCCTCCAAATCCACCACCTCCGTATGAATTGCCAGGGAAGCCACCATCACGATATCCAGGCCGTGATCGAAAGTCCATGCGTGGCATCTTGGATGCAGGACCCCTGGTGAAGTTTCCACTGAAACACAAATCACAGAATATATTGATTACACAAGGAATACATACAGGAAATATTTATTACACAGGAGACAAAAACAGGAAATATTTATTACACAGGGGACAAATGCAGGAAATATTTATTACACAGGAGACAAAAACAGGAAATATTCATTACACAGGGGACAAAAACAGGAAATATTTATTACATAGGTGACAAATGCAGGAAATATTTATTACACAGGGGACAAAAGCAAGAAATATTTATTACACAGGGGACAAAAGCAGGAAATATTTATTACACAGGGGACAAAGGCAGGAAATATATATATTTCCTGGGGAAAAAACAGGCAACATTTATTACACAGGGGACAAATGCAGGCAATATTTATTACACAGGGGACAAATGCAGGAAATATTTATTACACAGGGGACAAAAACAGGAAATATTTATTACACAGGGGACAAATGCAGGGAATATTTATTACACAGGGGACAAATACTGGAAATATTTATTACACAAGAGACAAAAACAGGAAATATTTATTACACAGGAGACACAAACAGGAAATATTTATTACACAGGGGACCGAAACAGGAAATATTTATTACACAGGGGACAAAAGCAGGAAATGTTTATTACACAGGGGACAAATACAGGAAATATTTATTACACAGGGGACAAAAGCAGGAAATATTTATTACACAGGGGACAAAAGCAGGAAATATTTATTACACAGGGGACAAATACAGGAAATATTTATTACACAGGGGACAAAATCAGGAAATATTTTTTTGCACAGGAGAAAAAAACAGGAAATATTTATTACACAGGAGAAAAAAACAGGAAATATTTATTACACAGGAGACAAAAATAGGAATTATTTATTACACAGGGGACAAAAGCAGGAATTATTTATTACACAGGGGACAAAAGCAGGAAATATTTATTACACAGGAGACAAAAATAGGAAATATTTTTTACACAGGAGACAAAAATAGGAAATATTTATTACACATGAAGTAAATACAAGAAATATTTATTACACAGGAGACAAAAAATAGGAAATATTTATTACACATGAAGTAAATACAAGAAATATTTATTACACAGGAGACAAAAATAGGAAATATTTATTACACAGGAAGGAAATACAAGAAATATTTATTACACGGGAGACAAAAATAGGAAATATTTATTACACAGGGGATAAAAATAGGAAATATTTATTACACAGGAGACAAAAATAGGAAATATTTATTACACAGGAGACAAAAATAGGAAATATTTATTACACAGGAGACAAAAAAATGAAATATTTATTACACAGGAGACAAAATAGGAAATATTTATTACACAGGAGACAAAAGCAGGAAATATTTATTACACAGGAGACAAAAATAGGAAATATTTATTACACAGGAGACAAAAATAGGAAATATTTATTACACAGGAGACAAAAATAGGAAATATTTATTACACAGGAGACAAAAATAGGAAATATTTATTACACAGGGGACAAATGCAGGAAATATTTATTACACATGAGACAAAAATAGGAAATATTTATTACACAGGAGACAAAAATAGGAAATATTTATTACACAGGAGACAAAAATAGGAAATATTTATTACACAGGGGACAAAAATAGGAAATATTTATTACACAGGGGACAAAAGCAGGAAATATTTATTACACAGGGGACAAAAGCAGGAAATATTTATTACACAGGGGACAAAAACAGGAAATATTTATTACACAGAGGACAAAAACAGGAAATTATTACACAGGAGACAAAAACAGGAAATATTTATTACACAGGAGACAAAAACAGGAAATATTTATTACACAGGAGACAAAAACAGGAAATATTTATTACACAGGAGACAAAAATAGGAAATATTTTTTACACAGGAGACAAAAACAGGAAATATTTATTACACAGGAGACAAAAACAGGAAATATTTATTACACAGGAGACAAAAACAGGAAATATTTATTACACAGGAGACAAAAACAGGAAATATTACACAGGTGGAGCCTGCAGCTGCTGGGTCCTGCTGCAGCCACATCTGGATAATGGCCACACAAACACAGAGACATACACGCACGGCGACCAGTGAGAAGAGACTGACCTGTTCTGGGAAAGCCCATGCCGGGCAGCCTGAAGCCTGGACAGAGATCTGACCAGGGCCATTAGCGGCTCCTCCTGGCTGCTAGGAGTGGCTATCTGTTCTGGACTTTTGGTGGCCCTAACAATGATGGCCTCCATTGGAGATCTCAGGGTCACAATCTTGGCTGCCTGCAGGGGGTCCATCTTCAGCTCAATCCTACAAGCGTATGCCCAACATTAGAACATTTACTAAATGTGTATGCCCAACATTAGAACATTTACTACAAGCGTATGCAAAACATTAGAACATTTACTACTAGTGTATGCCCAACATTAGAACATTTACTACAAGCGAATGCCCAATATTAGAACATTTACTACAAGTGTATGCCCAACATTAGAACATTTACTACAAGTGTATGCCTAACATTAGAACATTTACTACAAGTGTATGCCCAACATTAGAACATTTACTACAAGCGTATGCAAAACATTAGAACATTTACTACAAGTGTATGCCCAACATTAGAACATTTACTACTAGTGTATGCCCAACATTAGAACATTTACTACAAGTGTATGCCCAACATTAGAGCATTTACTACAAGTGTATGCCCAACATTAGAACATTAACTACAAGTGTTTGCCTAACATTAGAACATTTACTACAAGTGTATGCCCAACATTAGAACATTTACTACAAGTGTATGCCCAACACTAGAACATTTACTACAAGCGTATGCCCAACATTAGAACATTACTACAAGCGTATGCCCAACATTAGAACATTTACTACAAGTGTATGCCCAACATAAAAGCATTTACTACAAGTGTATGCCCAACATTAGAACATTTACTACAAGTGTATGCCCAACATTGGAACATTTACTACAAGTGTATGCCCAACATTAGAACATTTACTACAAGTGTATGCCAAACATTAGAACATTTACTACTAGTGTATGCCCAACATTAGAACACTTACTACAAGTGTATCCCCAACATTAGAGCATTTACTACAAGTGTGTCCCCAACATTAGAGCATTTACTACAAGTGTATGCCCAACATTAGAGCATTTACTACAAGTGTATGCCCAACATTAGAACATTTACTACAAGTGTATGCCCAACATTAGAACATTTACTACAAGTGTATGCCCAACATTAGAACATTTACTACAAGTGTATGCCCAACATTAGAACATTTACTACAAGTGTATGCCTAACATTAGAACATTTACTACAAGTGTATGCCCAACATTAGAACATTTACTACAAGTGTATGCCCAACATAAAAGCATTTACTACAAGTGTATGCCCAACATTAGAACATTTACTACAAGTGTATGCCCAACATTGGAACATTTACTACAAGTGTATGCCCAACATTAGAACATTTACTACAAGTGTATGCCAAACATTAGAACATTTACTACTAGTGTATGCCCAACATTAGAACACTTACTACAAGTGTATCCCCAACATTAGAGCATTTACTACAAGTGTGTCCCCAACATTAGAGCATTTACTACAAGTGTATGCCCAACATTAGAGCATTTACTACAAGTGTATGCCCAACATTAGAACATTTACTACAAGTGTATGCCCAACATTAGAACATTTACTACAAGTGTATGCCCAACATTAGAACATTTACTACAAGTGTATGCCCAACATTAGAACATTTACTACAAGTGTATGCCTAACATTAGAACATTTACTACAAGTGTATGCCCAACATTAGAACATTTACTACAAGTGTATGCCTAACATTAGAACATTTACTACAAGTGTATGACCAACATTAGAGCATTTACTACAAGTGTATGCCTAACATTAGAACATTTACTACAAGTGTATGCCCACCATTAGAACATTTACTTAAAGTAAATGCCCAACATTAGAACATTTACTACAAGTGAATGCCCAACATTATAACATTTACTATATGTGTATGCCTAACATTAGAACATTTACTTAAAGTACATGCCCAGCTTTATTACAATCCTAAAAATTCTTTTACTGTCTGTGCCTCCTCCAACATTTACTTCAATCTTATCATGTCTGCTATTGTCTTTATCCTTGCTCCAACATTTACTACAATCCTACCATATCTTCTATGGTCTATGCCCCTCCTCCAACCTTCACTATAATCCTACCATATCTTCTATGGTCTATGTCCCTCCTCCAACATTTACTGCAATCCTACCATATCTTCTATGGTCTATGTCCCTCCTCCAACCTTCACTATAATCCTACCATATCTTCTATGGTCTATGCCCCTCCTCCAACCTTCACTATAATCCTACCATATCTTCTATGGTCTATGCCCGTACTCCAACATTTACTACACTCCTACCATATCTTATATGGTCTATGCCCCTCCTCCAACATTTACTACACTCCTACCATATCTTCTATGGTCTATGCCCCTCCTCCAACATTTACTACACTCCTACCATATCTTCTATGGTCTATGCCCTCCTCCAACATTTACTACACTCCTACCATATCTTCTATGGTCTATGTCCCTCCTCCAACATTTACTACACTCCTACCATATCTTCTATGGTATATGCCCGTACTCCAACATTTACTACACTCCTACCATATCTTCTATGGTCTATGCCCGTACTCCAACATTTACTACACTCCTACCATATCTTCTATGGTCTATGCCCGTACTCCAACATTTACTACACTCCTACCATATCTTCTATGGTCTATGCCCGTACTCCAACATTTACTACACTCCTACCATATCTTCTATGGTCTATGCCCCTCCTCCAACATTTACTACACTCCTACAATATCTTCTATGGTCTATGTCCCTCCTCCAACATTTACTACACTCCTACCATATCTTCCATTGTCTATGTCCCTCCTCCAACATTTACTACACTCCTACAATATCTTCTATGGTCTATGCCCGTCTTCCAACATTTACTACACTCCTACCATATCTTATATAGTCTATGTCCCTCCTCCAACATTTACTACACTCCTACCATATCTATGGTCTATGTAGCTCCTCCAACCTTTACTATAAGGGCACCAGACTGATGTCTAATCTGTACATGACTGACAAGAAACAGACGATGAGACTTGCCCAGAAGAGAATTCAACATGTGGATGAAGCAGATCAGCTACCTACTGTACTGTGTGCTCATATCCTTGTTGTAGGGAACATACGGCAGGGACACAGCAACTGTGACATCCATCAAACTAAAGCTGGTTGAGCATTATAACATCTTAACCTTTACTGGCTGAACATGACCAAATCTCATCTCAGAAGTACAAACACAAGCACAGCCTTACCAGTTGTCCAGGACCACATAATCTCCCTGCACCACCACTGTTCGAGCCCCAAAGAGAAGTAGCTGGACAGCGGACACATTGGTCATCTGTTTGCAGGAAACAGCTCTGGTGCGGATCTGAAAACCAGACAATCATAGAGTAATTCAGCCATGTTGTAGTTATATCGCTGTATCATCTTATGAAATTATTAGTTCCTCAATGGTAAAAACCAGTGTATCATCTGTAGACATTAGTTCCTCAATGATATAACACTGTGTATAATCTTTAGACATTCATTCTTGAATCTTCAATGGCATACAACCAGTGTTTCATCTCTAGACAATAGTTCTTGAATCTTCAATGGTATACAACCAGTGTTTCATCTCTAGACAATAGTTCTTGAATCTTCAATGGTATACAACCAGTGTTTCATCTCTAGACAATAGTTCTTGAATCTTCAATTGGATACAACCAGTGTTTCATCTCTAGACAATAGTTCTTGAATCTTCAATGGTATACAACCAGTGTTTCATCTCTAGACAATAGTTCTTAAATCTTCAATGGTATACAACCAGTGTTTCATCTCTAGACAATAGTTCTTAAATCTTCAATGGTATACAACCAGTGTTTCATCTCTAGACATTAGTTCTTCACATTTCACTGGCTTACAACCAGTGTAAAATTTTGCAGACATTAGTTCCTCAATAGTACACAACTAGTGTATCATCTCCAGACATCAGTTCCTCAATTGTATAGAACCATAGTATCATCTCTAATCATTAGTTCCACAATAATAAACAACTAGTATACCTTCTCTAGACATTAGTTCTTCAATCTTCAGTGATAAACAATTAGTGTATCTTCTCCAGAACCCAATGGTACATAACCAGTGTATCATCTCTAGACATTTACTGTTCAATGGTATACAACGAGTGTATCATCTCTAAATATTTATTTTTAAACGGTATAAAACCAGTGTATCATCTCTAGATATTTATTGTTAAAGGGCATACAACCAATGTATCATCTCTAGATATTTACTGTTCAATGATAAACAGTGTATCATCTCTAGTCATCAGTCCCTCAATGGTATACAACTGGTATATCTTTTCTAGACATTAGTTCTTCAATGATAAACAAACAGTGTATCATCTCCAGACATTACTTCCTCAGTGGTAAACATCCAGAGTATCATTTCCAGACATTAGTTTCTCAATAGTATACAAACAGTTTATCATCTCTGGACATTAGTATTTCAATCTTCAACGCTAGATAAATGTGAGCAAACAACGAGAAAGTTAAACAAACATAAGCAAATGATGAGAAAGTGTAGCAAATATGGGCAAACAATGAGAAAGTTAAATAAATATGAGTAAACAATGAGAAAGTGAAGCAAATATGAAAAAAAAAATGCAAAAAGAATATGAAGAAAATACTAAACAAACTAGAGAAAGTTGAAGACATTTGAACAAATCACAGGAGGAAGTTAAAGACACATGATCAAAACACAGGAAGAAGTTAAAGACACATGAACAAAACACAGGAAGAAATTAAAGACACATGAACAAAACACAGGAGAAAGTTGAAGACACATGAACAAAAAACAGGAAGAAGTTAAAGACACATGAACAAAACACAGGAGGAAGTTAAAGACACATGAACAAAACACAGGAGGAAGTTGAAGACACATGAACAAAACATAGGAGGAAGTTGAAGACACATGAACAAAACACAGGAAGAAGTTAAAGACACATGAACAAAACACAGGAGGAAGTTGAAGACACATGAACAAAACACAGGAGGAAGTTGAAGACATTTGAACAAAACACAGGAGAAAGTTGAAGACACATGAACAAAACACAGGAGGAAGTTGAAGACACATGAACAAAACACAGGAGGAAGTTGAAGACACATAAACAAAACACAGGAGGAAGTTGAAGACACGTGAACAAAACACTGGAGGAAGTTGAAGACACGTGAACAAAACACAGGAGGAAGTTGAAGACACGTGAACAAAACACAGAAGAAGTTGAAGACGCATGAACAAAACACAGAAGAAGTAGAAGACACATGAACAAAACACAGGAGGAAGTTGAAGACACATGAACAAAACACAGGAGGAAGTTGAAGACACGTGAAAAAAACACAGAAGTAGTTGAAGACACATGAACAAAACACAGAAGAAGTAGAAGACACATGAACAAAACACAGGAGGAAGTTGAAGACATTTGAACAAAACACAGGAGGAAGTTGAAGACACATGAACAAAACACAGGAGGATTGATGACACATGAACAAAACACAGGAGGAAGTTGAAGACATTTGAACAAAACACAGGAGGAAGTTGAAGACACATGAATAAAACACAGGAGAAAGTTGAAGACACATGAACAAAACACAGGAGGAAGTTGAAGACACATGAACAAAACACAGGAGGAAGTTGATGACACATGAACAAAACACAGGAGGAAGTTGAAGACATTTGAACAAAACACAGGAGGAAGTTGAAGACACATGAATAAAACACAGGAGAAAGTTGAAGACACATGAACAAAACACAGGAGAAAGTTGAAGACACATGAACAAAACACAGGAGAAAGTTGAAGACACATTAACAAAAAACAGGAGAAAGTTGAAGACACATGAACAAAACACAGGAGAAAGTTGAAGAGGCATGAACAAAACACAGGAGGAAGTTGAAGACACATGAACAAATCACAGGAGGAAGTTGAAGACATGTGAACAAAACATAGGAGGAAGTAGAAGACACATGAACAAATCACAGGAAGAAGTTGTAGACACATGTTAATAAAACACAGGAGAAAGTTGAAGATGAACAACAAACCTTCTCTCCAAATATGAAGAATGGAGATGGGAACTCTACAGCAAAATTGTTGCAGTTGACAGAGGACTTGTGCACCAAGGCAACCTTGCATTCCTGTGTCAGCACTTTCCTCTTCTCCTTGTGGTAGCAGACGTTTGGGTAGAGGCCAATACACAGCAGCGAAATGGCCTGTTGGAGAGAAAACAAGGGTCACACTGTCATACACAAGCTGAGCAGTCATTTTACTATTAAATACTTAAATAGTCCCAGCATACACACACACACACAGATCAAGCAGTCATTCAACTCTAGAGTTCCAGCATACACACACACACACACACACACACAGATCAAGAAATCAATCAACTCTAGAGACCCAGTATATATATACACACACACACACACACACACACACACACACACACACACACACACACACACACACACACACACACACACACACACACACACACACAGATCAAGCAGTCATTCAACTCTAGAGTCCCAGCATACACACACACACACAGATCAAGCAGTCATTCAACTCTAGAGTCCCAGCATACACACACACACACACAAACACAGATCAAGCAGTCATTCAACTCTAGAGTCCCAGCATACACACACACACACACAGATCAAGAAATCATTCAACTCTAGAGTCCCAGCATACACACACACACACACACAGATCAAGCAGTCATTCAACTCTAGAGTCCCAGCATACACACACACACACAGATCAAGCAGTCATTCAACTCTAGAGTCCCAGCATACACACACAGATCAAGCAGTCATTCAACTCTAGAGTCCCAACATACACACACACACACACAGATCAAGTAGTCATTCAACTCTAGAGTCCCAGCATATATATATACACACACACACATAGATCAAGTAGTCATTCAACTCTGGAGTCCCAGCATACACACACATAGGAGACATTTAAATTTAGGGACATAGCATATACTTAACTTTATATTTTAAATTCTAATATCCAGTTAGTACTGTTGTATGGAGCGGAAAAAATGGAGAACTAGGGCAATTACTAACAACATCTGTATATACAGGGACCCAGAGTTGAGAACGACATCTGTATATAGAGACCCAGAGTTGAGAACAACATCTGTATATATAGGGACCTAGAGTTGAGAACAACATCTGTATATATAGAGACCCAGAGTTAAGAACAACATCTGTATATATAGGGACCCAGAGTTGAGAACAACATCTGTATATCTGGGGACCTAGAGTTGAGAACGACATCTGTATATATAGGGACCTAGAGTTGAGAACGACATCTGTATATACAGGGACCTAGAGTTGAGAACGACATCTGTATATCTGGGGACCCAGAGTTGAGAACGACATCTGTATATAGAGACCCAGAGTTGAGAACAACATCTGTATATATAGAGACCCAGAGTTGAGAACAACATCTGTATATACAGGGACCCAGAGTTGAGAACAACATCTGTATATCTGGGGACCTAGAGTTGAGAACAACATCTGTATATATAGGGACCTAGAGTTGAGAACGACATCTGTATATACAGGGACCTAGAGTTGAGAACGACATCTGTGTATACAGGGACCCAGAGTTGAGAACGACATCTGTATATAGAGACCCAGAGTTGAGAACAACATCTGTATATATAGGGACCCAGAGTTGAGAACAACATCTGTATATCTGGGGACCTAGAGTTGAGAACAAGATCTGTATATATAGGGACCTAGAGTTAAAAACAACATCTGTATATATATATGGACCTAGAGTTGAGAACATCTGTATATATAGGGACCTAGAGTTGAGAACAACATCTGTATATATAGGGACCTAGAGTTGAGAACAGCATCTGTATATATAGGGACCGAGAGTTGAGAACAACATCCGTATATATAGGGACCTAGAGTTGAGAACATCTGTAAATAGAGACCTAGAGTTGAGAACAACATCTGTATATATAGGGACCTAGAGTTGAGAAGAACATCTGTATATAGAGACCTAGAGTTGAGAACAAGATCTGTATATAGAGACCTAGAGTTGGGAACAACATCTGTATATATAAGGACCTAGTGTTGAGAACAACATTTGTAAATAGAGACCTAGAGTTGAGAACAACATTTGTATATATAGGGACCTAGAGTTGAGAACAACATCTGTAAATAGAGACCTAGAGTTGAGAACAAAATCTGTATATATAGAGACCTAGAGTTGAGAACAACATCTGTATATAGAGACCTAGAGTTGAGAACAACATCTGTATATAGAGACCTAGAGTTGAGAACATCTGCATATATATATAGACCAAGAGTTGAGAACAATATCTGTATATTTGGGAGCCAGGACATTGATAGTAGTGTATGTTGTAAACTCACAGTATCCAGATATTGATAGAAGTGTATATTGTCTACTAACAGTATCCAGACAATGATAGTAGTGTATGTTGTCCACTCACAGTATCCAGATATTGATAGAAGTGTATATTGTCTACTCACAGTATCCAGACAATGATAGTAGTGTATGTTGTCCACTCACAGTATCCAGATATTGATAGAAGTGTATATTGTCTACTCACAGTATCCAGACAATGATAGTAGTGTATGTTGTCCACTCACAGTATCCAGATATTGATAGAAGTGTATGTTGTCTACTCACAGTATCCAGACAATGATAGTAGTGTATGTTGTCCACTCACAGTATCCAGATATTGATAGTAGTGTATGTTGTCTACTCACAGTATCCAGATATTGATAGAAGTGTATGTTGTCTACTCACAGTATCAAGACATTGATAGAAGCGTATGTTGTCTGTTCACAGTATCCAGACATTGATAGAAGCGTATGTTGTCTACTCACAGTATCCAGACATTGATGGAAGTGTATGTTGTCTACTCACAGTATCTAGACAATGATAGTAGTGTATGTTGTCTACTTACAGTATCTAGAAAATGATAGTAGCGTATGTTGTCTACTCACAGTATCCAGACATTGATAGAAGCGTATGCTGTCCACTCACAGTATCAAGACATTGATAGAAGTGTATGTTGTCTACTCACAGTAACCAGACATCGATAGAAGTGTATGTTGTCTACTCACAGTATCCAGACATTGATAGAAGCGTATGTTGTCTACTCACAGTATCCAGACATTGATAGAAGCGTATGCTGTCCACTCACAGTATTCAGACAATGATAGTAGTATGTTGTCCACTCACAGTATTCAGACATCGATAAAAGTGTATGTCGTCTACTCACAGTATCCAGACATTTAAAGAATTGTATGTTGTCTACTCACAGTATCCAGACAATAATGGAAGTGTATGTTGTTTACTCACAGTATCTAGACATTGATAGAAGCGTATGTTGTCTACTCACAGTATTCAGACAATGATACAAGTGTATGTTGGTCTACTCACAGTATCCAGACAATGATAGAAGTGTATGTTGGTCTACTCACAGTATCCAGACAATGATAGAAGTGTATGTTGTCTACTCAAAGTATCCAGACAATGATAGAAGTGTATGTTGTCTACTCACAGTATCCAGACAATGATAGAAGTGTATGTTGTCTACTCACAGTATCCAAACAATGATAGAAGTGTATGTTGTCTACTCACAGTATCCAGACAATGATAGAAGTGTATGTTGTCTACTCACAGTATCCAGACAATAATAGAAGTGTATGTTGTCTACTCACAGTGTCCAGACAATGATAGAAGTGTATGTTGTCAACTCACAGTATCCAGACATTGATAGAAGTGTATGTTGTCTACTCACAGTATCCAGACATTGATAAAAGCGTATGTTAGTCTACTAACAGTATCCAAACATTGATAGAAGTGTATGTTGTCTACTCACAGTATCCAGACATTGATAGAAGTGTATGTTGGTCTACTCACAGTATCCAGACAATAACAGAAGTGTATGCTGGTCTACTCACAGTATCCAGACATTGATAGAATTGTATGTTGTCTACTCACAGTATCCAGACATTGATAGAATTGTATGTTGTCTACTCACAGTATCCAGACATTGATAGAAGCGTATGTTGGTCTACTTACAGTATCCAAACATTGATAGAAGTGTATGTTGTCTACTCACAGTATCCAGACATTGATAGAAATGTATGTTGGTCTACTCACAGTATCCAGACATTGATAGAAGTGTATGTGGTCTACTCACAGTATCCAGACATTGATAGAAGTGTATGTTGGTCTACTCACAGTATCCAGAGATTGATAGAAGTGTATGTTGTCTACTCACAGTATCCAGACAATGATAGAAGTGTGTGTTGGTCTACTCACAGTATCCAGACATTGATAGAATTGTATGTTGTCTACTCACAGTATCCAGACATTGATAGAATTGTATGTTATCTACTCACAGTATCCAGACAATGATAGAAGTGTATGTTGGTCTACTTACAGTATCCAGACATTGATATAATTGTATGGTGTCTACTCACAGTATCCAGTCTGTTGTCAGGTCCAGTAAAGTTGAATGACTGTGGCAGAAGGCTCTCCTCAGGGAAGCCAGTCATCAGAAGGATGTCTCTCAGCTGGTTCTGTAAAACACAGACAATAGACAGTGAGAGACAGACTAGACTGACAGATACACCATGTTGTACACTCACACTAGACACTGACAGACACAAGATGTAGTTCACTCACATTAGATACTGACAGACACAAGATGTAGTTCACTCACATTAGACACTGACAGACACAAGATGTAATTCACTCATACTAGACACTGACAGACACAAGATGTAGCTCACTCCACTAGACACTGACAGACACAAGATGTAGTTCACTCACATTAGATACTGACAGACACAAGATGTAATTCACTCATACTAGACACTGACAGACACAAGATGTAGTTCACTCACATTAGATACTGACAGACACAAGATGTAATTCACTCATACTAGACACTGACAGACACAAGATGTAGTTCACTCCACTAGACACTGACAGACACAAGATGTAGTTCACTCACATTAGATACTGACAGACACAAGATGTAATTCACTCATACTAGACACTGACAGACACAAGATGTAGTTCACTCCACTAGACACTGACAGACAAAAGATGTAGTTCACTCATACTAGACACTGACAGACACAAGATGTAGTTCACTCATTCTAGACACTGACAGACACAAGATGTAGTTCACTCACATTAGATACTGACAGACACAAGATGTAGTTCACTCACACAAGACATTGACAGTCACAAGATGTAGTTCACTCCACTAGACACTGACAGACACAAGATGTAATTCACTCATACTAGACACTGACAGACACAAGATGTAGTTCACTCACATTAGATACTGACAGACACAAGATGTAGTTCACTCATACTAGACACTGACAGACACAAGATGTAGTTCACTCACATTAGATACTGACAGACACAAGATGTAGTTCACTCATACTAGACACTGACAGACACAAGATGTAGTTCACTCACATTAGATACTGACAGATACAAGATGCAGTTCGCTCACACTAGATACTGACAGAAACAAGATGTAGTTCACTCACACTAGACACTGACAGACACAAGATATAGTTCACTCATACTAGACACTGACAGACACAAGATGTAGTTCACTCATACTAGATACTGACAGACACAAGATGTAGTTCACTCATACTAGACACTGACAAACACAAGATGTAGTTCACTCACACTAGACACTGACAGACACAAGATATAGTTCACTCACACTAGACATTGACAGACACAAGATGTAGTTCACTCACACTAGACATTGACAGACACAAGATGTAGTTCACTCACACTAGACATTGACAGTCACAAGATGTAGTTCACTCACACTAGACATTGACAGTCACAAGATGTAGTTCACTCAAACTAGACATTGACAGACACAAGATGCAGTGCACTCATACTAGACACTGACAGACACAAGATGTAGTTCACTCACACTAGACACTGACAGACACAAGATGTAGTTCACTCACACTAGACACTGACAGACACAAGATGTAGTTCACTCATACTAGACACTGACAGACGCAAGATGTAGTTTACTCATACTAGACATTCACAGTCACAAGATGTAGTTCACTCACACTAGATACTGACAGACACAAGATGTAGTTCACTCGCACTAGACATTCACAGTCACAAGATGTAGTTCACTCACACTAGATACTGACAGAAACAAGATGTAGTTCACTCACACTAGACACTGACAGACACAAGATGTAGTTCACTCATACTAGATACTGACAGACACAAGATGTAGTTTACTCATACTAGATACTGACAGACACAAGATGAAGTTCACTCATACTAGACACTAACAGACACAAGATGTAGTTAACTCACACTAGATACTGACAGACAAGATATAGTTCACTCAAACTAGACGTTGACAGACACAAGATGTAGTTCACTCACACTAGACATTGACAGACACAAGATGTTCACTCACACTAGACACTGACAGTCACAAGATTTAGTTCACTCACACTAGACATTGACATGCACAAGATGTTCACTCAAAGTAGACATTGACATGCACAAGATGTAGTTCACTCACACTAGACACTGACAGTCACAAGATGTAGTTAACTCCACTAGACACTGACAGTCACAAGATGTAGTTCACTCTACTAGACACTGACAGACACAAGATGTAGTTCACTCACATTAGATACTGACAGTCACAAGATGTAGTTCACTCATACTAGACACTGACAGACACACGATGTAGTTCACTCACACTAGACATTGACAGACACAAGATGTTCACTCACACTAGACACTGACAGTCACAAGATGTAGTTCCCTCACTTTAGACACTGACAGTCACAAGATGTAGTTCACTCACACTAGACACTGACAGTCACAAGATGTAGTTCACTCACACAAGACACTGACAGTCACAAGATGAAGTTCACTCACACTAGACACTGACAGTCACAAGATGTAGTTCACGCACACTAAATACTGATAGACACAAGATGTAGTTCACACATACTAGATACTGACAGACACAAGATGTAGTTCACTCACATTAGACACTGACAGACACAAGATGTAGTTCACTCATACTAGACACTGACAGACACAAGATGTAGTTCACTCGCACTAGACACTGACAGACACAAGATGTAGTTCACTCATACTAGACACTGACAGACACAAGATGGACCCACCATGTGTCCAACATACCCCCACAACATGGACCCACCCACCATATTTCACACACACTCCCACAACATGGACCCACCCACCATGTGTCACACATACCCCCACAACATGGACCCACCATGTGTCACACATACCCCCACAACATGGACCCACCATGTGTCCAACATACCCCCACAACATGGACCCACCCACCATGTGTCACACATACCCCCACAACATGGACCCACCATGTGTCACACATACCCCTACAACATGGACCCACCATGTGTCACACATACCCCCACAACATGGACCCAGTGTATGTGTTACCTTGGCCTCCCAGGTCATGCGTAATGTCTGCATGTTGAGTAATTTGTTCTCACAAAAGCTGATCTCAGAACTCTCTCCTCCAGACCTGCCAGAAGCAAAAGACCAGACAAGCGGGCATTAGATTTGGCTGCATTAATGCTGCTCACTGCAAAACATGTCCCAGTAAATACACAGCAGCACCATGAGGTTAGGAAAAATGGAAGGGCGCTAAAGGGAACAGTTACCTTCAGCTGAAGGCTCGTGCAGAGACCTACAACAGCATGGCTCAAGGAATACACATCTTAAGGACTAGCACTACAACCATGTGGCTTAGGGATTATGCATCTTGAGGGTGAGCACTATAAACACGTGGCTCAGAGAAATCACATCTTGAGGGCTAGCACTATGACCATGTGGCTCAGAGAATACCCATCTTGAGGGTGAGCACTACAACCAGGTGGCCCAGGGAATAAACATTTTGAGGGTAAGCACTACAACCATGTGGCCCAGGGAATAAACATCTTGAGGGTAAGCACTACAACCACATGGCTCAGGGAATAAACATCTTGAGGGTAAGCACTACAACCACATGGCTCAGGGAATAAATATCTTGAGGGTAAGCACTACAACCACATGGCTCAGGGAATAAACATCTTGAGGGTGAGCACTACAACCATGTGGCTCAGAGAATACCCATCTTGAGGGTAAGCACTACAACCACATGGCTCAGGGAATAAACATCTTGAGGGCAAGCACTACAACCATGTGGCCCAGGGAATAAACATCTTGAGGGTGAGCACTACAACCATGTGGCTCAGAGAATACCCATCTTGAGGGTGAGCACTACAACCATGTGGCCCAGGGAATACCCATCTTGAGGGTAAGCACTACAACCATGTGGCCCAGGGAATACCCATCTTGAGGGTAAGCACTACAACCACATTGCTCAGGGAATACGCATCATGAGGGTGAGCACTACAACCATGTGGCTCAAACTTGAGGGTGAGCACTACAACCACGTGGCTCACTGAATATGTAACTTGAGGGACATCACTACAACCACGTGGACCATTGAATATGTAACTTGAGGGTGAGCACTACAACCATTGGCTCAGAGAATACACATCTTGAGGGTGAGCACTACAACCACGTGGCTCAGAGAATACACATTCTAAGGGTGAGCACTACAACCATTGGCTCAGAGAATACACATCCTAAGGGTGAGCACTACAACCACGTGGCTCAGAGAATACACATCCTAAGGGTGAGCACTACAACCACATGGCTCAGAGAATACACATCATAAGGGTGAGCACTACAACCACGTGGCTCAGAGAATACACATCCTTAGGGTGAGCACTACAACCATTGGCTCAGAGAATACACATCCTAAGGGTGAGCACTACAACCATTGGCTCAGAGAATACACATCCTAAGGGTGAGCACTACAACCACATGGCTCAGAGAATACACATCATAAGGGTGAGCACTACAACCACGTGGCTCAGAGAATACACATCATAAGGGTGAGCACTACAACCACGTGGCTCAGAGAATACACATCCTAAGGGTGAGCACTACAATCACATGGCTCAGAGAATACACATCCTAAGGGTGAGCACTACAACCACATGGCTCAGAGAATACACATCCTAAGGGTGAGCACTACAGTTAATACAAACCACAGCCACCACTATCACTGAAAAACACTGCACAGGACTGGTGGCATTTAGAGGTTTAGCTTCTCAATGAGATCAGTCAGTCCCTTAGTCTCCTAAAGTGTTCATTTTTTAACAACCTCAGTCATCTATAGTGGTCTCTTTTGTGCAGTCAGGAGAGATTTACAAAGGGTGGAAGAGGGTCTACATACATAAGACACAAGTTAGAGATTGGACAATTTGCCCGGCTCTCTAGCGAAGTTGGTTAAACCTGACTTTCGCGGCGGCCGGGTGACGAACTCCTTGTGGTCCGGGTTCACTCCTGGGGGTAGGCAGAAAAGCCACATTTCTCCCAGATTAACGGTACCTATAATGGAATCAATGCCGAAGGGCTGCGATATCCATAGTACTGAGCCAAAGGGTTTACAACTCATGGTTTCTTGATACGTTTAAAAAAAAAAAAAAAAAAAAAGAGAGATTGGACAATGTCTACAACAAAGAAAAAATGAGGGTCCAGAGAGAATGTCTACAAGAGAAAACTCACCTGGCTTCTTCCCACATCTGGAAGGCATTCAACAGAGCCACATGGTCACTAGCTCGGCTTCCTGCCATGTTTTTGTGAACCCAGCCCAGCCTGCGGCGGTCAGTGGGGGTCATAAATGGCTCAGGGAATGTGGTGCTAGCGGCAATGGTGCACATGGCATCACCCACACTGTTGACATCAAATACCACATATCAGTGTTTACAGACTACAACATGTTGACATCAAATACCATATATCAGTGTTTACAGACTACAACATGTTGACATCAAATACCACATATCAGTGTTTACAGACTACAACATGTTGACATCAAATACCACATATCAGTGTTTACAGACTACAACATGTTGACATCAAATACCACATATCAGTGTTTACAGACTACAACATGTTGACATCAAATACCATATATCAGTGTTTACAGACTACAACATGTTGACATCAAATACCACATATCAGTGTTTACAGACTACAACATGTTTGACATCAAATACCACATATCAGTGTTTACAGACTACAACATGTTGACATCAAATACCATATATCAGTGTTTACAGACTACAACATGTTGACATCAAATACCACATATCAGTGTTTACAGACTACAACATGTTGACATCAAATACCACATATCAGTGTTTACAGACTACAACATGTTGACATCAAATACCACATATCAGTGTTCACAGACTACAACATGTTGACATCAAATACCACATATCAGTGTTTACAGACTACAACATGTTGACATCAAATACCACATGTGAGTGTTGACAGACTACAATATGTTGACAGCAAATATCACATGTGAGTGTTCATTGACTAAAATATGTTTACATCAAATACCATGTGTAAGTGTTTACAGACTACCATATGTTGACAGCAAATACCATGTGTGAGTGTTCATTGACTACAATATGTTGACAGCAAATACCATGTGTGAGTGTTTACAGACTACCGTATGTTGACAGCAAATACTATGTGAGAGTGTTCACTGAATACCATATGTTGACAGCTAATACCATGTGTGAGTCTTTACTGACTACAATATGTTGACAGCAAATACCATGTGTGAGTGTTCATTGACTACGATATGTTGACAGCAAATACCATGTGTGAGTGTTCATTGACTACGATATGTTGACAGCAAATACCATGTGTGAGAGTTCACAGACTACAATATATCACATATCACTGTTTACAGACTACAACATGTTGACAGCAAATACCATGTGTGAGTGTTCACTGACTACAATATGTTGACAGCAAATACCATGTGTGAGTGTTCACAGAATACCATATGTTGATAGCAAATACCATGTGTGAGTGTTCACAGACTACCATATGTTGACATCAAACACCACATTTCATTGTTCACTGACTACCATATGTTGACAGCAAATACTATGTGTGAGTGTTTACAGACTACCATATGTTGACAGCAAATACCATGTGTGAGTGTTCACAGACTACCATATGTTGACAGCAAATACCACGTGTGAGTGTTTACAGACTACCATATTTTGACAGCAAATACCACATGTGAGTGTTTACAGACTACCATATGTTGACAGCAAATACCATGTGTGAGTGTTCACTGACTACCATATGTTGACAGCAAATACCATGTGTGAGTTTTTACAGACTACAAACAATATGTTGACATCAAATACCACATATCAGTGTTCACAAACTACAATATGTTGACATCAAATACCACATATCATAGTTCACAGACTACAATATGTTGACACTAAATATCATGTGTGAGTGTTTACAGACTACCATATGTTGACAGCAAATACCAGGTGTGAGTGTTTACAGACTACCATATGTTGACAGCAAATACCATGTGTGAGTGTTTACAGACTACCATATGTTGACAGCAAATACCACATGTGAGTGTTCATTGACTAAAATATGATTACATCAAATACCATGTGTGAGTGTTTACAGACTACCATATGTTGACAGCAAATACCATGTGTGAGTGTTTACAGACTACCATATGTTGACAGCAAATACCATGTGAGAGTGTTCACCAAATACCATATGTTGACAGCTTATACCATGTGTGAGTGTTGACTGACTACAATATGCTGACAGCAAATACCAGGTGTGAGTGTTCACTGAATACCATATGTTGACAGCAAATACCATGTGTGAGTGTTCATTGACTACAATATGTTGACAGCAAATAACATGTGTGAGTGTTCAAAGACTACCATAAGTTGACATCAAATTCCACATATCAGTGTTCGCAGACTACAATAGGTTGACAGCAAATACCATGTGCGAGTGTTCACGGAATAAAATATGTTGACAGCAAATACCATGTGTGAGTGTTTACAGATTACAATATGTTGACAGCAAATACCATGTGTGAGTGTTCACGGACTACAATATGTTGACAGCAAATACCATGTGTGAGTGTTGACAGACTACAATATATTGACATCAAATATTACATATCAGTGTTCACAGACTACAATATGTTGACATCAAATACCATGTGTGAGTGTTCACAGACTACCATATGTTGACATCAAACACCACATTTCATTGTTCACTGACTACCATATGTTGACAGCAAATACTATGTGTGAGTGTTCAGAGACTACCATATGTTGACAGCAAATACCATGTGTGAGTGTTTACAGACTACCATATGTTGACATCAAACACCACATTTCATTGTTCACTGACTACCATATGTTGACAGCAAATACTATGTGTGAGTGTTCAGAGACTACCATATGTTGACAGCAAATACCATGTGTGAGTGTTTACAGACTACAATATGTTGACAGCAAATACCATGTGTGAATGTTCACAGACTACCATACGTTAACAGCAAGTAACAAATGGACACACAGATATACTTTATCTTGTCACATAACTGGTCATAATCTATCTTGCAACATTACTGTACATGCTCCATCTTGTCACATTACTGGACATGCTCCATCTTGTCACAATACTGGACATGCTCCATCTTGTCACAATACTGTACATGCTCTATCTTGTCACATAAATGGGCATACTCTATCTTGTCACATTACTGCACATTATCTTGTCACATAAATGGGCATACTCTATCTTGTCACATTACTGCACATTATCTTGTCACATAAATGGGCATACTCTATCTTGTCACATTACTGCACATTATCTTGTCACATTACTGGACATGCTCCATCTTGTCACATTACTGGACCTGCTCCATCTTGTCACATTACTGTACATGCTCTATCTTGTCACATTACTGGACATACTCTATCTTGTCACATTACTGGACAAGCTCCATCTTGGCACATTACTGTACATGCTTTATCTTGTCACATTACTGGACATGCTCCATCTTGTCACATTAATGGACATGCACTATCTTGTCACATTACTGGACATACTCTATCTTGTCACATTACTGGACATGCTCCATCTTGTCAAATTACTGGACATGCTTCATCTTGTCACATTACTGGACATGCTTCATCTTGTCACATTACTGGACCTGCTCCATCTTATCACATTATAAGACATGCTCTATCTTGTCACAATACTGGATCTGCTCCATCTTGTCACATTAATGGACATGCACTATCTTGTCACATTACTGGACATACGCTATCTTGTCACATTACTGGACCTGCTCTATCTTATCACATTATAAGACATGCTCCATCTTGTCACATTACTGGACATGCTCCATCTTGTCACATTACTGGACATGCTCTATCTTGTCACATTACTGGACCTGCTCCATCTTATCACATTACTGGACCTGCTCCATCTTGTCACATTATAAGACATACTCTATCTTGTCACATTACTGGACCTGCTCTATCTTGTCACATTACTGGACCTGCTTCATCTTGTCACATTATAAGACATGCTCTATCTTGTCACATTACTGGACCTGCTCCATCTTGTCACATTATAAGACATGCTCTATCTTGTCACATTACTGGACATGCTTTATCTTGTCACATTACCGGACATTATCTTGTCACATTAGTGGACATGTTCTATCTTGTCCCATTACTACTTATTTTTGTACATATAATATAATATTTAGCACAGCCCATCTTGTCACTGTCAACCACTCTCACCTTTATAAAGTAATCCTGGCTACATCTGTAGAAAGTCAGTTTTGTTCTCAATTAATCTTCTTGACCTGAGTGATGTGTGCATGTTTGGCACAGGACAAAGACATTCTTGGGTGGGGTGAAGCTATTGGTCAATGCTGTAAACTATAACTGACCACTACAATGATACTCACTAAAATATGCAGCCGTAGATGATCATCTTGCCCAGCCGTGGCTCTATAGGCATCTTAGCCAGCAGTCTGCCTAGCGGAGTCAGCTCATCGTTGGAATCCAGGGCTCTCATGGCTGCACAGAGCAAAATGTTTGTTGCTTTACACAGTTACCCAAAACACAGTAAACACACACACACACACAACAGAAGCAGTATAATAACATGATAAGCAGAAACATAACAATGTAAATAGAAACATAACACTGTAAAGAGAAACATAACACTATAAAAAAGAAACATATCACAGTAAGCATAAACATAACACTGTAATCATAAAAATATCACAGAAAACAGAAACATATCACTGTAAACAGATGACGTGAGAAACTGTAACCAAAACAAAGATGTCATGAGAGAATGTGACCATGATAAAGATGTTGTGAGAGAATGTGACTATGATAAAGATGTTGTGAGAGAATGTGACCATGATAAAGATGTTGTGAGAGAATGTGACCATGATAAAGATGTGACCACAATGAAGATGTGAGAGAGTGTGACAATGATAAAGATGTTGTGAGAGAATGTGACCACGATAAAGATATAATGAGAGAATGTGACCATGATAAAGATATTGTGAGAGAATCTCACCGTGATAAAGATATTGTAAGAGAATATGACCGTGATAAAGATGTTGTGAGAAAATGTGACAATGATAAAGATGTGAGAGAATGTGACCATGATAAAGATGTTGTGAGAGAATGTGACAATGATAAAGATGTTGTGAGAGAATATGACAATGATAAAGATGTTGTGAGAGAATGTGACCATGATAAAGATGTTGTAAGCCAATGTAGGCACAAACCTCGGAGCATAACCTCAGCTTCTATAACAGCATCAATGGGTGGAGGTTCCACGGCTTTAGCTAGGAACATGCCAATAGGACCCAACCTCAGCAGCTTGATGGAAAGTGCCAGCTCATGCAAAGGTGTGCGGAAGATTTCCGGCGTGGAGTGCTGCTCTAGCCTGCAGATATGAGGCCACATTTCACTAAAGCAAGTCAGCACACAACAGCAGATGCTACCACTCTATCAGACTTCACTCAAAGAAGTCAGCCCACAACAGCAGATGTTACTCAATCAGACTTCACTCAAACAAGTCAGCCCACAACAGCAGATGTTACTCTATCAGACTTCACTCAAACAAGTCAGCCCACAACAGCAGATGCTACCACTCAACCAGGTTTCACTCAAACAAGTCAGCCCACAACAGCAGATGCAACCACTCTATCAGACTTCACTCAAACAAGTCAGCCTACAACAGCAGATGCTACCACTCTATCAGACTTCACTCAAACAAGTCAGCACACAACAGCAGATGCTACTCTATCAGACTTCACTGAAACAAGTCAGCCCACAACAGCAGATGCTTCCACTCAACCAGACTTCACTCAAACAAGTCAGCACACAACAGCAGATGCTACTCTATCAGACTTCACTCAAACTAGTCAGCCCACAACAGCAGATGCTACTCTATCAGACTTTACTCAAACTAGTCAGCCCACAACAGCAGATGTTAAACTCAACCAGACTTCACTCAAACTAGTCAGCCCACAACAGCAGATGTTACTCTATCAGACTTCACTCAAACAAAGTCAGCCCACAACAGCAGATGCTACTCTATCAGACTTCACTCAAACAAGTCAGCCCACAACAGCAGATGCTTCTCTATCAGACTTCACTCAAACTAGTCAGCCCACAACAGCAGATGCTACCACTCAATCAGACTTCACTGAAACAAGTCAGCCCACAACAGAAGATGCTACCACTCTATCAGACTTCACTCAAACAGGTCAGCCCACAAAAGCAGATGCTACCACTTTATCGGACTTCACTCAAACAAGTCAGCCCACAACAGCAGATGCTATTCTATCAGACTTCACTCAAACAAGTCAGCCCACAACAGCAGATGCTTCCACTCAACCAGACTTCACTCAAACTAGTCAGCACACAACAGCAGATGCTACTCTATCAGACTTCACTCAAACTAGTCAGCCCACAACAGCAGATGCTACTCTATCAGACTTTACTCAAACTAGTCAGCCCACAACAGCAGATGTTAAACTCAACCAGACTTCACTCAAACTAGTCAGCCCACAACAGCAGATGCTACCACTCAACCAGACTTCACTCAAACAAAGTCAGCCCACAACAGCAGATACAACCACTCTATCAGATTTTACTCAAACTAGTCAGCCCACAACAGCAGATGCTTCTCTATCAGACTTCACTCAAACTAATCAGCCCACAACAGCAGATGCTATTCTATCAGACTTCACTCAAACTAGTCAGCCCACAACAGCAGATGCTATTCTATCAGACTTCACTCAAACAAGTCAGCCCACAACAGCAGATGCTACTCTATCAGACTTCACTCAAACAAGTCAGCCCACAACAGCAGATGCTACTCTATCAGACTTCACTCAAACAAGTCAGCCCACAACAGCAGATGCTACTCTATCAGACTTCACTCAAACAAGTCAGCCCACAACAGCAGATGCTACTCTATCAGACTTCACTTAAACAAGTCAGCTCACAACAGCAGATGCTACCACTCAACCAGATTTCACTCAAACAAGTCAGCCCACAACAGCAGATGCTATTCTATCAGACTTCACTCAAACAAGTCAGCCCACAACAGCAGATGCTTCCACTCAACCAGACTTCACTCAAACAAGTCAGCCCACAACAGCAGATGCTACTCTATCAGACTTCACTCAAACAAGTCAGCCCACAACAGCAGATGCTACTCTATCAGACTTCACTCAAACAAGTCTGCACACAACAGCAGATGCTACTCTATCAGATTTCACTCAAACTAGTCAGCCCACAAAAGCAGATGCTACCACTTTATCAGACTTCACTCAAGTCAGCCCACAACAGCGGATGCTACCACTCTATCAGACCTCACTCAAACTAGTCAACCCACAACAGCGGATGCTACCACTCTATCAGACCTCACTCAAACAAGTCAGCCTACAACAGCAGATGCTACCACTCTATCAGACTTCACTCAAACAAGTCAGCCCACAACAGCAGATGCTACTCTATCAGACTTCACTCAAACTAGTCAGCCCACAACAGTGGATGCTACCACTCTATCAGACCTCACTCAAACAAGTCAGCCTACAACAGCAGATGCTACCACTCTATCAGACCTCACTCAAACAAGTCAGCCCACAACAGCAGATGCTACCACTCTATCAGACTTCACTCAAACAAAGTCAGCCCACAACAGCAGATGCTACCACTCAACCAGACTTCACTTAAACAAGTCAGCACACAACAGCAGATGCTACTCTATCAGACTTCACTCAAACTAGTCAGCACACAACAGCAGATGCTACTGTATCAGACTTCACTCAAACTAGTCAGCACACAACAGCAGATGCTACTGTATCAGACTTCACTCAAACTAGTCAGCACACAACAGCAGATGCTACTGTATCAGATTTCACTCAAACTAGTCAGCCCACAACAGCAGATGCTACCACTCAACTTGACTTCACTCAAACTAGTCAGCCCACAACAGCAGATGCTACTCTATCAGACTTTACTCAAACTAGTCAGCCCACAACAGCAGATGTTAAACTCAACCAGACTTCACTCAAACTAATCAGCCCACAACAGCAGATGCTACCACTCAACCAGACTTCACTTGCCAGCAGGCTATGATGTGTGGTGATGATTTGTCAGCAGGCTATGATTTGTGGTGATGATCTGCCAGCAGGCTATGATATGTGGTGACGATCTGCCAGCAGGCTATGATGTGTGGTGATGATCTGCCAGCAGGTTATGATGTGTGGTGATGATCTGCCAGCAGGCTATGATGTGTGGTGATGATCTGCCAGCAGGCTATGATGTGTGGTGATGATCTGCCAGCAGGCTATGATGTGTGGTGATGATCTGCCAGCAGGCTATGATGTGTGGTGATGATCTGCCAGTAGGCTTTGATGTGTGGTGATGATCTGCCAGCAGGCTATGATGTGTGGTGATGATCTGCCAGTAGGCTATGATGTGTGGTGATGATCTGCCAGCAGGCTATGATGTGTGGTGATGATCTGCCAGCAGGTTATGATGTGTGGTGATGATCTGCCAGCAGGCTATGATGTGTGGTGATGATCTGCCAGTGGGCTATGATGTGTGGTGATGATCTGCCAACAGGCTATGATGTGTGGTAATGATGATCTGCCAGCAGGCTATGATGTGTGGTGATGATCTGCCAGTAGGCTATGATGTGTGGTGATGAGCTGTTGGTAGGTTATGATGTGTGGTGATGATCTGCCAGCAGGCTATGATGTGTGGTGACGATCTGCCAGCAGGCTATGATTTGTGGTGATGATCTGCCAGCAGGCTATGATTTGTGGTGATGATCTGCCAGCAGGCTATGATTTGTGGTGATGATCTGCCAGCAGGCTATGATTTGTGGTGATGATCTGCCAGCAGGCTATAATGTGTGTATGGTGATCTGGTTATGATGTGTAGTGATAGACTGCCAATGTGGAACATGGTGTTTGCATTAAAACAAACAGATGGGACTCACCGCTGATATCTTGCCTTGCTGCACAGATGGAAGGAGAAGCCTGGACGCACACGACCAGCACGGCCTCTCCTCTGTTCCAGGTTGGTTTTACTAGCCCACACAGGCTATGATGTGTGGTTATGAGCTTTTGATAGGCTATGATGTGTGGTTATGAGCTTTTGATAGGCTATGATGTGTGGTGATGATTTGTCAGCAGGCTATGATTTGTAGTGATGATCTGCCAGCAGGCTATGATGTGTGGTGATGATCTGCCAGCAGGCTATGATGTGTGGTGATGATCTGCCAGTAGGCTATGATGTGTGGTGATGATCTGCCTGCAGGCTATGATGTGTAGTGATGATCTGCCAGCAGGTTATGATGTGTGGTGATGATCTGCCAGCAGGCTATGATGTGTGATGATGATCTGCCAGCGGGCTATGATGTGTGGTGATGTTCTGCCAGCAGGCTATGATGTGTGGTAATGATGATCTGCCAGTAGGCTATGATGTGTGGTGATGAGCTGTTGGTAGGTTATGATGTGTGGTGATGATCTGCCAGCAGGCTATGATGTGTGGTGATGATCTGCCAGCAGGCTATGATGTGTGGTGATGATCTGCCAGCAGGCTATGATGTGTGGTGATGATCTGCCAGCAGGCTATGATGTGTGGTGATGATCTGCCAGCAGGCTATGATGTGTGGTGATGATCTGCCAGCAGGCTATGATGTGTGGTGATGATCTGCCAGCAGGCTATGATGTGTGGTGATGATCTGCCAGCAGGCTATGATGTGTGGTGATGATCTGCCAGCAGGCTATGATGTGTGGTGATGATCTGCCAGCAGGCTATGATGTGTGTATGGTGATCTGGTTATGATGTGTAGTGATAGACTGCTAATGTGGAACATGGTGTTTGCATTAAAACAAACAGATGGGACTCACCGCTGATATCTTGCCTTGCTGCACAGATGGAAGGAGAATCCTGGACGCACACGACCAGCACGGCCCCTCCTCTGTTCCAGGTTGGTTTTACTAGCCCACACAGTGGCATAGTTGGTCATATTATTATGGGATGTGAACAGTTTCATCTTCACCCTGTCAATGAACAACACACACCACAATAGGCACTGCAGCAGAAAATGCAGCAATCAGATCAACACACAAAGTGGAAAATACTGGGGCACATGACTGACAACACACCGAGGGGAAAATACTGGGGCACATGACTGACAACACACTGAGTGGGAAATACTGGGGCACATGACTGACATCACAATGAGTGGGAAATACTGGGGCACGTGGCTGACAACATTCTGAGGGAAATACAGGGACACATGACTGACAACATTGTATGGGAAATACGGGGACACGTGGCTAAAAACATTGTGTGGGAAATATAGGGACACATGACTGACAACATTCTGAGGGAAATACAGGCAAACATGGCTGACAACATTCTGAGGGAAATACAGGGACACATGACTGACAACATTCTGAGGGAAATACAGGGACACATGACTGACAAAATTCTGAGGGAAATACAGGGAAACATGGCTGACAACATTCTGAGGGAAATACAGGGACACGTGGCTGACAACATTCTGAGGGAAATACAGGGAAACATGGCTGACAACATTCTGAGGGAAATACAGGGACACATGACTGACAACATTCTGAGAGAAATACAGGGAAACATGGCTGACAACATTGTCTGGGAAATACAGGGACACATGACTGACAACATTCTGAGGGAAATACAGGGACACGTGGCTGACAACATTGTCTGGGAAATACAGGGACACATGACTGACAACATTCTGAGGGAAATACAGGGACACGTGGCTGACAACATTGTCTGGGAAATACAGGGACACGTGGCTGACAACATTGTGTGGGAAATACGGGGACACGTGGCTGACAACATTCAGAGGGAAACACAGGGATACGTGGCTGACAACATTGTCTGGGAAATAGAGGGACACGTGGCTGACAACATTCTGAGGGAAATACAAGGACACGTGGCTGACAACATTGTCTGGGAAATACAGGGACACGTGGCTGACAACATTGTCTGGGAAATACAGGGACACGTGGCTGACATTGTCTGGGAAATACAGGGACACGTGGCTGACAACATTGTGAGGGAAATACAGGGACACGTGGCTGACAACATTCTGAGGGAAATACAGGGACACGTGGCTGACAACATTCTGAGGGAAATACAGGGACACGTGGCTGACAACATTCTGAGGGAAATACAGGGACACGTGGCTGACAACATTGTTTGGGAAATACGGGGACACGTGGCTAACAACATTGTGTGAGAAATACAGGGACACGTGACTGACAACATTCTGTGGGAAATACAGGAACACGTGACTGACAACATTCTGTGGGAAATATGGAGACACGTGACTGCAACATTCTGTGGGAAATAAAAGGACACGTGACTGACAACATTGTGGGTGACAACATTCTGTGGGAAATACAGGAACACGTGACTGACAACATTCTGTGGGAAATAAAAGGACATGTGACTGACAACATTGTGAGGGTAATAAACACAAGTGATTAGATGTAGATCTAAGATGTGATCAAAGTGAGAAACACAAGAACTAACAAAATGAGACACAAAAGAGAACTAACCAGTGAGATACAAAAAAGAACTAATAAAGTGAGACAGACAGGTAAGAGAACTAATAAAGTAACACACAAGAAATACAGCGAGACAGACAATGAGAGAAATGGACTAGTTTGACAAAGTACAAGAGAACTGGTCTCTGTGTAAATCACTGTCTACACAAAAAAGCTGGCTGACTTACTTGCAGGAGTCTATGACGTAGACAACATCGTCTATGGTGACACTGGTCTCTGCAATGTTGGTGGACAAGATAATCTGAAGGCAAGACAATGACAGGGTGTCAATGATCAGCATGCTCTTACCTGCCTCCACTCATGAATAACTCGCAAGATACGGTTTATGGATAACCTAGATAATGTGGTTCTCCATATCACCACAATACACAGTTCAGGTATAACCTAGATAATGTGGCTCCCCATATCACCACAATACACAGTTCAGGTATAACCTAGATAATGTTCCCCATATCACCACAATACACAGTTCAGGTATAACCTAGATAATGTGGTTCCCCATATCACCACAATACACAGTTCAGGTATAACCTAGATAATGTGGTTCCCCATATCACCACAAGACACAGTTCAGGGATAATCTAGATAATGTGGTTGTGTTATCCCCCATACCACTACAAGAAACAGTTCATGAATAATTTGAAACATGTGCTTGTGTTGTCCACCATCTCTCCACAATACACAGTTCATGGATAACCTGGATAATACGACTGTGTTGTCCCCAAGATCGCCACAAGAAAGAGTTCATGGATAACTTGGACAATGTGGCTGTGTTGTCCCCCATATCACCACAATACATAATTTATGGATAACCTGGATAATGCGACTGTGTTGTCCCCAAGATCGCCACAAGAAACAGTTCATGGATAACTTGGACAATGTGGCTGTGTTGTCCTCCATAGCACCACAAGAAAGAGTTCATGGATAACTTGGACAATGTGGCTGTGTTATCCCCCATATCATCACAATACAAGTTCATGGATAACCTAGATAATGCGACTGTGTTGTCCCCCATATCACCGCAAGAAAGAGTTCATGGATGACTCGGATAATGGGACTGTGTTGTTCCCCATATCACCACAAGAAAGAGTTCATGGATAACTTGGATAATGCGACTGTGTTGTTCCCCATATCACCACAAGAAAGAGTTCATTGATAACCTAGGCAGAGATAAGGCTGTGCCAGATGGGGCAGAGATGAGGTGAGGCAGGGGTGAAAACATGTGAGGTGAGGCTGAAATATCACCCCATATCACCACAATACATAGTTCATGGATAACCTGAATAATGCGACTGTGTTGTCCCCCATATCACCGCAAGAAAGAGTTCATGGATAACTCGGATAATGCGACTGTGTTGTTCCCCATATCACCACAAGAAAGAGTTCATGGATAACTTGGATAATGCGACTGTGTTGTTCCCCATATCACCACAAGAAAGAGTTCATTGATAACCTAGGCAGAGATAAGGCTGTGCCAGATGGGGCAGAGATGAGGTGAGGCAGGGGTGAAAACATGTGAGGTGAGGCTGAAATAAGAACATGTAGGGTGAGGCTGAGATGGGGCAATGTGAGTTGTGGCAGAGGTGAGAACATGTGGTGAGGAAGAGATGACAAGATCTAAGGTGAGGAAGAGATGGGAACATGTGAGGTGAGGAAGAGATGGGAACATGTGAGGTGAGGAAGAGATGGGAACATGTGAGGTGAGGAAGAGATGGGAACATGTGAGGTGAGGAAGAGATGGGAACATGTGAGGTGAGGAAGAGATGGGAACATGTGAGGTGAGGAAGAGATGGGAACATGTGAGGTGAGGAAGAGATGGGAACATGAGAGATGAGGAATGGATGGAAACATGTGAGGTGAGGAAAACATGGGAACACGTGCGGTGAGGAAGAGAAAATCAGAAAAATACCTTAGTGACACCTTCAGGAACTGGCTCAAATACCCGGCGTTGGTCCTCTCGAGGGATGGCTGAATGTAGAGGCAAGATGCGATATCTGGGACTACCTGCCAGACATACAAGGCATGACATCAACAGATCTCTCCAGCAACAATTAGCAGTTATAGCTTCCAGACATGGACATCAACGGTACACACACAACAGACCTGGACATAAATTGTACACACACAACAGACATGGACAAAAACTGTACACACACAACAGATATAGACATAAACTGTACACACACAACAGACCTGGACATAAATTGTACACACACAACAGACATGGACATGAACTGTACACACACAACAGATATAGACATGAACTGTACACACACAACAGATATAGACATAAACTGTACACACACAACAGATATGGACATAAACTGTATACACACAACAGATATAGACATAAACTGTATACACACAACATATATAGACATAAACTGTACACAAACAACAGACATGGACATAAACTGTATACACACAACAGATATAGATATAAACTGTACACACACAACAAATATAGACATAAACTGTATACACACAACAGATATAGACATAAACTGTACACACAACAGACATGGACATGAACTGTACACACACAACAGATATAAACATAAACTGTATACACACAACAGATATAGACATAAACTGTATACACACAACAGATATAGACATAAACTGTACACACACAACAGACATGGACATAAACTGTATACACACAACAGATATAGACAAAAACTGTATACACACAACAGACATGGACATAAACTATACACACACAACAGACATGAACATAAACTATACACAGGGTCCTACCAGAGCCATGTTCCCCAACAGAAAGTTGCTAAATTCTCTGAGCCTCTCTTGCTCAAGCCTATACCTCATTTCATGTGGTGGGTCCTGTTCTTACCAGTCATCAAGTGGATGGTCTTTATCTCAAACACTCCCCAACCCTTTCAACAGCAGGAAACAAATAAGGTGCAGTCGAGTCTGGATAAGTAGAAGTAGCAGGGACCTCAGAAAATGCTTCCACTTATCAGGACTTCTACTTATCCAGACAGCACACACAATAGAGAATGTTCACTAAAACCAAGCAGTAGCACTAAGTAAACAATTATACCAGTTAGCAAACACCATCATTTAATAAATAATTAGCAACAGAATATCAGAAATGTTGAAATATTGAATTATTTAGAAGGTATAAAATTAAAATCACATGAAAATTCAGAAGAATATGATTTTGTTTTATTTTTTGGATTGTGAAAAATGTCTTTCCATGGCATGTGCAAAATGCTGAGATGACATTATCTGAGCACCCAGTCTGCACTATGTAAATGTTAATTTTGTCCATGCAAGCCAAAACATCTGACTGTGATACAGGTTGTACTTGCATCCTCATCATCAGAGTCAGGTCTCAGATGGTCTGTTGGTTGAGTAGTTGGCATACATAGTCCTAGAATATCACTGCTTGAAACAGTGGCACTGGTAAAAACATCATGATCAATGTTGACATACTCCTCTGGTTCAATGTTCAGCTCTTGATACAACCTAGCAAGTAATGGCTCCACTAAAGTATCAGTAACATTACTCTTGTTGCTCACTGACGGTGTGGAATTCTCATTGACTGACACATCTAATACAGCTTGTCTGAAGCAGTTTGCAATAGTTGCAGGCAAAACTCTGTCCCATGAAGATGTTAACATTATAATAGCATCAAGACGGGTTATTTTGAAATCATTCAAACTGAAGTCAGCATCCATATGGCTGACCTACAAGTTGTGACAACATTGTCAATCTATAATGGACTTTAAGGTTTTCAATGATACCTTGATTACAAGGCTGGAGTGTTGATGTGGCATTAGATGACAGAAACAGAAGTTCTGTTGCTTTCAAACTGTCAGTTCTTCTCTGGGCTGAACAACTGTTAATTATTGAAAGAACTGTCGTTTTTTTTTAACACATCATTGAAGAATCAAACTGTTATAGCCACTCAGTGAACAATTATGATGTTGTCATATCTTTGAATTGGCTCTGTAATTCCCACAATTGGTCAGGCCATTTTTCATTACCATCCATCATATTGCAACACACAACCAATGTTATTCTTTCTTGGGATTTTTCCCCACTATGACAGTTTCCATTTTTGAAGGAACTGGTTTTATCAGGTAACAGTCTCCAAAATAAGCCAGTTTCATCAGCAATAAATACATCCACAGAATTATATTTAGCCAAAGCAGGTTTAAGCACACCTTCTGTCCATGAATTAGTTGCTTCATCAACAGATTGTTTCTCTCCACACACATTCTTGTATATTATGCAATGGCATTGTTTGAAATGATCGAACCAACCAGCACTACATTTCCAGTCTGTCTGACCTCCATGACATGCACATTCCTCTGCTTCTGCCCTAATTATTGGCCCATTCATGGCTACATTTGCCGATCTAAGCTCAGTGAACCATTTTAAAAGGGCAGCTCCCTCGAAGTCGAGGCAGGGAATGGCAAAAAGCTATTCAAACTTGTATGCGCAAAACTCAGGTCCAGGTAAAAGCCAAAAGTGAATACAAACATGAAGACAAACAGACTATTTGTGAATATAAACATGAAGAAGACTATGTCTGAATACAAACAGATTATGTTTGAATACAAACAGACTATGTCTGAATACAAAGAGATTGTTTTAATACAAAGATGAAAACAAACAGACAATGTGTGAATACAAATACACAAGTTGTATGATTATCATGAACATGAACCAGTCAAGTAGAAGAGAGGCTAGAAAACAATGAAGACATCAACATGACCATGGACTTTCAGAAAGAGAAGACATATTTAGAGGAAATTGTCAGAAACATTGTATAGGTGCTGAGGAAACACTATCACAGGGGGACTCTCAGTTTTACAGACAAGAGAGAGTTATGTGCCAGATGAACATGGCACTTCCCCTTACACAAATTTGGCAGCTTCTACAGTCAGATCACGCAACAGCCAGCAGCTGACACACCAACCCTGCTGTAGAAACTGACCAGCAATATCACTGTGGCAGAACAATACTGAAAAAGAAACTGATCACATACAACTGTGTGACAGGCTAAATGTTCATACATGACACTGTGAGAGACCCAACAATGGCAAAGTATACTGTAACAACAGACAACAAGGTGACAGACAACAAGGGAATACAGACAAATCTTACCAAACTCTGGACTCTGCTCTAGATATCTCTGCAGCATGAAAATCAAATTCCAACCAGGCAGGAAAAAGAGGACAGCTCCTGGCACATTGAGGCTCTTGATGTATCGCAGCAATGACTGAAGATGGGCAACAGAACAAAACAAGCATCAATAAATGGCAGCATTCTGTACTGTTGTCTGTCAGGGGGGGTAGCCTGCGCTGGTGTCTGTCAGGGGGGTAGTCTGCACTGGTGTCTGTCACTGGGTAGCCTGCACTGGTGTCTGTCAGGGGGTAGCCTGCACTGGTGTCTGTCAGGGGGTAGCCTGCACTGGTGTCTGTCAGGGGGTAGCCTGCACTGGTGTCTGTCAGGAGGTAGCCTGCACTGGTGTCTGTCAGGGGGTAGCCTGCACTGGTGTTTGTCAGGGGGGTAGTCTGCACTGGTGTCTGTCAGGGGGTAGCCTGCACTGGTGTCTGTCAGGGGGTAGCCTGCACTGGTGTCTGTCAGTGGGGTAGCCTGCACTGGTTTCTGTCAGAGTGGTAGCCTGCACTGGTGCCTCTAAGGGAGGTAGCCTGCACTGGTGTCTGTCAGGAGGTAGCCTGCACTGGTGCCTCTAAGGGAGGTAGTCTGCACTGGTGTCTGTCAGTGGGGTAGCCTGCACTGGTGCCTCTAAGAGAGGTAGTCTGTACTCCCTTTATCTCAACCACACACACAGTGAGCTCCCTTTATCTATTTCAATGACACACATAAACATATAGAATTCCCTTTATATCTCAATCTCACACAAACACAGTAACCTCCCACAAACATAGTCAACTCCTTTTTTCTCAACCACATACAAACACAGTGAACTCCCTTACTTTCAACCACACATAAACACAGTGAACTCTCTTCATCCCAGTGACAAATAAACATAAAGAATTCCCTTTATCTCAACCACACACAAACACAGTGAACTCCTGCAAGACACCCCCCCCCCCAACACACACACACAATTAAGTGAACAAGAACAGCTAACCCCTGACCTCAACAAGTTCAAAAGAAATCTCCTTCTCTGGAATTTGAGCCATGGCCATCTTTGTTGACTCCAAGTAGCTGGGTTCAATCATTTTATTGCAGTTCTCCTGTGGAAGAGACAATCATTTCATTACAGTTCTCCTGTGTGAGAAACAATGATTTTATTGCAGTTGTGTGGAAAGACAATCATTTCATTACAGTTCTACTGTATGAGAGACAATAATTTAATTACAGTTCTCCTGTGTAAGAGACAATGATATTATTGTAGCTCTCCTGTGTGTGAGAGACAATGATTTTATTGTAGCTCTCCTGTGTTAGAGAGACAATGATTTTATTGTAGCTCTCCTGTGTGTGAGAGACAATGATTTTATTGTAGCTCTCCTGTGTGTGAGAGACAATGATTTTATTGTAGCTCTCCTGTGTTAGAGGGACAAAGATTTTATTGTAGCTCTCCTGTGTGTGAGAGACAATGATTTTATTGCAGTTCTCCTGTGTGTGAGAGACAATGATTTTATTGCAGTTCTCCTGTGTGAGAGAGACAATAATTTCATTACAGTTCTCCTGTGTGTGAGAGACAATGATTTTATTGCAGTTCTCTTGTGTAGAGAGACAATGATTTTATTGCAGTTCTCCTGTGTGTGAGAGACAATGATTTTATTGCAGTTCTCCTGTGTAAGAGACAATGATTTTATTGCAGTTATCCTGTGTAAGAGACAATGATTTTATTGCAGTTCTCCTGTGTAAGAAACAATGATTTTATTGCAGTTCTCCTGTGTGTAAGAGACAATGATTTCATTACAGTTCTCCTGTGTAAGAGACAATGATTTTATTGCAGTTCTCCTGTGTGTAAGAGACAATGATTTCATTACAGTTCTCCTGTGTAAGAGACAATGATTTTATTGCAGTTATCCTGTGTAAGAGACAATGATTTTATTGCAGTTCTCCTGTGTAAGAAACAATGATTTTATTGCAGTTCTCCTGTGTAAGAGAGAATGATTTTATTGCAGTTCTTCTGTGTAAGAGACAATGATTTTATTGCAGTTCTCCTGTGTGGGAGACAATCATTACATTGCAGTTCTCCTGTGTTGGAGAGAGAATCATTTCATTACAGTTCTCCTGTGTGGGATAGACAATGATTTTTTTGCAGTTCTCCTGTGTGGGAGAGACACTGATTTTATTGTAGTTCTCCTGTGTGGGAGAGACAATGATTTTATTGCAGTTCTCCTGTGTGAGAGAGACAATCATTTCATTACAGTTCTCCTGTGTGGGAGAGACAATCATTTTATTACAGTTCTCCTGTGTGGGATAGAGAATCATTTCATTACAGTTCTCCTGTGTGGGAGAGACAATCATTTTATTACAGTTCTCCTGTGTGGGATAGAGAATCATTTCATTACAGTTCTCCTGTGTGGGAGAGACAATCATTTCATTACAGTTCTCCTGTGTGGGAGAGACAATCATTTCATTGCAGTTCTCCTGTGTGGGAGAGACAATCATTTCATTACAGTTCGCCTGTGTGGGAGAGACAATCATTTCATTACAGTTCTCCTGTGTGGGAGACAATCATTTCATTACAGTTCTCCTGTGTGAGAGAGGCAATCATTTCATTACAGTTCTCCTGTGTGGGAGACAATCATTTCATTACAGTTCTCCTGTGTGAGAGAGACAATCATTTCATTACAGGTTTCCTGTGTGAGAGAGACAATCATTTCATTATAGTTCTCCTGTGTGGGAGAGACAATCATTTTATTGCAGTTCTTTAACAAGACAGAATATTAAATTTGGGGGGAGGTCGGGGGGACAGAGACCCTGCACTTAATGACAGATGAAGGTAAATTATGATGTCATAAAAACTCTGAAATAAGCATTTCTTTTTTCATAACAAAAATCCTTCAAATCTCTTTTTTCTGCATTCATCCTAAGATGTAAATGTGCTGTGCCCGTTTATAACATGACTACGATATTTGCACCTTTTAGTGACACATCTGACTTCTGCAGGCAATTGTTGCCTGGTTTAGCCTTCCTGGAAATTCGTCAAGTCATATCCAACCAATAAAAACCATAGAGGTCCCACAAGTCATGCTTGGACCTGGTAATAGAACCAGGACTGACCACAGCCCCCAAAGATCCCTTAATAATGCAACCTGGAGTATTCACAACCTAAAAGAGGTCTCTCAAGTAATGCCAACAGCTTGTACTTGCTAGCACTTTATGATGTAACCAGGACTGGGGTTAAATTATTCATTCTCATATAACTGAAGTCACAGTCGCAGTCAGGCCTTCTATCATGGAAACTGTCCAGGCACTATTTAAATAATTCAGAGGAATACAGAGACATGTGCATTCAATACTTACATCCTCATCTGCATCTACTCCTTCATCATCATCATCCTTATGTTTGTTCTTTCTGCGATCATTGGGGGGAGGTACAAACTTCAGCATCTCAATGACATCCTCCAGGTAATACTCTGGTGGTAGGTACATCAGATATTCATCAATCATTTACTGATCTTCTACATCAGATATTCATCAACCATTCACTGATCTTCTACATCATCGCTTGTCTATGATTAGCTATAAAAAACTTCCTCAATAAACACTCATAAAAGAGCAAGATTTGGAAGCAGAGATATTGTTTTTGGATGAATAATGAGAAAACCCTGAATAGATTTTTTTTTAAAAAAGGTAATAAAGATGAAGAGAACAGATTGCCCACAACAGAAAGAAACAATCCACATTCTTTGGTCTTGGAATGAGAAGAAGAATACTGGAGTACATCATGACAGTAAGAAATGTCCAGGGGAAGAGAGGCAGACCCAGAGAAAAGATGCTAGACAGTTTTACATCATGGATTGGAGGATCATCTGCATCAGAGCTGACTGAAAGTACAAGAGACAGAACGTTGTGGATAGGCATGATTACCAACACCACACGGCATGGACTTGAGGAAGAAGAAAGAGCAACAGGTAAGATGGCTTGGTACCACTGCCACAAGAGAGTCACATAGAAGAAATATAATGACCACAGTGCTGAACAAACGAAAGAACTTTTTTTTAAAGGGTTGCAAATTGGGCACGCAGGCCCGTCTTACATTCGGCCCTTCCAAACACCTGTCTTTCACACTGCAGCTGTATTTTATCAATAAGCATGTAATATTTATATGATAATATGCATATTATGAATATCAAAAAAAAAAAAACACACACAAAAGCATGGGTGGTAAAATGCATGCACACACATGCACACACCCACACACCCACATACCTGCACACACACATAAACACACACATAAACACACCTCATTCACCCACATACAAAGCTACATACCCACACAGACACGCACTCACTTAACACACCCACATACCTTCACACACACATAAACATACCCCATTCACCCACATACAAAGCTACATATCCACACAGACACGCACATTCTGCACACATACAAACATACAGATTTAAACACAGAGACACACCCATAGAAACAAATGCAGACACATACACACAAACAGACATTTGCGCACATACCTAATTACACACGCAAATACACAAACACAGACACACACATGCGACACACACACACACAAACCAGCATACACACATGCAGACACACACAGACACATATGCACATACACACGCAGACTCAAACACACACACATATATACTCGGAGACACACAAACACACACACAATCGCAGACACACACACACACGCTGATGCTTACGCAGATACACACACCCACAGATACACACATGCAAACACATATACAGACATACATATACAGTCACACACGCAGATACAAATACACACACATGTTGACACATCCAGAGACACTACACACAGAGACATACACAGATATATACACACAGAGACACGCATATACACAGGCAATTACCCAGACACACATACACATACAGGCACATACAAAGACACACCCTGAGATAGGAGGAGGCAAAAAAGACAGCATTAAAAACAGCCTTACAGTAATGAACAACAAAACACATTAGCAAGAGAACACAAAAGACCCTGACATCTCTCCCCGCAACATTTCCATGAAGTCAGTGGAGGAAGCCAAGAAAGGGAAGAAGACTGATCACTTCTTGTCTACAACTGTACATGAGAGAAGGGATGTCAGTTGACTTCAGCGGCGACAGCAGCATCAACCAGACCAACCACACACTTGCGACTAGGGCTGTACCGAATAGTGATTTTCACTATTCGGCCGAATACGAATAGCTGGACCAACTATTTGGCTGAATACAAATACAAATATGAATAGTGAATCATCATCAGGTGCTTTGCCGACTGGCATAGGCGATTATGCCTTGCCACAATCTGCTATCTCCTGCAGCATGTATTAGTTCGTGTGCTGACACACCTCCATGCCATGCAACAAGACTGTCAAGAATCTTCTCTCGTCTTCCTCTATCCCTCCTTCCACAGATCTTTCCAGTGATCACCACATGTTCCATTTTCCCTCATCTTATAACATGGCCGAAAAATGATGACTGTCTCCTTCTGATGTCTGTGAGTAGTTGTCTTCGGGCTCCCGCCAGAAACCTCTTGGTTGCTTTTTTTGGCTGTCCAAGGTATTTTAAACATTGTTCTGTAAAACCACATCTCTGAGGTGTCAAGAAATTGTTTGGCCTGCCTACCGATTGTCCAGGACTCACAGCCATATGTTAAAACTGGATGTATGTATCAAGCAAGAAAGCATTAGCTTTCAAAAATAAGGGTGTTTCCAGCTGTACTAAACAGATGTTCACTTGGTACACTCGTAGGTGGTGCAATAAATAACGCTTCACAGTATGAACCAATGTGGGAAATCTTGATATGTTCATTTTCTACCAGTCCAGACACGGGTGTGAGGTAACAACTATTTGGCCAAATACCGAATAGTTATTAGGTCCACTATTCAGTCCCGAAGCAAATACGAAGCGTCTATTCGGTACAGCCCAACTTGCAACATGTCAATATTTCAGGTTACATGTCTCATAAACAACAGTTATTTATCAAAATACTATAAGAGCAATTGACAGTACATCAACATCACGCAGTACACCAACATCACGCAGTACATCAACGTCACACAGTACATCAACATCACGCAGTACATCAACATCACGCAGTACATCAACATCACGCAGTACATCAACATCACGCAGTACATCTACATCACGCAGTACATCAACATCACACAGTATATCAACACCACGCAGTACATCAACATCACGCAGTACATCAACATCACGCAGTACATCAACATCACGCAGTACATCAACATCACGCAGTACATCAACATCATGCAGTACATCAACATCACGCAGTACACCAACATCAGGCAGTACATCAATATTGTTCACTTCACCGCACACTGGACATGATCCTCAGTGCTCCAATCTCCTCCCAAATATGTCTCCAAGTGTTTTTAGGCTAACAACTCTCATTCTGTTGTGGCTGATGTAACTACAGGTGGCTCCCGCATGGTTTTCCTGTCTCCTAGCTGCAACTGGTACACCAGACTGTGCAGTCTATTCAGTAACTAATCATTTTCTATGAAACTGAAAGCCTCACAACATTTAGTCTCTCTTATGGCATTAATAATGTTTCTCCTGTCCATAGATAGCCCATTACTGATAGTCACACTGCCAGCCAGAGCCTCTGCTCTCTCATTGCCTTTTACAACAGCATACCCTGTGACAAATATGAAGGTGATTTTGCAAAATGCTTTGTACTGTATCAGAGAGAGCCACTGTTTCCAAATGTACCCGGCTCAATCTTCTGTAGCATGCTCATTGTGTCACTGAGCAAACATGTACTGGTTTATTTCTGAGTTTCCAGCTTTTCTAGGACAGTTGTGATTTCCACTGAATTAGAGGAATCAATGAAAACAGCCAGCCAGCCAGAAGACATAGGACTAGAGACGTACCTTGAACTGGGAATGTTCTGCCATAGACCTCCACAATAGCCACCTGGCCAAAGTATTCAGTGAACAGTGTGGTGTCCACTGTGGCCGACATGAGGACAATCCTTAGATCTGTGTACGTTCGCACCATGTCACGTAGAAGAACCAGCAGGAAGTCAGTCTGTCAGACATAACAATCATCATCAATCTAATCAGGCAGCCTCATCAATCAGTGCACACAACAATCATCATCAATCTTTCAAAGCACTCATTAATCAGTGCATACAACAATCATCAACAATCTTTTAAAGCGATCTCATTAATCAGTGCATACTACAATCATCACCAATCTTTCAAAGCAGTCTCATTAATCAGTGCACACAACAATAATCACCAATCTTTCAAAGCAATCTCATTAATCAGTGCATACAACAATCATCACCAATCTTTCAAAGCAGTCTCATTATTCAGTGCATACAACAATCATCACCAATCTTTCAAAGCAGTCGCATTAATCAGTGCACACAACAATCATCATCAATCTTTCATGGCAGTCTCATCAATCAGTGCACACAACAATCATCATCAATCAGTGCACACAACAATCATCGCCAATCTAACCTGGCAGCCTCATCAATCAGTGCACATAACAATCTTCACCAATGTAACCAGGCAGTCTCAATCATCAGTGCATACAACAATCATCACCAATCTTACCTGGCAGTCTCAACAATCATCACCAATCTACCCAGGCAGCCTCATCAATCAGTGCACATAACAACCAACATCAATCTATCCTAGCCTGCACATCATTCAGTGCACATAACAATTATCATCAGTTTAATTTAGCAACCTCATTATTCACTGCATAAAACAATCATCATCAATCTAGCTCACAGGCCTTATCAATCAGTGCACACAACAATCATCACCAATCTTACCCAGCAGCCACATCAATCAGTGCACACAACAATCATCATCAATCTAGCTCAGCAGCCTTATCATTCAGTGCACACAACAATCATTACCAATCTAACCCAGCAGCCACATCAATCAGTGCACACAACAATCATTACCAATCTAACCCAGCAGCCACATCATTCAGTGCACACAACAATCATTACCAATCTAACCCAGCAGCCACATCAATCAGTGCACACAACAATCATTACCAATCTAACCCAGCAGCCACATCAATCAGTGCACACAACAATCATTAACAATCTAACCCAGCAGCCACATCAATCAGTGCACACAACAATCATTACCAATCTAACCCAGCAGCCACATCAATCAGTGCACACAACAATCATTAACAATCTAACCCAGCAGCCACATCATTCAGTGCACACAACAATCATCACCAATTTAATTTAGCAGCCACATCATTCAGTGCACACAAGAATCATCACCGATCTAACCCAGCTGCTTCATAAATCAGTGCACACAACAATCATTACCAATCTAACCCAGCTGCTTCATAAATCAGTGCCCACAACAATCATCCCCAATCTAACCCAGCTGCTTCATAAATCAGTGCACACAACAATCATCACCAATCTAACCCAGCTGCTTCATAAATCAGTGCCCACAACAATCATCCCCAATCTAACCCAGCTGCTTCATAAATCAGTGCACACAACAATCAGCACCAATCTAACCCAGCTGCTTCACAAATCAGTGCACACAACAATTATTACCAATCTAACCCAGCTGCTTCACAAATCAGTGTACACAACAATCATCATCAATCTAACCTACCTGCTTCACAAATCAGTGCACACAACAATCATTAACAATCTAACCTAGCAGCCACATCAATCAGTGCTTACAACAATCATCACCAATCTAACCCAGCTGCTTCACAAATCAGTGCACGCAACAATCATCATCCATTCAATTCCAATTCCTTTTAAAGAAAAAAATCAAAAGCTAAAACACGTTCAACCTGCTGCCAGCTAGCCGAAGTGGTTTTGTTTATTTGCGCAGTCACTGGGTTTAATGCTTCTTTCCTCCATGTCGGACCGCCATATCTAACCCAGCATCCATATCAATCAGTGTACACAACACAGGTATCTACCTGAACCTGCTAAGCTCAGCCCCTGTCCACAACTGCAGGCAGTGGGGGTATATGGTGCTCACCCTGTATTTACATACACACATGCGAATTCAATAGCTAACGTGGTCAATGCATAGGACAGGTGAGGTGGTGGTGATGCTGAACTTACATTGATGTCTCTCTCGTGTATTTCATCCACAATGACGTGCGACACACCTCGGAGGCCACCTTCCAGACGTCTCAGCAAGGTTCCTGGTGAGGGTAGGCAGAAACATCAACAATGACACTTCCAGTGTGCTCCAAACAACTGCTTTAATTAACACGAGTCTACAGTCTACACTTACATGTGATTACTGATAGAATGTCTATCCAACAATCACTAACACCTGAGTCTACAGTCTACACTGACATGTGCTTACTGATGGAAACTATTCATCAATCACTAACACCTGTCTACAGTCTACACTGACATGTGATTACTGATGGAATGTCTATCCAACAATCACTAACACCTGAGTCTACAGTCTACACTGAAATGTGATTACTGATGGAACATCTATCCAACAATCACTAACACCTGATAGTCTACAGTCTACACTGACATGTGATTACTGATGGAACATCTATCCAAAAATCACTAACACCTGACAGTCTACAGTCTACACTGACATGTGATTACTGATGGAACGTCTATCCAACAATCACTAACACCTGAGAGTCTACGGTCTACACTGACATGTGATTACTGATGGAACGTCTATCCAACAATCACTAACACCTGAGAGTCTACGGTCTACACTGACATGTGATTACTGATGGAACGTATATCCAACAATCACTAATACCTGAGTCTACGGTCTACACTAACATGTGATTACTGATGGAACATCTATCCAACAATTACTGACACCTGAGTCTACGGTCTACACTGACATGTGATTACTGATGGAACATCTATCAAACAATCACTAACACCTGAGTCTACGGTCTACACTGACATGTGATTACTGATGGAACGTATATCCAACAATCACTAACACCTGAGTCTACTGTCTACACTGACATGTGATTACTGATGGAACATCTATCCAACAATCACTAACACCTGAGTCTACGGTCTACACTGACATGTGATTACTGATGGAACATCTATCCAACAATCACTAACACCAGAATAGCATGCATCTACAACAGTCATTACATCAGCTTACTGAAGGGTGTACCTAGCAAACATTTTACTTTGTGTGCACATATGTGTGTATTCAAGCAAAGAAAGTCGGCACTAAAACAGGGAGAAAGAAGGGAAAGGAGAAAGAAAGAAAGAAAGAAAGAAAGAAGAGGGGAAGAATGTAGCAGGAAGGGCAGTGCAGGGCACCCCGGGTGTCATTACCGTGGGGGAGGGGGTGCCGTCACTCCAGGTGTCATCACTATTTGTAGAGAAAGGGGAGAGGCAATTCTGTAAAATAATTATACATATATTTAATGTGTCTAAATGTGCTACGCCAAATGAAGGTAGGTAGAGGTGGGAAGGAGCAGAAAGGGGCACAGTTCACCACTGGCGATCAAGAGATCAGTTTAAATGATGTAACCCCAAACAAAACTGTCACCGCAAAAAAGCCTGACTGCTGAAAATCACACAACATTTAACACATCTGTTTGTTATTTATCCACGTCCAAGTGCAGTGTATACAGTTCAAAGATTTGTTGGTAAAGCTCCAGACCTTGAGAGGGATTTTGCATTTCCCTATTTTTTCATGGTTTTAAGACCCGCTACAAACCCTGTAGATTTTCCAGGTCCTTCTGATTTTATCATTTACAGTTGCATAGATATCGCCGTTTTCTTAAAGGGGCGAATTTGTTTGACCAGTGTCATGATAATATGCGTGCCTTCTAAACAAACAAACAAACAAGAATACACAGTATTAGCACACAGATGGAGATTGTGTGGACATGTACAAGTGTGTGAAACACTGTGTTCATGCCACTCACGGGAAGCTAATGCTGGAAATGTCCACCTGAGAGGGAAACGCCCAAGAAATTTGAACAACCTGATGTTTTCACAAGTTTCCCTTACTGAACTAACTAACTATCAGCAAGCTGACAGACTGCTGCGAATCAGGTGTCTGGTGTTTTCACAAGTTTCCCTTACTTAACTATCAGCAAGCTGATGGAATGTCTATCCAACAATCACTAACACCTGAGTCTACAGTCTACACTGAAATGTGATTACTGATGGAAAATCTATCCAACAATCACTAACACCTGATAGTCTACAGTCTACACTGACATGTGATTACTGATGGAACATCTATCCAAAAATCACTAACACCTGACAATCTACAGTCTACACTGACATGTGATTACTGATGGAACGTCTATCCAACAATCACTAACACCTGCTGTGAATCAGGTGTCTGTTTTTTCACACGCCATAAATAAGGCAAATTTAAAACTAGATGTCTGTTTACATTAACAAACAGAACACAAGTGGTTCTTACATGAGCATGATTATCAACCAACAGGTTGTATGCCAAACTGCAACAACTTATACCAAATGGTAACAGAGTAACAGATTGTTAAAGTTTAGCATAACCTCTGGAAGGAGATCATATATAGTGCTCAACTGCTAGTTGGGTCTAACAAAACTATACTATCTGCCTCAAATAAGTTTCTATGCACCTCATTAGATTGTCAGTTGATCTCTTGAAGGAACCATACATTTCTCAACTTCTAGTTGGGTCTCACAGGCTATTACTGTCTGCCTCTAATAAGTTTGTATACCCCTCTTTAGGTTGTCGGCTGATTTCTATGAAGTACTATGTCCTCTATGCAATACTATCACAGCCAATAAACAGCTGCCTATAAAGCTGAAATCCTCCATTCAGGTCTAGACGTTTGCCAGTGCAAGCCATGTGTACATCAGCATTCTTATTATACATAACTAAACATGATCACCAACATAACAGATGAAGATATCCGACAAGAGGTGACAACTCACCAACTGTGCAGTACATGATAGCACCATATGGTCTAGGCATCACAGACTCGAACCTGACACTGTAACCTACTGACATGCCTAGCATCTCTGCCCGCTCACTGGCCACACGTTCAGCTATAGTCACAGCACTGATTCTCCGAGGCTGGAAATGAGATGCAAGGTCTACTGTTACATTTCCATGGCAACTGTTACATTTCCATGGCAACTGTTACATTTCCATGGCAACTGTTACATTTCCATGGCAACTGTTACATTTACATGGCAACTGTTATATTTCCATGGCAACTGTTACATTTCCATGGCAACTGTTACATTTCCATGGCAACAACACATTTCTCACGTCACTACAGTCATACATCAAGACATGGAACACAGAGGTGAGGTGCAAGGTCTACTGTTACATTTCCATGGCAACAACACATTTCTCACGTCACTACAGTCATACATCAAGACATGGAACACAGAGGTGAGGTGCAAGGTCTACTGTTACATTTCCATGGCAACAACACATTTCTCACGTCACTACAGTCATACATCAAGACATGGAACACAGAGGTGAGGTGCAAGGTCTACTGTTACATTTACATGGCAACAACACATTTCTCACTACACTAGTCATACATCAAGACATGGAACCACTGACCCTATCAGGCTGGCTGGTAAATTTGACATTTCCATGGCAGTTTTCAGCTGGTCCAGTCAAAGCAACACCCTTCCCACTCCAATTATAAAAACTACAGACAATCATACAGTTAGACAATGGAACATATAGCAGAACTTGCACTGAGGTCATCACAATACTCCATTTATCCTTAATAAAGATTGAAAAGTTCTAAAAATATCTACTTTCTTGTCATCATTCCACCTTATTTACCGACAGCTATCCCCAACTATAATTTGTCCCAGATTTTAGTCTGTCTTCTGTCTAAACCAATATATAATATCAGAACTGTGAGATTTGGTGTCACAACAGCATGCCATCACTGCCTTGAGACAGAACTGTGAGATTTGGTGTCACAACAGCACGCCATCACTGCCTTGAGACAGAACTGTGAGATTTGGTGTCACAAAAGCACGCCATCACTACCTTGAGTCAGAACTGTGAGATTTGGTGTCACAACAGCACGCCATCACTACCTTGAGACAGAACTGTGAGATTTGGTGTCACAACAGCATGCCATCACTGTCTTGAGACAGAACTGTGAGATTTGGTGTCACAACAGCACGCCATAACTGCCTTGAGACAGAACTGTGAGATTTGGTGTCACAACAGCACGCCATCACTGCCTTGAGATAGAACTGTGACATTTAGTGTCACAATGGCATGCCATCACTACCTTGAGGCAGAACTGTGAGACTTGGTGTCACAACAGCACGCCATCACTACCTTGAGACAGAACTGTGACATTTAGTGTCACAATGGCACGCCATCACTACCTTGAGGCAGAACTGTGAGACTTGGTGTCACAACAGCACGCCATCACTGCCTTGAGACAGAACTGTGAGATTTGGGGTCACAACAGCATGCCATCACTACCTTGAGGCAGAACTGTGAGATTTGGTGTCACAACAGCACGCCATCACTACCTTGAGGCAGAACTGTGAGATTTGGTGACACAACAGCACGACATCACTGACCTGAGGCAGAAATGTGAGATTTGGTGTCACAATGGCATGCCATCACTACCTTGAGACAGAACTGTGAGATTTGGTGTCACAACAGCACGCCATCACTGCCTTGAGGCAGAACTGTGACATTTAGTGTCACAACGGCATGCCATCACTGCCTTGATACAGCAATGCCAGATTTAGTGTCACAACAGCACACCATCAATGCCTTGAGACAGAACTGTGAGACTTGATGTCACAACAGCACGCCATCACTGCCTTGAGACAGAACTGTGAGATTTGGTGTCACAACAGCATGCCATCACTGCCTTGAGGCAGAACTGTGAGACTTGGTGTCACAACAGCACGCCATCACAGCCCTGAGACAGCGCTGTGAGATTTGGTGTCACAACAGCACGCCATCACTGCCTTGAGACAGAACTGTGAGATTTTGTGTCACAACAGCATGCCAACACTACCTTGAGATAGAACAGTGAGATTTTGTGTCACAACAGCACGCTATCACTGCCTTTAGACAGCACTGTCAGATTTGGTGTCACAACAGCACGCCATCATTGCCTTATGAAAGAACTGTGAGACTTGGTGTCAAAACAGCATGCTATCACTGCCTTGATACAGAACTGTGAGATTAGGTGTAACAACAGCACGTCATCACTGTCTTGAGACAGAACTTTGTGGCAAGCTGTTCGCATTTTCTAGGTAAGCTGAGATAATTTTCAATCTTGATTTGCTGACAGGAGTATCAACTGTGCTTGTGCTCAAGTGTTCATTTACTCAGTGTGCTGGTTAATTAAACATTGCAAATCACTATCATCCATTTCATTTATTTTCTTTAAATTGATGTAATAAACGTAATTTTAAGTCCTTATAAAATCTTATTTGGGTAAAATGAATTGTACTCCTAGCTTCAAGTGTCTTTGTTTATACTTATTGACCTCAACTCTCTTAGATACAAATTATGTGATGAGGGCAATTGTAGAAATCAATATCAGGAGCAGAGTAAGTTGGAGGAGTGAACTGAACATCTTGATATTCTCACCATAAAGTCATCTTGATATCTAACTATCCCTTTGCTACTCTTGTGGGTACCGTCAGGGTCCTGTGTGGGTATGATGATAGTGTTTGACTGACTAACAGTTGCCATTTTAAAGCGCTCCAGCCGGCTGTGGCGGGGATGATGCCACCTCTAAGGCTATCTGTACCATTTGTATTGAAGGCTAATGGTATTGGCGTTGCTGTGTGTTGATAGATTTACTGTCACAGGAGCTGTGTGCTGATAGATGTACTGTCATAAGAGCTGTGTGTTGATAGATGTGCTGTCATAAGAGTTGTGCTGATAGAGGTACTGTCATAAGAGCTGTGTGTTGATAGAGATACTGTCATAAGAGCTGTGTGTTGATAGAGGTACTGTCATAAGAGCTGTGTGTTGATAGATGTACTGTCATAGGAGCTGTGTGTTGATTGATGTACTGTCATAAGAGCTGTGTGTTGATAGAGGTACTGACATAAGAGCTGTGTGTTGATAGATGTACTGTCATAAGAGCTGTGTGCTGATTGATGTACTGTCATAAGAGCTGTGTGTTGATTGATGTACTGTCATAAGAGCTGTGTGTTGATAGAGGTACTGTCATAAGAGCTGTGAGTTGATTGATGTACTGTCATAAGAGCTGTGTGTTGATTGATGTACTGTCATAAGAGCTGTGTGTTGATAGAGGTACTGTCATAAGAGCTGTGTGTTGATAGAGGTACTGTCATAAGAGCTGTGTGTTGATAGAGGTACTGTCATAAGAGCTGTGTGTTGATAGAGGTACTGTCATAAGAGCTGTGTGTTGATAGATGTACAGTCATAAGAGCTGTGTGCTGATAGAGGTACTGTCATAAGAGTTGTGTGTTGATAGAGGTACTGTCATAAGAGCTGTGTGTTGATAGATGTACAGTCATAAGAGTTGTGTGTTGATAGAGGTACTGTCATAAGAGTTGTGTGTTGATAGATGTGTGCTGATAGAGGTACTGTCATAAGAGCTGTGTGTTGATAGATGTACAGTCATAAGAGCTGTGTGTTGATAGATGTACAGTCATAAGAGCTGTGTGTTGATAGATGTACAGTCATAAGAGCTGTGTGCTGATAGAGGTACTGTCATAAGAGCTGTGTGTTGATAGATGTACTGTCATAAGAGCTGTGTGCTGATAGAGGTACAGTCATAAGAGCTGTGTGTTGATAGATGTACAGTCATAAGAGCTGTGTGTTGATAGATGTACAGTCATAAGAGCTGTGTGCTGATAGAGGTACTGTCATAAGAGCTGTGTGCTGATAGAGGTACTGTCATAAGAGCTGTGTGTTGATAGATGTACTGTCATAAGAGCTGTGTGCTGATAGAGGTACAGTCATAAGAGCTGTGTGTTGATAGATGTACAGTCATAAGAGCTGTGTGTTGATAGATGTACTGTCATAAGAGCTGTGTGCTGATAGATGTACAGTCATAAGAGCTGTGTGCTGATTGATGTACTGTCATAAAAGCTGTGTGTTGATAGATGTACTGTCATAAGAGCTGTGTGTTGATAGATGTACAGTCATAAGAGCTGTGTGTTGATAGATGTACAGCCATAAGAGCTGTGTGTTGATAGATGTACAGTCATAAGAGCTGTGTGTTAATAGAGGTACAGCTATAAGAGCTATGTGTTGATAGATGTACTGTCATAAGAGCTGTGTGTTGATTAATGTACTGTCACAAGAGCTGTGTGTTGATAGATGTACTGTCATAAGAGCTGTGTGTTGATAGATGTACAGTCATAAGAGCTGTGTGTTGATAGATGTACAGCCATAAGAGCTGTGTGTTGATAGATGTACAGTCATAAGAGCTGTGTGTTAATAGAGGTACAGCTATAAGAGCTATGTGTTGATAGATGTACTGTCATAAGAGCTGTGTGTTGATTAATGTACTGTCACAAGAGTTGTGTGTTGATAGATGTACAGTCATAAGAGCTGTGAGTTGATAGAGGTATTGTCATAAGAGCTGTGTGTTGATAGATGTACGTCATAAGAGCTGTGTGTTGATAGAGGTAATGTCATAAGAGCTGTATGTTGATAGAGGTACTGTCATAAGAGCTGTGTGTTGATAGATGTACTGCCATAAGAGCTGTGTGTTGATAGAGGTACTGTCATAAGAGCTGTGTGTTGATAGAGGTAAGGTCATAAGAGCTGTGTGTTGATAGAGGTACTGATATAAGAGCTGTGTGTTGATAGATGTACTGCCATAAGAGCTGTGTGTTGATAGATGTACTGTCATAAGAGTTGTGTGTTGATAGAGGTACTGTCATAAGAGCTGTGTGTTGATAGATGTACTGTCATAAGAGCTGTGTGTTGATTGATGTACTGTCATAAGAGCTGTGTGTTGATAGATGTACTGTCATAAGAGCTGTGTGTTAATAGATGTACTGTCATAAGAGCTGTGTGTTGATAGAGGTACTGTCATAAGAGCTGTGTGTTGATTGATGTACAGTCATAAGAGCTGTGTGTTGATTGATGTACTGTCATAAGAGCTGTGTGTTGATTGATGTACTGTCATAAGAGCTGTGTGTTGATAGATGTACTGTCATAAGAGCTGTTTTTTGATAGATGTACTGTCATAAGAGCTGTGTGTTGATAGATGTACTGATATAAGAGCCGTGTGTTGATAGATGTACTGCCATAAGAGCTGTGTGTTGATAGATGTACTGTCATAAGAGTTGTGTGTTAATAGAGGTACTGTCATAGGAGCTGTGTGTTGATAGATGTACTGTCATAAGAGCTGTGTGTTGATAGATGTACTGTCATAAGAGCTGTGTGTTGATTGATGTACTGTCATAAGAGCTGTGTGTTGATAGATGTACTGTCATAAGAGCTGTGTGTTGATAGATGTACTGTCATAAGAGCTGTGTGTTGATAGAGGTACTGTCAAAAGAGCTGTGTGTTGATTGATGTACTGTCATAAGAGCTGTGTGTTGATTGATGTACAGTCATAAGAGCTGTGTGTTGATTGATGTACTGTCATAAGAGCTGTGTGTTGATTGATGTACAGTCATAAGAGCTGTGTGTTGATAGAGGTACTGTCATAAGAGCTGTGTGTTGATTGATGTACTGTCATAAGAGCTGTGTGTTGATTGATGTACTGTCGTAAGAGCTGTGTGTTGATAGATGTACTGTCACAAGAGCTGTTTTTTGATAGATGTACTGTCATAAGAGCTGTGTGTTGATAGAGGTACTGTCAAAAGAGCTGTGTGTTGATTGATGTACTGTCATAAGAGCTGTGTGTTGATTGATGTACAGTCATAAGAGCTGTGTGTTGATTGATGTACTGTCATAAGAGCTGTGTGTTGATTGATGTACAGTCATAAGAGCTGTGTGTTGATAGAGGTACTGTCATAAGAGCTGTGTGTTGATTGATGTACTGTCATAAGAGCTGTGTGTTGATTGATGTACTGTCGTAAGAGCTGTGTGTTGATAGATGTACTGTCACAAGAGCTGTTTTTTGATAGATGTACTGTCATAAGAGCTGTGTGTTGATAGATGTACTGTCATAAGAGCTGTGTGTTGATAGAGGTGCTGTCATAAGAGCTGTGTGTTGATAGAGCTACTGTCATAAGAGCTGTGTGTTGATAGAGGTATTGTCGTAAGAGCTGTGTGTCGATAGATGTACGTCATAAGAGCTGTGTGTTGATAGAGGTACTGTCATAAGAGCTGTGTGTTGATAGAGGTACTGTCATAAGAGCTGTGTGTTGATAGATGTACTGCCATAAGAGCTGTGTGCTGATAGAGGTACTGTCATAAGAGCTGTGTGTTGATTGATGTACTGTCATAAGAGCTGTGTGTTGATAGAGGTACTGTCATAAGAGCTGTGTGTTGATAAAGGTAAGGTCATAAAAGCTGTGCGTTGATAGAGGTACTGTCATAAGAGCTGTGTGTTGATAGATGTACAGCCATAAGAGCTGTGTGCTGATAGATGTACTGTCATAAAAACTGTGTGTCAGCCATTGTTTGTAGTGCAGTAAATAGCTTAACGACAGGTACTAAGAACAGCTATTATATTTTTATTCTTTGAGGCATTATTGGCAGTTTTCTTTATTATCCAGGACTTAGTCTAGGATGAATATAGCTCAGACATTAGTCCAGTTTCTCAGACATTTACTACTCAAGTGTATATCCAGTAGGGTTGGCAACAATAATCCATTTACAGTAATAATCAATGTTTGGCATGTATCAATCTCTCTTCAGTAACAGTCGATCACCTTCTGAAATGTGGCAACCCATCTACAGTAGCTACATCTACAACTGTATCCAGCAGCTTACCTGAGTGACGATGATGCTGCAATGTGCTCCCTGTCCACAGTTGATCATCTGATCTAAGATAAACTGGGGCACCTGTCAAAGACCAGAGACACAGCAATAATGACAGGTTTGTCAATGTGTTTAGGTCAGCTAGTCAATAACTCATCAATCTATATTATTATAGTGCACTGCAACAACTGCTGTTGTAGAACACATGGAATGCAATCTGGCAGTCTTCTGCCACATCCTTACATGATAAACTGTGTTTCAAAGGTATTCTCTCTGGATTTTATGTGCACTTGTTTGTAGATAACATTCTAATGTCTAGATAGAATGCCTTCTAACAGAGTTCATGACCTCACATCCCTGTGTGGTATTATCTTTAGAAAATGTGATCTCACACACCCGTGTGGTTATATATCTAGAGAATGTGATCTCACAAACCCGTGTGGTTATATATCTAGAGAATATGATCTCTTAAACACCAGTTTGGTTATATATCTAGAGAATATGATCTCACACACCCGTGTGGTTATATTGTTGGATGTATTCTTAGGGGTAACACATCCAACCAAGTGTCCAGGGTGTATGACTTGCTTCAGTCACATACGAGAGCTATCTCAGACGACAACTCGGCTATAAGATTCCAACAGGAGAACAAGGAGAGGCCAAAAACAACAGGAACACCCCTATATACTAGGCACACATGATAACTAACATGTCCCATCGTAACCATTAACATTGTCTACGAGTACCGTAACATAATACACTACACCAAGTATAAGCTTGTAGTGCGATTAGTCTATTTTGGATAAACACATTGCGAAGACGATAAATGGTGATTGATGGCACACGGTCAAGTCACATGGACAAACACTCCAGCAAACTATGTCCCAGGTGCCTGCTACACGTGACCTGAGCGCGCAGATACACCTATGTGATGTGCAGAGACAATCCTTTGACTGCTCTGCCTGTAAAAGACTCTGCCCCCGAGGACTCAACGGAGATGCACCATGTGATGAAAAGAATCCAGTCCTACCATCTGCTACCCCAGCCACTCACTGAAACATACCGTTAATCAGCCTCCGATACCTCCCCATCATAATTTCACACTGGTGAACACAAAGTTCCCCAGCACTTTCTGTGCACTGAAGGAATCCCAAGTGCCGATCCTGCACATACGGCCGACACAAGTCCATTTCAGAAATTACAATGACAAAATTTCCGAGTCCTACTAATGATTCCACCACATCCACCCTGACAGTTCACACGAGCTAAACAGAATTAAATCCCAAAACCAAATTGTTAAAACTGTCACAACACAGTCCATCCGTCCACCGGACTGTCACAACACAGTCCATCCATCCACCGGACTGTCACAACACAGTCCATCCGTCCACTGAAATGTCACAACACAGTCCATCCGTCCACCGGACTGTCACAACACAGTCTATCTGTCCACCGGACTGTCACAACACAGTCTATCTGTCCACCGGACTGTCACAACACAGTCCATCCGTCCACCGGACTGTCACAACACAGTCCATCCATCCACCGGACTGTCACAACACAGTCCATCCGTCCACCGGACTGTTACAACACAGTCCATCCGTCCACCGGACTGTCACTACAGTCCATCCGTCCACCGGACTGTCACAACACAGTCCATCCGTCCACCGGACTGTCACAACACAGTCCATCCGTCCACCGGACTGTCACAACACAGTCCATCCGTCCACCCGACTGTCACAACACAGTCCATCCGTCCAACCGACTGTCACAACACAGTCCATCCGTCTACCGGACTGTCAAAACACAGTCTATCCGTCCACCGGACTGGAACAACTTATGTCCACACACTTAGATTGACTGAAACTGACTGATTCACTTAAATTACCATTGGTCCACTCACCTGTCTGCACCTGTACAGTCTCACATAGACCTGTCTTTCTACACCTGTAAAATCTTGCACAGACACTCTCATCTACACCTGTGAAATCTTGCACAGACCCCCCTGTCTACACCTGTCTAGTCCCACACAGACCTACTTGTCTACACCTGTATAGTCCCACACTCACCTGTCTACACCTGTACAGTCCCACACTCACTTGTCTACACCTGTACATTCCCAGACTCAAATGTCTACACCTGTATAGTCCCAGACTCACCTGTCTACACCTGTATAGTCCCAGACCCCCTGTCTACACCTGTCTAGTCCCACACAGACCTACATGTCTACACCTGTCTAGTCCCACACAGACCTACTTGTCTACACCTGTATAGTTCCACACTCACCTGTCTACACTTGTATAGTGTCACACAGACCTACTTGTGTACACCTATATAGTTCCACACTCACCTGTCTACATCTTACAGTCCCAGAAAAGACCCACCTGCCTACACCCGTACAGTAAAACACCTGTCTACAGCCCCAGTTACCTGTGTTGTTTTACCACAGCCAGTTTCACCTCGGATCAGAGTGACGGGATTGTCCTGGATCTGCTGAAGAATGTACTCACACGAGCCATGGACTGGCAGCTGTGCTCGCTTCTCTATCATCTGGAAACAGAAGATCAGGCTAAAATACTGGACTCAGGTGTGCAGAAACAACAATGCTACAACTCAAGGGGTTTGGGAAAACCTCTTCAGAAAGGTCCTTGCTCTGGACTCAGGTGTGCAGAAACACCTCATGGGGTTGAAGAAAACCTCTTCAGAAAGGTCCTAGCTCTGGACTCACACAGAGAAGAGAACAGGATGCAGAGGATATGAAACACGTGAAGGGGAGAAATCGATGGAGGAGAGTTCAAACATATGGAGAAGAGAAACTAATGTAGAAGACATCAAATGCATGGAAAAAAGAAAAAGGTAAAGTAGAAATAAAATATCCGTCCTCGTCAATATTTCTATGTTTATAAATTCATCATGTTTTTTCTTGACATTTCTGTTTGCTGTTCACCTGACAAAGTCAAAATTCATCCTTCCTCTGACACTGGCGGCCAGTCATCATAACTGCCAATTACTGCCTTCATACACCACTTGTGGTGTAGACAGGGGGCATTTTGAGCCTGAGGATTGAAGGCGGCATGGCTAGTGCTGTCGCCACGACTGTGCAGGTGAGGATTTTATTTTGGCAAGTCACCAGACGGGGAAAAAAAAAAAGAAACTGATTCAACAGTTATAAATGCAGACAATAGGGATTTGCTGCCTTGTGGGCAAAAATGCAGGTTTTCATCGATAAATGGCACGCAAACATTGATATAGTTAACCAGAATATTAATTTATTTGATGACAATGTGTTTGGAGACCTTTGGGACACTTTTTTTTTTTTTAAACCAGAATGAAACCAAGAATATGAAATCACTTCTTTCAACAAATGAGTGCTGGTGAACTGTCCAGAAATACTGATGAATCATCGAGACATCACTGACCAGAAGTGACATTACCTAATATTATATAAAAGAAGGAGACTGACTGCAATTCCAAACAATAGCCATGGTTTGTCATCCAGAAGGTAAATTTCTTGTTGAAATGTTGTGTATTTGTGTTGTCACCAGGACGAGTACATCTCTGTCACAGAGGTTAACATGTATTTGTGTTGTCACCAGGACGAGTACATCTCTGTCACAGTGGTTAAAGATGTAATAAACATGTATTTGTGTTGTCACCAGGACAAGTACATCTATGTCACAGCGGTTAACATGTATTTGTGTTGTCACCAGGACAAGTACATCTATGTCACAGTGGTTAACATGTATTTGTGTTGTCATCAGGACGAGTACATCTCTGTCACAGTGGTTAAAGATATAATAAACATGTATTTGTGTTGTCACCAGGACGAGTACATCTGTCAGTGGTTAAAGATGTAATAAACATGTATTTGTGTTCTCACCAGGACGAGTACATCTCTGTCAGTGGTTAAAGATGTAATAAACATGTATTTGTGTTGTCACCAGGACAAGTACATCTCTGTCAGTGGTTAAAGATGTAATAAACATGTATTTGTGTTGTCACCAAGACGATTACATCTCTGTCACAGTGGTTAAAGATGTAATAAACATGTATTTGTGATGTCACCAGGACAAGTACATCTATGTCACAGCGGTTAACATGTATTTGTGTTGTCACCAGGACAAGTACATCTATGTCACAGTGGCTAACATGTATTTGTGTTGTCACCAGGACAAGTACATCTATGTCACAGTGGTTAACATGTATTTGTGTTGTCATCAGGACGAGTACATCTCTGTCACAGTGGTTAAAGATATAATAAACATGTATTTGTGTTGTCACTAGGACGAGTACATCTGTCAGTGGTTAAAGATGTAATAAACATGTATTTGTGTTGTCACCAGGACGAGTACATCTCTGTCAGTGGTTAAAGATGTAATAAACATGTATTTGTGTTGTCACCAGGACGAGTACATCTCTGTCAGTGGTTAAAGATGTAATAAACATGTATTTGTGTTGTCACCAAGACGAGTACATCTCTGTCAGTGGTTAAAGATGTAATAAACATGTATTTGTGTTGTCACCAGGATAAGTACATCTCTGTCAGTGGTTAAAGATGTAATTAACATGTATTTATGTTGTGACCAGGACGAGTACATCTCTGTCACAGTGGTTAAAGATGTAATAAACATGTATTTATGTTGTCACCAGGACGAGTACATCTCTGTCAGTGGTTAAAGATGTAATAAACATGTATTTGTGTTGTCACCAGGACGAGTACATCTCTGTCACAGTGGTTACAGATGTAATAAACATGTGTTTACAATGATCTCCAAGATCAATGTCCAGGTGAAATTGTGTTGTTGTTAAAGAATAGATGAACACAATTGGGGACTGGGAACAGATTAAACCATTTTTGTTGGGGAAAACGTCTTTGATATTCATCTTTTTTTTTTTTTTGATATCCTTCCCTCAGGAACAGATTGAGGAATAGTGGAGTTCCACTGAATAGGGAAATGGAGGAGAAATCAAACATACACAGGGGAAAACTAAATTAAACACACACAAGGGAAAAGCTAAATCAAACACACAAGGGAAAAGCTAAATCAAACACACACAAGGGAAAAGCTAAATCAAACACACACATGAAAAGCTAAATCAAACACACACAAGGGAAAAGCTAAATCAAACACACAGGGAAAAGCTAAATCAAACACACTCAAGGGAAAAGCTAAATCAAACACGAAGGGAGACGGAGGAGATATCAGAAGCACGGAGTGCCTGGTATATGTGGGATGATGGCTACACTATGCTGGGGCATACAAGGCAGAAGATGGTGACAGCCACCAGTTGATATCTGAGCAAACATTAGTGAGGTTTTATGTGAGGTGTAGCATGCAAGACATGTCAGGAAACTTTTGTGAGGTACAGGTGACCCTTACCCCCTGGGGCATGTATGCCAGTTACTGCCAGGCTTTCTCCTCATTGTAACCAGTAAATGTTCAGTCTGTACCTGGGAGGTTGCAGTCAGTACTCATGACAACTGTATGTTGTACGTGTAATGAATACATGGTTGGTCTGACAACTAAGAGGACTGGTAGAACTTCCTGGCCTCCATTAATGGGTCTATCATCTGACACAGGAGGAGCTAAGTCTATGACAACCTACTCACACAGGATGTGCTAAGTCTATGACAACCTACTCACACAGGATGTGCTAAGTCTATGACAACCTACTCACACAGGAGGAGCTAAGTCTATGACAACCTACTCACACAGGAGGAGCTAAGTCTATGACAACCTACTCACACAGGAGGAGCTAAGTCTATGACAACCTACTCACACAGGATGTGCTAAGTCTATGACAACCTACTCACACAGGATGTGCTAAGTCTATGACAACCTACTCACACAGGATGTGCTAAGTCTATGACAACCTACTCACACAGGAGGTGCTAAGTCTATGACAACCTACTCACACAGGATGTGCTAAGTCTATGACAACCTACTCACACAGGATGTGCTAAGTCTATGACAATCTACTCACACAGGATGTGCTAAGTCTATGACAACCTACTCACACAGGATGTGCTAAGTCTATGACAACCTACTCACACAGGATGTGCTAAGTCTATGACAACCTACTCACACAGGATGTGCTAAGTCTATGACAACCTACTCACACAGGATGTGCTAAGTCTATGACAACCTACTCACACAGGAGGAGCTAAGTCTATGACAACCTACTCACACAGGAGGAGCTAAGTCTATGACAACCTACTCACACAGGAGGTGCTAAGTCTATGACAACCTACTCACACAGGATGTGCTAAGTCTATGACAACCTACTCACACAGGATGTGCTAAGTCTATGACAACCTACTCACACAGGATGTGCTAAGTCTATGACAACCTACTCACACAGGATGTGCTAAGTCTATGACAATCTACTCACACAGGATGTGCTAAGTCTATGACAACCTACTCACACAGGATGTGCTAAGTCTATGACAACCTACTCACACAGGAGGAGCTAAGTCTATGACAACCTACTCACACAGGATGTGCTAAGTCTATGACAACCTACTCACACAGGATGTGCTAAGTCTATGACAACCTACTCACACAGGATGAGCTAAGTCTATGACAACCTACTCACACAGGATGTGCTAAGTCTATGACAACCTACTCACACAGGATGTGCTAAGTCTATGACAACCTACTCACACAGGATGTGCTAAGTCTATGACAACCTACTCACACAGGAGGTGCTAAGTCTATGACAACCTACTCACACAGGATGTGCTAAGTCTATGACAACCTACTCACACAGGATGTGCTAAGTCTATGACAATCTACTCACACAGGATGTGCTAAGTCTATGACAACCTACTCACACAGGATGTGCTAAGTCTATGACAACCTACTCACACAGGATGTGCTAAGTCTATGACAACCTACTCACACAGGATGTGCTAAGTCTATGACAACCTACTCATACAGGATGTGCTAAGTCTATGACAACCTACTCACACAGGATGTGCTAAGTCTATGACAACCTACTCACACAGGAGGAGCTAAGTCTATGACAACCTACTCACACAGGAGGAGCTAAGTCTATGACAACCTACTCACACAGGATGTGCTAAGTCTATGACAACCTACTCACACAGGATGTGCTAAGTCTATGACAACCTACTCACACAGGATGTGCTAAGTCTATGACAACCTACTCACACAGGATGTGCTAAGTCTATGACAACCTACTCACACAGGATGTGCTAAGTCTATGACAATCTACTCACACAGGATGTGCTAAGTCTATGACAACCTACTCACACAGGATGTGCTAAGTCTATGACAACCTACTCACACAGGATGTGCTAAGTCTATGACAACCTACTCACACAGGATGTGCTAAGTCTATGACAACCTACTCACCTGCATGAGGTTTTGGTCCTCCTCATACTGCCTCTGCAGAGCCATGCGCAGGTCACTGCTGATTTCTTCAAGGGAGGCCTGGGGACAGACACACAAGCATGCAACCACTGACTGAACTCATCACTGAGCTAATAATACAAAACATTGGAGGGGGGGGGGGGGAAGAAGACACACATGGGATGAGAAACTGTAAACTCTTTCACAAAGCTAGAGTATCCCAGATATGGACAAGTATTACCAAATTACAACATATAAGACATGCCATAACCAGCATATGAGGTATGAAGATATCCTACAAACACAGACAGGACCAATGATCTCATAAAGGTTAGTTGAACACTGCTGACTGCTCTCATGAACCATACACACTCAAGTGAAGAATGCAGTCAGAGCAGAGACTGTCTCACATCTTCTCTCTCATGAACCACACACACACAAGTAAAGAATGCAGTCAGAGCAGAGACTGTCTCAGATCTTCTCTCTCATGAACCACACACACACAAGTGAAGAATGCAGTCAGAGCAGAGACTGTCTCACATCTTCTCTCTCATGAACCACACACACACAAGTGAAGAATGCAGTCAGAGCAGAGACTGTCTCACATCTTCTCTCTCATGAACCACACACACACAAGTGAAGAATGCAGTCAGAGCAGAGACTGTCTCAGATCCTTTCTCTCATGAACCACACACACACAAGTGAAGAATGCAGTCAGAGTAGAGACTGTCTCACATCTTCTCTCATGAACCACACACACACAAGTGAAGAATGCAGTCAGAGCAGAGACTGTCTTAGATCTTCTCTCTCAAGAACCACACACACATAAGTGAAGAATGCAGTCAGAGCAGAGACTGTCTCAGATCTTCTCTCTCATGAACCACACACACACAAGTGAAGAATGCAGTCAGAGCAGAGACTGTCTCAGATCTTCTCTCTCATGAACCACACACACACAAGTGAAGAATGCAGTCAGAGCAGAGACTGTCTCAGATCTTTTCTCTCATGAACCACACACACACAAGTGAAGAATGCAGTCAGTCTCACATCTTCTCTCATGAACCACACACACACAAGTGAAGAATGCAGTCAGAGCAGAGACTGTCTTAGATCTTCTCTCTCAAGAACCACACACACATAAGTGAAGAATGCAGTCAGAGCAGAGTCTGTCTCAGATCTTTTCTCTCATGAACCACACACACACAAATTGAAGAATGCAGTGAGAGCAGACCTCGTGTAAACTGTCAGCTTTAGATGATGTCTGTATCCCCTCTCTCACAAACCAGACCTAAGTGAAACTGTCAGCTCAGATGATGTCTGTATCCCCTCCCTCACAAACCAGACATAAGTGAAACTGTCAGCTCAGATGATGTCTGTATCCAATCTCTCACAAACTAGGCATAAGTGCAATTGTCAGCTCAGATGATGTCTGTATCCCCTCTCTCACAAACCAGACATAAGTTAAACTGTCAGCTCAGATGATGTCTCTATCCCCTCTCTCACAAACCAGGCATAAGTTAAACTGTCAGCTTAGATGATTTCTGTATCCACTCTCTCACAAACAGACATAAGTTAAATTGTAAGCTCAGATGATGTCTGTATCCCCTCTCTCACAAACCAGACATAAGTTAAACTGTCAGCTCAGATTATGTCTGTATCCACTCCCTCACAAACTAGGCATAAGTGCAATTGTCAGCTCAGATGATGTCTGTATCCCATCTCTCACAAACCAGACATAAGTTAAACTGTCAGCTCAGATAATGTCTGTATCCACTCTCTTACAAACCAGACATAAGTTAAACTGTCACCTCAGATGATGTCTGTATCCACTCTCTCACAAACCAGACATAAGTGAAATTGTCCGCTCAAATGATGTCTGCATCCACTCTCTCACAAACCAGACATAAGTTAAACTGTCAGCTCAGCTGATGTCTCTATCCCCTCTCTCACAAACCAGGCATAAGTTAAACTGTCAGCTTAGATGATTTCTGTATCCACTCTCTCACAAACAGACATAAGTTAAATTGTCAGCTCAGATGATGTCTGTATCCCCTCTCTCACAAACCAGACATAAGTTAAACTGTCACCTCAGATGATGTCTGTATCCACTCCCTCACAAACTAGGCATAAGTGCAATTGTCAGCTCAGATGATGTCTGTATCCACTCTCTCACAAACCAGACATAAGTGAAACTGTCAGCTCAGATGTCTGTATCCACTCTCTCACAAACCAGGCATAAGTTAAACTGTCAGCTCAGATGATGTCTGTATTCACTCTCTCACAAACCAGACATAAGTGAAACTGTCAGCTCAGATGATGCCTGTATCCACTCTCTCACAAACCAAGCATCAGTTAAATTGTCAGCTTCAGATGATGTCTGTATCCCCTCTCTCACAAACCAGACATAAGTGAAACTGTCAGCTCAGATGATGTCTCTATAGACTCTCTCAAAAACCAGACATAAGTGAAACTGTCAGCTCAGATGATGTCTGTATCCTCTCTCTCACAAACCAGACATAAGTGAAATTGTCAGCTTCAGATGATGTCTGTATCCCCTCTCTCAAAAACCAGACATAAGTTAAACTGTCAGCTCAGATGTCTGTATTCACTCTCTCACAAACCAGACATAAGTGAAACTGTCAGCTCAGATGATGTCTGTATCCCCTCTCTCACAAACCAGGCATAAGTTAAACTGTCAGCTCAGATTATGTCTGTATCCCCTCTCTCAAAAACCAGACATAAGTTAAACTGTCAGCTCAGATGATGTCTCTATCCCCTCTCTCACAAACCAGGCATAAGTTAAACTGTCAGCTTAGATGATTTCTGTATCCACTCTCTCACAAACAGACATTAGTTAAATTGTCAGCTCAGATTATGTCTGTATCCCCTCTCTCACAAACCAGACATAAGTTAAACTGTCAGCTCAGATAATGTCTGTATCCAATCTCTCACAAACCAGACATAAGTTAAACTGTCAGCTCAGATGATGTCTGTATCCACTCTCTCACAAACCAGACATAAGTGAAACTGCCAGCTCAGATGATGTCTGTATCCACTCTCTCACAAACCAGACATAAGTTAAACTGTCAGCTCAGATTATGTCTGTATCCACTCCCTCACAAACTAGGCATAAGTGCAATTGTCAGCTCAGATGATGTCTGTATCCCATCTCTCACAAACCAGACATAAGTTAAACTGTCAGCTCAGATAATGTCTGTATCCACTCTCTTACAAACCAGACATAAGTTAAACTGTCACCTCAGATGATGTCTGTATCCACTCTCTCACAAACCAGACATAAGTGAAATTGTCAGCTCAAATGATGTCTGCATCCACTCTCTCACAAACCAGACATAAGTTAAACTGTCAGCTCAGCTGATGTCTCTATCCCCTCTCTCACAAATCAGGCATAAGTTAAACTGTCAGCTTAGATGATTTCTGTATCCACTCCCTCACAAACTAGGCATAAGTGCAATTGTCAGCTCAGATGATGTCTGTATCCACTCTCTCACAAACCAGACATAAGTGAAACTGTCAGCTCAGATGATGTCTCAGTCAGCTCAGATGATGTCTGTATCCCCTCTCTCACAAACCAGGCATAAGTTAAACTGTCAGCTCAGATGATGTCTGTATCCACTCTCTCACAAACCAGACATAAGTTAAACTGTCAGCTCAGATGATGTCTGTATCCACTCTCTCACAAACCAGACATAAGTTAAACTGTCAGCTCAGATGATGTCTGTATCCACTCTCTCACAAACCAGACATAAGTTAAACTGTCAGCTCAGATGATGTCTGTATCCCCTCTCTCACAAACCAGACATAAGTTAAACTGTCAGCTCAGATGATGTCTCTATCCCCCTCTCAAACCAGACATAAGTGAGACTGTCAGCTCAGATGATGTCTGTATCCACTCTCTCACAAACCAGACATAAGTTAAACTGTCAGCTCAGATGATGTCTGTATCCCCTCTCTCACAAACCAGACATAAGTTAAACTGTCAGCTCAGATGATGTCTGTATCCACTCTCTCACAAACCAGACATAAGTGAAACTGTCAGCTCAGATGATGTCTGTATCCACTCTCTCACAAACCAGACATAAGTGAAACTGTCAGCTCAGATGATGTCTGTATCCACTCTCTCACAAACCAGACATAAGTTAAACTGTCAGCTCAGATGATGTCTGTATCCACTCTCTCTCACAAACCAGCTCATAAGTTAAACTGTCAGCTCAGATGATGTCTGTATCCACTCTCTCTCACTCTCTCAGCTCAGATGATGTCTGTCAGCTCTCTCATGATGTCTGTATCCAGATCTCTCTCACAACCAGACATAAGTTAAACTGTCAGCTCAGATGATGTCTGTATCCCCTCTCTCACAAACCAGATGTCATAAGTTAAAACTGTCAGCTCAGATGATGTCTGTGTCTCCACTCTCTCACAAACCAGACATAAGTTAAACTGTCAGCTCAGATGATGTCTGTATCCACTCTCTCACAAACACTCTCTGTCAGCTCAATGATGTCTGTATCCATCCACAAAAGTTAAAAACTGTCAGCTCAGATGATGTCTGCATCCACTCTCTCACAAACCAGACATAAGTTAAACTGTCAGCTCAAATGATGTCTGTATCCACTCTCTCACAAACCAGACATAAGTTAAACTGTCAGCTCAAATGATGTCTGCATCCACTCTCTCACAAACCAGACACAGGCACAATTGTCAGCTCAGATGATGTCTGTATCCACTCTCTCACAAACCAGACATAGGTACAACTGTCAGCTCAGATGATGTCTGTATCCACTCTCTCACACTGAAAACAGAACCAACAAGATCATACTGATGCTAATGGGCCCTCATCAATGTTGCAGTTAATCCAGGGGTTCCAATTAGGCATAGGTGGTGACCATGGTACCACACCAGGTGTATTCTTGGGGGGAGCTGGTTCAAACTCTTCCAAAGTAGGCTGATTGATGAGGGAGACTGAGGGCAGCTCTTCACCCTCCACTGGAGCCTCTCCCGTCTGAGCCACACAAACAGAAACATGGTTATAATGTTAACTAGACAACTTATGGTAGCAGTTACCATTAAACAAGTTAACTAGACAACTTATGGTAGCAGTTAGCATTAAACAAGTTAACTAGACAACTTATGGTAGCAGTTACCATTAAACAAGTTAACTAGACAACTTATGGTAGCAGTTAGCATTAAACAAGTTAACTAGACAACTTATGGTAGCAGTTACCATTAAACAAGTTAACTAGACAACTTATGGAAGCAGTTACCATTAAACAAGTTAACTAGACAACTTATGGTAGCAGTTACCATTAAACAAGTTAAACAGCAACAATAAGGTCACAGTTAAACAAGTTAAACAGCAATCGTGCAGTCACAGTATTGAGGGAAAAATATGGTTACAGTTAAAACAGTATGGACATTGTTACAGCAACTATGTGGCCACAGTTAAACACCAACTATGTGGCCACAGTTAAACAGCAACTATGTGGCCACAGTTAAACAGCAACTATGTGGCCACAGTTAAACAGCAACTATGTGGCCACAGTTAAACAGCAACTATGTGGCCACAGTTAAACAGCAACTATATGGGCAGAGTTAAATAGCCATTTTATGATCACAGTTAAACAGCAACTATATGGGCAGAGTCACAGTTGTAAAGCAACTATTTGGTCAATTGAATAGCAACTATATGGTCACAGTTGAAGTTGAACAGCAGCTATATAGTCACAGTCAAACAGCAGCAGCAGTGTGTGAGTGTGTGTATAGTTTATGTTGTGTGTGTGTGTGTTTGTTTTATATTGTGAGCTTGTGCATCTGCATAAGTGAGTGAGTGAGTGAGTGAGTGAGTGAGTGAGTGAGTGAGTGAGTGAGTGAGTGAGTGAGTGAGTGAGTGAGTGAGCACAAGATGATGACTCCAATCATGTCTATAACACAACATTTATCCTGTTGAGTGTGTACAAGAACAATTTTACCCTGTTGCATGTGTACAAGAATTAGTTTACCCTGTTTTGTGTGTACAAGAATCAGGTTACCCTGTTTTGTGTGTACAAGAATCAGTTTGCCCTGTTTTGTGTGTACTAGAACAATTTTACCCTGTTTTGTATGTACAAGAATCAGTTTACCCTGTTGTGTATGTACAAGAATCAGTTTACCCTGTTGTGTGTTCAAGAATCTGTTTACCCTGTTGGGCGTGTACAAGAATCAGTTTACCCTGTTGTGTGTGTACAAGAATCAGTTTACCCTGGTGTGTGTGTACAAGAATCAGTTTACCCTGTTGTGTGTGTACAAGAATCAGTTTACCCTGTTGTGTGTGTACAAGAATCAGTTTACCCTGTTGTGTGTGTACAAGAATCAGTTTACTCTGTTGTGTGTACAAGAATCAGTTTACCCTGTTGTGCGTGTACAAGAATCGGTTTACCCTGTTGTGTGTGTACAAGAATCGGTTTACCCTGTTGTGTGTGTACAAGAATCATTTTACCGTGAAGTCAGTGATTGGCTGGATCTGCCACAAACTGAGACACTGGTCAATCTTCTGCTCCAGCTCCTCACTGATGGCCACATCATAGGGGGGCACCTGTCACCAGCAGATCAACAAGAGGTGTTTGTATCAGCACACTGACATGATCTCATTACAGATACACATACTAAGGGGGCACCTGTCACCAGCAGATCAACAAGAGGTGTTTGTATCAGCCCACTGACATGATCTCATTACAGCTACACATACTAAGGGGGCACCTGTCACCAGCAGATCAACAAAAGGTGTGTTTGTATCAGCACACTGACATGATCTCATTACAGCTACACATACTAAGGGGGCACCTGTCACCAGCAGATCAACAAGTGTTTGTATCAGCGCACTGACATGATCTCATTACAGCTACACATACTAAGGGGGCACCTGTCACCAGCAGATCAACAAGAGGTGTGTTTGTATCAGCCCACTGACATGATCTCATTACAGCTACACATACTAAGGGGGGCACCTGTCACCAGCAGATCAACAAGAGGTGTGTTTGTATCAGCGCACTGACATGATCTCATTACAGCTACACATACTAAGGGGGGCACCTGTCACCAGCAGATCAACAAGTGTTTGTATCAGCGCACTGACATGATCTCATTACAGCTACACATACTAAGGGGGGCACCTGTCACCAGCAGATCAACAAGAGGTGTGTTTGTATCAGCCCACTGACATGATCTCATTACAGCTACACATACTAAGGGGGGCACCTGTCACCAGCAGATCAACAAGTGTTTGTATCAGCACACTGACATGATCTCATTACAGCTACACATACTAAGGGGGGCACCTGTCACCAGCAGATCAACAAGTGTTTGTATCAGCGCACTGACATGATCTCATTACAGCTACACATACTAAGGGGGCACCTGTCACCAGCAGATCAACAAGAGGTGTTTGTATCAGCGCACTGACATGATCTCATTACAGCTACTCATACTAAGGGGGCACCTGTCACCAGCAGATCAACAAGAGGTGTTTGTATCAGCGCACTGACATGATCTCATTACAGATACACATACTAAGGGGGCACCTGTCACCAGCAGATCAACAAGTGTTTGTATCAGCGTACTGACATGATCTCATTACAGCTATACATACTAAGGGGGCACCTGTCACCAGCAGATCAACAAGAAGTGTTTGTATCAGCGCACTGACATGATCTCATTACAGCTACACATACTGATGACCTACTTATACAGCTACTGCTTTACATGTCTTCCAACTGCCAATGATACTAGTGTTTTTATGAAATTCAGATATCATCTCTTAACATGGCTAAAAACGTGATATTTACATATGGTTAATGTCATGATAATATCTTGATAATATGATGTTAATAGCATATTAATAGCATAATGTGAGCAATATCAAATCTTTATGTTGTCAGAGATCAGAGACAGAGATGAGAGACAGAGACAGAAATGAGAGGAGACAGATACAAGAGACTGAGTGAGAGGAAGAGAGAAAGAGAAAGATACAGTGTGTCTGTGTGTGCTCGCACCCATGTGTGTATTTCATTGTTGGTCAACATTTTGTCAAGCTATTAAAGCAATGTATGAAGGCTCAGAGTGTAGTTCAAACAAATGATGATTCAAGTGATGGGTTCGTGCTTGAACCTGGAGCAATGTATTTAATCTCTCCTGTTATTAGTATAGCTACTGACTAGGTCATGAAAAAACGCTGTGCTGAAAATACAACTGGAAGACCTTGATTTTAAAGATGATATTGTTCTGCTAAGTAAGAACAACAATAACATACAAAGAAAACATATGATTTGGCAAAACTCAAAAGTTGTACTACAAATAAGTTGTAAAAAGACTAATATACTGACGATGCCAATAACAGATCAAACAGATGTAACACTACAGACAAAAACATATGAAAGTAACAGGTCAGCTAACTTATTGAGGTTGTAACATTGAGATAGTCAAGGAAACACAAAGACAGATGAAAGTAACAGGTCAGCTGACTGATTGAGGTTGTAACATTGAGATAGTCAAGGAAACACAGACAGATGAAAGTAACAGGTCAGCTGACTGATTGAGGTTGTAACATTGAGATAGTCAAGGAAAAATAAAAACAGATGAAAGTAACAGGTCAGCTGACTTATTGAGGTTGAAACATTGAGATAGTCAAGGAAACACCAAGACAGATGAAAGTAACAGGTCAGCTAACTGATTGAGGTTGTAACATTGAGATAGTCAATGAAACACCAAGACAGATAAAAGTAACAGGTCAGCTGACTGACTGAGGTTGTAACATTGAGATAGTCAAGGAAACCTAAAGAAAGATTAAAGTAACAGGTCAGCTGACTTATTGAGGTTGTAACATTGAGATAGTCAAGGAAACACCAAGACAGATAAAAGTAACAGGTCAGCTGACTTATTGAGGTTGTAACATTGAGATAGTCAAGGAAACACCAAGACAGATAAAAGTAACAGGTCAGCTGACTGACTGAGGTTGTAATATTGAGATAGTCAAGGAAACCTAAAGAAAGATGAAAGTAACAGGTCAGCTGACTTATTGAGGTTGTAACATTGAGATAGTCAAGGAAACATAAAGACAGATGAAAGTAACAGATCAGCTGACTTATTGAGGTTGTAACATTGACATAGTCAAGGAAACACTAAGACAGATGAAAGTAACAGGTCAGCTGACTTATTGAGGTTGTAACATTGAGATAGTCAAGGAAACATAAAGACAGATAAAAGTAACAGGTCAGCTGACTTATTGAGGTTGTAACATTGAGATAGTCAAGGAAACACAAAGACAGATGAAAGTAACAAGTTAACTGACTTATTGAGGTTGTAACACTGAGATAGTCAAGGAAACACAAAGACTGATGAAAGTAACAGGGCAGCTGACTTATTGAGGTTGTAACATTGAGATAGTCAAGGAAACACCAAGACAGATGAAAGTAACAGGGCAGCTAACTTATTGAGGTTGTAACATTGAGATAGTCAAGGAAACACAAAGACAGATGAAAGTAACAAGTTAACTGACTTATTGAGGTTGTAACATTTAGATAGTCAAGGAAACACAAAGACAGATGAAAGTAACAGGTTAACTGACTTAATGAGGTTGCAACATTTAGATAGTCAAGGAAACACAAAGACAGATGAAAGTAACAGGTCAGCTGACTGATTGAGGTTGTAACATTGAGAAAGTCAAGGAAACACAAAGACAGATGAAAGTAACAGGTTAACTGACTTATTGAGGTTGCAACATTTAGATAGTGAAGGAAACACAAAGACAGATGAAAGTAACAGGTCAGCTGACTGATTGAGGTTGTAACATTGAGATAGTCAAGGAAACACAAAGACAGATGAAAGTAACAAGTTAACTGACTTATTGAGGTTGTAACATTGAGATAGTCAAGGAAACACAAAGACAGATGAAAGTAACAAGTTAACTGACTTATTGAGGTTGTAACATTGAGAAAGTCAAGGAAACACAAAGACAGATGAAAGTAACAGGTTAACTGACTTATTGAGGTTGTAACATTGAGATAGTCAAGGAAACATAAATAAAGATGAAAGTAACAGGTCAGCTGACTGACTGAGGTTGTAACATAGAGACAGTCAAGGAAACAAACGGACAGACATGATGATACACATTGGTAAGGATTGACAGCTTTCAAAGCTTCAACAAAATATGCAACTCTACATTGTACTCATTGAGAACCAAGTGACAGATGTTCAATGCTAATGTTATTTCAGGTTGAACATTTAGAACCAAGTGTCATCTGTTCAATGCTAATGTTATTTCAGGTTGAACATTTAGAACCAAGTGTCATCTGTTCAATGCTAATGTTATTTCAGGTTGAACATTTAGAACCAAGTGTCATCTGTTCAATGCTAATGTTATTTCAGGTTGAATATGTACTAGTCAAAGCTGGAGAACCACTGAAGACATGCAACCACAGTTCAATGCATTAGGAAACAAATGCCTGAGGAAAGTAATTAACATAAAATAAGATAAATTAAAGAGGGGTAAAGAAATCAGAGAAATGTCTGTACAACCACTAGTAACATCAGTTATAGAACAGAGATGATGGTGCTATAATAGACATACTCTGAGAAAAGACCAACGGGGAATCATTAAATCATCAACTAGGCATTGGAATGGAAAATACAGGGGAACGAGATGCTCAAGAGAAACTTGAAGGCAAACGTTGATGAGAGAAGCTAAAGGTGCTTGCCTGGTTTCCATCCATGAGACTAAAGTAAGTGATGAGGACAGAACTGAATGGAGAAATAGACTGTGAGCCCTAAGTGACATATAACAGCACACCAGGATCATGAATGGATTAATTTACACATATATAAACATATACATAAGTGTGTGTGTGAGGGAGAGATGAGAGGGAGTGAGTGTGAGAGAAGCAGAGGGAGAGGGGTCAGAGGGACTAGTGTGAGAGAGGCAGAGAGGGAGAGCAGATGAGTGGAACAGAGAAGGAACACTTGCAGTATCTCACAAATGATAACCACCAGGTGACAACAAGACAAGACAGATGTCACTGTCAGCCTAAGTGGAACAGAGAAGAAACACTTGCAGTATCTCACAAATGATAACCACCAGGAGACAACAAGACAAGACAGCTGTCACTGTCAGCCTAAGTGGAACAGAGAAGAAACACTTGCAATATCTCACAAATGATAACCAACAGGTGACAACAAGAAAAGACAGCTGTCACTGTCAACCTCAACACCTACCCTCTCCCTGGCTTTCTTCTTCTTCTCCCCTGTGTAAGCTTCAATGATCTTCATGTGGTAGAGTTGGCGCACCAGTGACAGGGCACAAGACTTGGAGGCTATCTGCTTGCTGGAGCCCACTTCTCGGGCATGTATATCTGCAGATGACAGACAATGGAGGCAGGCAATGCCGCAGACAGCAAGGTAAACACATCAGACAAAAAATACATCTACAATCTAGACACTGTCAAATACTGGGAAAAGATTACTTTAGATACAATAAAACATTTTAGAGAGCACACAAGTAGAGAACACAAGGCAGACATAGATAGTTCACTCAGTCTAGAGACCACACAGCAAATGGATAGTTCACTCAGTCTAGAGACCACACAGCAGACATGGATAGTTCACTCAGTCAAGAGACAACACAGCAGACATGGATAGCTCCCTCAGTCTAGAGACAACACAGCAGACATGGATAGCTTCCTCAGTCTAGAGACCACACAGCAGACATGGATAGTTCACTCAGTCTAGAGACAACAAAGCAGACATAAATAGTTCATTCAGTCTAGAGACCACACAGCAGACATGGATAGCTCCCTCAGTCTAGAGACCACACAGCAGACATGGATAGTTCACTCAGTCTAGAGACAACACAGCAGACATGGATAGTTCACTCAGTCTAGAGACCACACAGCAGACATAGATAGTTCATTCAGTCTAGAGACCACACAGCAGACATAGATAGCTCCCTCAGTCTAAAGACCACACAGCAGACATGGATAGTTCACTCAGTCTAGAGACCACAAGCAGACATGGATAGTTCACTCAGTCTAGAGACCACACAGCAGACATGGATAGTTCACTCAGTCTAGAGACAACACAGCAGACATGGATAGTTCACTCAGTCTAGAGACCACACAGCAGACATGGAAAGTTCCCTCAGTCTAGAGACAACACAGCAGACATGGATAGTTCACTCAGTCTAGAGACCACACAGCAAACATGGATAGTTCCCTCAGTCTAGAGACCACACAGCAGACATGGATAGTTCACTCAGTCTAGAAACCACACAGCAGACATGGATAGTTCACTCAGTCTAGAGACAACACAGCAGACATGGATAGTTCCCTCAGTCTAGAGACAACACAGCAGACATAGATAGATTACTCAGTCTAGAGACAAGGCAGACATTTGACTTACTGTTTCCAAGCTCTTTCACATAGAAACCCATCTCAGCTGCAAAACTCCTGCATAAACAGTGGGAACTTCAGCTTAGTACAAGCAGTGGAACATAAACTTAGTACAAGCAGTGGAACATAAACTTAGTACAAACAGTGGAAACATAAGCTTAGTACAACAGTGGAAACATTAGCTTAGTAGAAACAGTACAAACATAAGCTTAGTACAAACAGTGGAAACATAAGCTTAGTACAAACAGTACAAACATAAGCTTAGTACAAACAGTACAAACATAAGCTTAGTACAAACAGTACAAACATAAGCTTAGTACAAATAGTGGAAACATAAGCTTAGTAGAAACAGTAGGAACTTAAGCTTAGTGCAAACAGTAGGAACTCAAGTTTGATACAAACAGTGGGAACAAAGGCCTGGTACAAACAGTGGGAACAAAGGGCTGGTACAATCAGTGGAAACAAAAGCTTAGTACAAACAGTGAGAACGTAAGCTTATTACAAACAGTGGGAACATAAGGTTAGTACAAACAGTGGGGACATAAGCTTAATACAGTAAGAACATAAGCTTAATACAAATAGTGGGAACATCAGCTTAGTACAAACAGTGGGAACATAAGCTCAATACAAACAGTGGGAACATCAGCTTAGTACAATATGGGGTCATTGTCTGTATAAGTATAGAGACATTGACTGAACAAGTATGGGAACACCTTCTATTTGTACAAGTATGAGGTCACTGATCGTACAAGTGTGGAGACACTGTCTGTACAATATGGGGTCATTGTACAAGTATGGAGACACCGTCTTACGAGTAGCGGGAAAACTGTACGAGAATGGAGACATTGTCCGTACAAGTATAAGGAGACCTTCTATCTTTACAAGTATGGGGACATTGTTCAAGCATGGTGACAATGTCTGTACAAGTATGGGGACACTGTACAAGTATGGGGACACTGTCTGTACAAAGTAAGGGTGTGCTGTCTATACAAAGTAGAGGGACATTCTCTGTACAAAGTATGGGGACATTCTCTGTACAAGTATGGGGACATTATATGTACAAGTATGGGAATATTATCTGTATAAGTATAGGGATATTATCTGTACAAGTATATGTACATTATACAAAGTATGGAGACACTGTCTGTACAAAGTATAGGGACATTCTCTGTACAAGTATGGGGATATTATCTGTATAAGTATGGGAATATTATCTGTACAAGTATAGGTACATTGTACAAAGTATGGAGACACTGTCTGTACAAAGTATATAAATATTTTCTGTACAAAGTTTAGGGACATCTTCTGTTCAAGTATAGGGACACCGGTTGTTCAGAAGTAAAGGGACGTCATCTGTATAACATTTAGAGACATTGTACAAGTATGGGAGCATTGTCTGTACAAGTATGAGAACATTGTACAAGAATGAGGACACCTTCTATCTCTACAAGTATGGGAACACTGTCTGTACAAGTGTGGGAGACACTGTAAAAGTATGAGGACACTGCACAAGTGTGGGAACATTTTCGGTTCAAATATGGGGACACCTATCTCTACAAGCATGGGTTATTGTCTGTATAAGTGTGGGGACACCTATCTCTACACACATGGAGTTATTGTCTGTACAAGTGTGGGGACACCTATCTCTACACACATGGAGTTATTGTCTGTACAAGTGTGGGGACACCTATCTCTACACACATGGGGTTATTGTCTGTACAAGTGTGGGGACACCTATCTCTACACACATGGAGTTATTGTCTGTACAAGTGTGGGGACACATATCTTTACACGCATGGGGTTATTGTCTGTACAAGTATGGGGACACCTATCTCTACACGCATGGGGTTATTGTCTGTACAAGTGTGGGGACACTTATCTCTACAAGCATGGGGTTATTGTCTGTATAAGTGTGGGGACACCTATCTCTACAAGCATAGGGTTATTTATTGTCTGTATAAGTGTGGGGACACCTATCTCTACAAACATAAGGTTATTGTCTGTACAAGTGTTGGGACACCTATCTCTACAAACATGGGGTTATTGTCTGTATAAGTGTGGGAACACCTATCTCTACACACATGGGGTTATTGTCTGTACAAGTATGGGGACACCTATCTCTACACACATGGGGTTATTGTCTGTATAAGTGTGGGGACACCTATCTCTACACACATGGGGTTATTGTCTGTATAAGTGTGGGGACACCTATCTCTACACACATGGGGTTATTGTCTGTACAAGTATGGGGACACCTATCTCTTCACACATGGGGTTATTGTCTGTATAAGTGTGGGGACACCTATCTCTACAAGCATGGGGTTATTGTCTGTACAAGTGTGGGGACACCTATCTCTTCACACATGGGATTATTGTCTGTACAAGTGTGGGGACACCTATCTCTACAGGCATGGGGTTATTGTCTGTACAAGTATGGGGACACCTATCTCTACACGCATGGGGTTATTGTCTGTACAAGTGTGGGGACACCTATCTCTTCACACATGGGGTTATTGTCTGTACAAGTGTGGGGACACCTATCTCTACACGCATGGGGTTATTGTCTGTACAAGTATGGGGACACCTATCTCTACACGCATGGGGTTATTGTCTGTACAAGTGTGGGGACACCTATCTCTTCACACATGGGGTTATTGTCTGTACAAGTGTGGGGACACATATCTTTACACGCATGGGGTTATTGTCTGTACAAGTATGGGGACACCTATCTCTACACGCATGGGGTTATTGTCTGTACAAGTGTGGGGACACCTATCTCTACACGCATGGGGTTATTGTCTGTACAAGTGTGGGGACACCTATCTCTACACGCATGGGGTTATTGTCTGTATAAGTATGGGGACACCTATCTCTACAAGCATGGGGTTATTGTCTGTACAAGTATGGGGACACCTATCTCTTCACACATGGGGTTATTGTCTGTATAAGTGTGGGGACACCTATCTCTACACACATGGGGTTATTGTCTGTACAAGTGTGGGGACACCTATCTCTACACACATGAGGTTATTGTCTGTATAAGTGTGGGGACACCTATCTCTACAAGCGTGGGGTTATTGTCTGTACAAGTGTGGGGACAACTACCTCTACAAGCATGGGGTTATTGTCTGTACAAGTGTGGGGACACCTATCTCTACACGCATGGGGTTATTGTCTGTACAAGTATGGGGACACCTATCTCTACAAGCATGGGGTTATTGTCTGTACAAGTGTGGGGAGGACACCTATCTCTACAAGCATGGGGTTATTGTCTGTACAAGTGTGGGGACAGTGTGAATACAAGTATGGGGTTATAGTCTGTACAAGTGAGGGGGCACCTATCTCTACAAGCATGGGGTTATTGTCTGTACAAGTATGGGGACACCTATCTCTACAAGCATGGGGTTATTGTCTGTACAAGTGTGGGGACAGTGTGAATACAAGCATGGGGTTATTGTCTGTAAAAGTGAGGGGGACAGTGTGAATACAAGTATGGGAATGCCGATCTCTACAAGTATGGGGACAATGTACAAGAGTTGGGACATTGTATGTACAAGTTTGGGGACACTACAAGTATAGAGATTGTCTGTACAAGTATGGGGACAATGTACAAGTATGGAGACATTGTCTGTACAAGTGTGGGGACAATATACAAGAGTTGGGACATTGTCTGTACAAGTGTGGGACTACAGAATGCTGTACATAGTTGGGCAGTCTGACTTTACACATATTGGAGCACAGTTTATACTACAGCTATTTTACATTTTCTTGTTCTCAAAGCACAAACAACAATAGAGACAGAAGACACAACCAGCCTCCAGCCAACTTACCACAGATGGGGCTGCTCAACTTCCTGTTCTCAAACAACAAGGTTGCCCGCTGACAGCTCCACCATCTCAGAAATCCACACACAATCACGGCAAGAGGTCAGCCAGCTGAGGTTGTCTATCAGCTTGAAAGTGGAAACAAAATCAGCAACCTGACCAGATTTTCATGCCTCTAGGTTTGAGGTCGTTTTACAGCGGGATCAAGTTACATAACTATCAGATCAGCAAAATGTCAGTACCATCAACTTACTCATGTTTCTTGAGATGTGACACTTGACAGAACCAGAATCTGTCTATTAAATGTCACAACAATGACAGACATCTCTGGCAAACAATGCCAACAGAAGTGTATAGCCTAGTAGTAGTGTATGTAGGAGTATATAGACTAGTAGTAGTGTGTAAAGAAGTATACAGACTGGAAGTAGTATGTGCAGAAGTGTATAGACTAGTAGTAGTGTGTGTGGAAGTATATAGACTAGTAGTAGTGTGTGTGGAAGTATATAGACGGGTGGTAGTGTGTGTGGAAGTATACAGATGGGTGGTAGTGTGTGTGGAAGTATACAGACGGGTGGTAGTGTATGTGGGAGTATATAGACTGGTGGTAGTGTATGTGGGAGTATATAGACTGGTGGTAGTGTATGTAGAAGTATATAAACTGGTGGTAGTGTATGTGGAAGTATATAAACTGGTGTGTGTGTGTGTGTGTGCATGCGTGTGTGTGTGAGCGCGCGCGCGCATGCATGCTAGTGTATGTGTGGGAGCATACATACTGGTGGTAGTGTGTAGAAGTATATAGGTTGGTGATTGAGTGTTGGATAATACAGACCAGTGGAAGTGTGTGTATATAGACCGGTGGTAGTGTGTGTGTATAAACAGACTGGTGTTAGTGTGTGGGAATATACAGACTAGTAGTAGTGTGTGCGTGGAAGTATACAGACTAGTAGTAGTGTGTGCGTGGAAGTATACAGACTGGTGGTAGTGTGTGGGAATATATATATATATATATATAGACTGGTGGTAGTGTGTGGGATTATATCTATAAACTGGTGGTAGTGTGTGGGATTATATATATAGACTGGTGGTAGTGTGTGGGATTATATATATAGACTGGTGGTAGTGTGTGGGATTATATATATAGACTGGTGGTAGTGTGTGGGATCATATATATAGACTGGTGGTAGTGTGTGGGATTATATATATAGACTGGTGGTAGTGTGTGGGATTATATATATAGACTGGTGGTAGTGTGTGGGATTATATATATAGACTGGTGGTAGTGTGTGTGTGAATAAACAGACTGGTGTTAGTGTGTGGGAATATACAGACTAGTAGTAGTAGGGTGTGTGTGTGGAAGTATATAGATTGGTGGTAGTGTGTGATACTATAGACTGGTTGTAGTGTGTGGGAGTATACAGTGTGATGGTAGTGTATGAAAGTATACAGACTGGCGGTAGTGTGTGGGAGTATATTGACTGGTAGTAGTATAAAGTCTAGTGGTACTGTGTGGCATTATACAGTCTGATGGCAGCGTGGAAGCGAACAGACTGGTAGTGTGGGAGAATTCAGACTTATGGAAGTCTGAGACAATATAGACTAATGGCAGTGTAGGAGAATACACATCAATCTCAAGGTAATATGTGAGAATACTGACATTTTGCTGATATTATGACACATACAGACTGCACAGAACATCTGCACTGTTCTCAACTTCAATGTCTCATTGGTTCACCCATGGCCCTTACAGCAGGCACAACCTGTCTACTGGACATACTGTAACTGCTGCTTTAGCTAGTCAAGAAACAACCTGTCTACTGGACATACTGTAACTGCTGCTCTAGCTAGACAAGAAACATATCTACTGCTTACTGTAACTGCTGCTCTAGCTAGACAAGAAACATATCTACTGGACTTACTGTAACTGCTGCTCTAGCTAGACAAGAAACATATCTACTGGACATACTGTAACTGCTGCTCTAGCTAGACAAGAAACATATCTACTGGACATACTGTAACTGCTGCTCTAGCTAGACAAGAAACCTGTCTACTGGACATACTGTAACTGCTGCTCTAGCTAGACAAGAAACATATCTACTGGACATACTGTAACTGCTGCTCTAGCTAGACAAGAAACATATCTACTGGACATACTGTAACTGCTGCTCTAGCTAGACAAGAAACCTGTCTACTGGACATACTGTAACTGCTGCTCTAGCTAGACAAGAAACATATCTACTGGACATACTGTAACTGCTGCTCTAGCTAGACAAGAAACATATCTACTGGACTTACTTAACTGCTGCTCTAAGTAGACAAGAAACCTGTCTACTGGACATACTGTAACTGCTGACCTAGCTTGTCAAGAAACAACCTGTCTACTGGACATACTGTAACTGCTGCTCTAGCTAGACAAGAAACCTGTCAACTGGACTTACTGTAACTGCTGCTCTAGCTAGACAAGAAACAACCTGTCTACTTGACATACTGTAACTGCTGCTCTAGCCAATCAAACTGTGTAGCTGTAGCTATCCAATTCAAGTGAGTCAATACTAGTCCAGTTAATCAAGATGTAACTGCTGGGCTTGCCAGTCAAAGTAACTTGCAGTGCCCATTAAAAACAATCAGCTGTCAGTCTAGCTAATGCACCTAGCCAATCACAAACAAGTGACATTTTTATCTGGGAAACAGTCAACGCATACATGCCAATAAAAGTATGTAACTGTCTCGCCAATGAAGCTGTAGGAATCCACCTAGCATGAGGAATGGACAAATCTGCCTAGGAACAATCTAGGAAAACAGTGCAAATGTTCTGTTGTGTCTGGGTCCTAGAGAAAGCGTTTGACAAAAGCATGAAAGTCTGGCCATGTTTCCACTCTCAAGCTTGTGGTCATGTGGTAACCTTAAGCTGCAACACGCGGACATCCTTGCAGTCAAACCCAGAACCGGCCCGTGGTCTGGTTGCTGGGCCTGACTCTAACTACTGGTGTCAACAATGGCACAGCTCTGACCATGCAACAGATCTGAGATGTGCCATCAACTCTCAGACAAGTGGCACCTAACAGTGACAAGGTTACCTCTGGCATCAAACTGATCCCACTACCATCTAAACAGTGCCATAAACTGTGGATTTCTGAGATGGTCTGCAGAAGTTGAACAATCCAGACTTAACTAACAAGTTGACGCAACAGCCAGGAGAGATGGACAGGCTGGGCTCCCAGTGGTTGGGGGCAGTAGGACAGGCTGGGCCCCCAGTGGTTGGGGGCAGGAGGACAGGTGACAACCTGGGAACCCAGTGGTTGGGGGCAGTAGGACAGGTGACAGGCTGGGCTCCCAGTGGTTGGGGGCAGTAGGTCAGGTGACAAGCTGGGAACCCAGTGGTTGGGGGCAGTAGGACAGGTGACAGGCTGGGCTCCCAGTGGTTGGGGGTAGGAGGACAGGTGACAGGCTGGGCTCCCAGTGGTTGGGGGCAGTAGGACAGGTGACAGGCTGGGAACCCAGTGGTTGGGGGCAGTAGGTCAGGTGACAGGCTGGGCTCCCAGTGGTTGAGGGCATAAGGTCAGGTGACAGGCTGGGAACCCAGTGGTTGAGGGCAGTAGGTCAGGTGACAGGCTGGGAACCCAGTGGTTGGGGTCAGTAGGACAGGTGACAGACTGGGCTCCCAGTGGTTGGGGGCAGTAGGTCAGGTGACAGGCTGGGAACCCAGTGGTTGAGGGAAGTAGGTCAGGTGACAGGCTGGAAACCCATTGGTTGGGGGCAGTAGGACAGGTGACAGGCTGGGAACCCAGTGGTTGGGTGCAGTAGGACAGGTGACAGGCTGGGCTCCCAGTAGTTGGGGGCAGTAGGACAGGTGACAGGCTGGGGACCCAGTGGTTGGGGGCAGTAGGACAGGTGACAGGCTTGGAACCCAGTGGTTGGGGGCAGTAGGACAGGTGACAGGCTGGGCTTCCAGTGGTTGGAGGCAGTAGGACAGGTGACAGGCTGATAACCCATTGGTTAGGGGGAGTAGAACAGGTGACAGGCTGGGAACCCAGTGGTTGGGGGCAGTAGGACAGGTGACAGGCTGGGAACCCAGTGGTTGGGGGCAGTAGGACAGGTGACAGGCTGGGAACCCAGTGGTTGGGGGCAGTAGGACAGGTGACAGGCTGGGAACCCAGTGGTTGGGGGCAGTAGGACAGGCAAATTGGGAGATAAAAGTGGTGAGAAAATACTCAGCCAATGAGACCTGGGACTGCCCTGTGGTCCCCTGAAACTGCTGCTGAAAGTACAACCACATAGATGAGTCAGCCAGAGAACCAACATGACACAGGCATGCTGACAACACAACAAGCAACAGTACTGCACCTGTTGTGATCCGGGCCCATGATGTGATATTTGTAGTCGGTGTTGATTCTCCTTGTATTTAGAAACTGGTGCAGACGTGACTTGGCATTCTCCATTGTCCAGTTACCATGGATCTCCATGTTAAAGTCACAGTCCTCTGACTTCATGTGGCAGGGAAGAAACAGACAAGACAGACAAGATAAACCCTTCATTCTTAATTAATGAATTCATGAATATAGGTCAACACATAATGTCAGCCAATGATTACATTATTAGTCTATAACAATATGTGATGTTCTCAGCCAATGACTGCTTCGGTCTATGATATGTCAGTCAATAACTGCATGGGTCTATGGTATGTCAGCCAATGACTGCACAGGTCTACGATATGTCAGCCAATTTTTGCACATGTCTATGATATGTCAGCCAATGACTGCATGTCTATTATGTGTCAGCCAATGATTGCATGGGTCTATGATATGACAGCCAATAACTGCATGGGTCTATGATATGTCAGCCAATAATTGCATGTCTATGATACATCAGCCAATAATTGCATGTCTATGATATGTCAGCCAATAATTGCATGTCTATGATATGTCAGCCAGTAATTGCATGTCTATGATATGTCAGCCAATAATTGCATGTCTATGATATGTCAGCCAATTATTGCATGTCTATGATATGTCAGCCAATAACTGCATGTCTATGATATGTCAGCCAATAATTGCAAGTCTATGATATGTCAGCCAAAGATTGCACAGGTCTATGATATGTCAGCCTATGATTGCATGTCTATGATATGTCAGCCAATGATTGCATGGGTCCATGAAATTTTTCAACCTGACTGCATGGGTCTATGATATGTCAGCCAATGACTGCATGGGTCTATGATATGTCAGCCAATGACTGCATGGGTCTATGATATGTCAGCCAATGACTGCATGGGTCTATGATATGTCAGCCAATGATTGCATGGGTCTATGATATGTCAGCCAATGATTGCATGGGTCTATGATATGTCAGCCAATGACTGCATGGGTCTATGATATGTCAGGCCAATTTATAAAGATCAATGTTTCATCAGATTCAATTTCATATTCATCCACCATCATCCTCACACTTAGACACCGCTCTTCGTGTATTCACTCTCTGATTCTTACAATGAGTTCTTTATTAAGAACAAAAATTGGATGTTCCAGCCCAGCATCATTGTCAATATTTTCCACACTCGTTTCGAATCATGAATACCACCTCATACAACAGATAAATATTCATTCTCAAAAACAATTATCAGTTCAGTTTAAGTTTGCATAGTAAAAAAAAAATGTTTTAATGATTTTCCTACACTTTAATGTTACTGTTATTTAATGGAGTATTTGCATCAAATGTTATTTCAGGGCAGACTGAGCACTATTAGTGGACCCTAAAATAGCAGCGTATAACAGAATGGTACCCAAAAACAATTTACTAAATTGTCTAGCTCTTTTAGCCATTACTTTCGAAAATTGTCTAGTCACAAATGAGTGTTTTAATGAATGTTTAACTGCAGTGCACACAAGAGTGGACAACTATGCAGATGTGTGGTTATTTGTTGTCTGCAATCATGCTGTAGCACATGGTTTACACAATGTATTCCCAACATTCTTTGGACAGCTAAAATTACTCATTCCTTTATTTGTGAAGAGGTTAAGACTCGAAGACAGCTAATCCCAAACATCAGAAAGAAGCAGTCATAATTGTTTGGAAAAAAAAGTAGGAAAGATAAATTAGAACTTGTGGCTACTAGAAAAGTTCAAGAAAAGAGAGAATGCAGATAGAGCAGGGAAAAGGGTCAGCCCACAAATGGATACATCGTGATAGCACAAGATATGGGCCCATATCAGGCAGCAAGCCAGTTCATGATGATGTATGTGTGTTTGTATACATGTAATTGCTGCTGACTGGAAGTGTGGACCGAGTTGCAACGGTCTTGGAGACAGTGTATGTACAAAGTTATGTACAAACAGAATGCTTCATTCACTGAAAGCATTCCTTATCAGATAGTGGTGTCTCCTCATTAGTAATGAGTCACCTTTCATAACTGTGAACACCACAATTCTTTACATTTTAAAGCTCAATGTAAAATCATACACTTTTGAAAATACTGTGTCAGTTCGTAAGTGAAATGTATACATAAGGAACTCAGGCCCAGTTCCACCCACCTACACACTTATAATTGACAGAGTCAGGCCAGGACCCTGCGATTGGATGTTCATTCTGCATCTTAACCTTCGAGACAAGCAAGCTGAAGAGGCAGGGGTGTCAGCTTGGTCGACGCTCTTACCGGCGACCATGCGTGCTCTATATTACAGGATGTGAGCGCCCATTACATGTACAACTGGCCCTAACCCAAACTCACCCTGACACTGAACCTAGGTCCTATGAGAGAGTGCATTCTACAACAGTACACAGGGATACCCCTCTAACCTTGAGCAACGTTGACCAGCCTAACCAAGCATCAATCAAAGGTGACCTAGTGTGTACATGGGCAGAGCTGGGCATGAGTTCGTTATTTGTTCCAGTAAAATTCCCCCTATCATCTATGAAAGTGCATATATTTCTGTTATTTCCAACTGTGCAAGTGAGTAGATTCAGCAGAATAGGAACAGAACACATAAAACATGGACATCATTGTCACTGACAGAGTGCTGGTGGTCAAGGCTGGGATTTTGTTCATGTGGACTTCTAGTAATTTCCCATGATGTCTGGGTAGTGTTGAAAAACTGAATACAAACACAGATGGACAAGACAATAACAGCAAAAACACAACCAAGAAGCATGTTGGTCGAACCTCTTCCAGCTTCCTCTTTTCTGCTATTCTGTCCATGTACTCTACCGGGGGTCCGCGCTGATATGCTGGAAACTCTCGTTGAGGTCCATCAGGTCTGTCACTTGGAACTACAAGATTCACAGACTTGAGTTAACAAATACAACCAGACAGTAAACAAATGGGTCTACACAGTAAACAAACACGGACAGTCAGTAAACAAATAGGTCCACACAGTAAACAAACAGGACCACACAGTAAACAAATATGGACTCACAAGTGAATCATTAATATGCTTCTGGCCTGCTAAATGTATGTGGTTGAAAGTATTTCTCATAAGGATGATCTCGTTTGTTGTCCAGGTATCCGATCTGTGTTTCTTCAGTTTTCCTGTGTTATTCATAGCCTTAAGAATTGTAATCACTCATCCTCCTTTATGCAGAGGGCAAGAGGACACTGATTATTTTAGGCTCACTGGTTGTATCTATCTGGTCTGGGTTGGTGACTAAAACCTGAAGCTGGACTTGCAAATCATGACCAAAATTTGTTAAAGATGTCATAAGATAAAACATCCAAACAGCAGGAAAATGCCCAAGGGCAAAAACTGGAATGTGTGGGTGCCTGGACAAGTACCACAAGGACAAAAACTGGAATGTTTGAGCACCTGAACAAGTACCACAGGGATGAAAAGTGGAATGTTTGGGTGCCTGGACAAGTACCACAAGGACAAAAACCGGAATGTGTGGGTGACTGGACAAGTACCACAAGGACAAAAACTGGAATGTTTGGGTGCCTGGACAAGTACCACAAGGACAAAAACTGGAATGTTTGGGTGCCTGGACAAGTACCACAAGGACAAAAACTGGAATGTGTGGGTGCCTGGACAAGTACCACAAGGACAAAAACTGTAATGTGTGGGTGCCTGGACAAGTACCACAAGGACAAAAACTGGAATGTCTGGATGCCTGGACAAGTACCACAAGGACAAAAACTGGAATGTCTGGGTGCCTGGACAAGTACCACAAGGACAAAAACTGAAATGTTTGGGTGCCTGGACAAGTACCACAAGGACAAAAACTGGAATGTTTGGGTGTCTGGACAAGTACCACAAGGACAGAAACTGGAATGTGTGGGTGCCTGGACAAGTACCACAAGGACAAAAACTGGAATGTTTGGGTGCCTGGACAAGTACCACAAGGACAAAAGCTACAAGTCTGACAGTTCAAAACAAATAAACATGTGAGAAAGTGAAGCTGTTACTGACCCTGTATCCGCATATGTGGAGCTAGAGTACCTCCAGGAAGGATGCCTGATGATCCCTCAAAGGCTGCACCACCGGTGGTATGCTCCTGTGCTGGTTCCATAGCTGCTCCACTCCCTCCAGACAGCTGCAAATTTTATAGTGGCCATAACTAAATTTTAGTTTGCAAACTTTTTTTTTGTGGTGTCTTTATTTCTGATTTGAAATTCTGTTGCCCTTTGTAAATATAATCATACCTAACACATCTCAACTAGGCAGCTGTAGCCAGTAGCAAAGATGTTGCGGCCACTGCCCAAAAAATGCCACCAAAAAGCAGTAACAATTAGAAAACTGACCACCCTGGGGTGACAGGGTTTAACTCCCTGTATGGGCTCCGCAGACCCTGTGTAGAGAGGGGGGAGGAGAATAGACAAATGCCTCTTTAACAAGCAATAGGAAGTCGTTCCTTTCAAGTGGGAGTGCACCTGTCAGAGAGATAGGGAACCAACAATCTGAATACAACTAAGCCACATCTGTCAAATGGATATGCAAGCAAAACCCAAGTTCTGAAACAAGTTTAAAAGTTCAGAAATGGGCAAACAACCAAAACTTTCCACCAGTTTACAGAAGGTGCCTGCAAAGAAGAAGGCTAAACCATGAGCTTCAACAACAACTGTTGTTTTAAACCACAGTCCAACAATGAATCTTTTCAACTGGCCAGCACAGGCCTAGCAAGTTGCCTGTAGATCGCTGCCAGCTGTATTGTAACAATGATGCTTCTATGCTGGGGTTCAACCTCTGGCCCCTGATGATTGACATTTTCAACATTTTGACTCCTGTGTCAACTTATTTGAACTGCCGTTTTGAACCATAGGTTCCCACAATTATGATTTTTTTTTACACAAGGGTTCTCACAATTATTATTTGTTAAACAAGGGTTCCCACAATTATTATTTGTTAGACAAAGGTTCTCACAATTATTATTTGTTACCCACAATTATTATTTGTTAAACAAGGGTCACCACAATTATTATTTGTTAAACAAGGGTCCCCACAATTATTATTTGTTAAACAAGGGTCCCCACAATTATTATTTGTTAAACAAAGGGTTCTCACAATTATTATTTGAAACCACACCACAGGTTCCAACAAATGTTATTATAAATCAGGGGTTCTCACAATTATTATTTGTTAAACAAGGGTCCCCACAATTATTATTTGAAACCACACCACAGGTTCCAACAAATGTTATTATAAATCAGGGGTTCTCACAATTATTATTTTAAACCAAGGGTTCTCGCAATTATTATTCTACATCACACCATGGGTTCTAACAACTGTTATAAACTATTGGTTCTGGCAACTCTTGTTATCTGAGAGATGGTGATCTCTGTTGTTATCTGAGAGATGGTGATCTGTGTTGTTATCTGAGAGGTGGTGATCTGTGTTGTTATCTGAGAGATGGTGATCCGTGTTGTTATCTGAGAGATGGTGATCCGTGTTGCTATCTGAGAGATGGTGATCTGTGTTGTTATCTGAGAGATGGTGATCTGTGTTGTTATCTGAGAGATGGTGATCTGTGTTGTTATCTGAGAGATGGTGATCTGTGTTGTTATCTGAGAGATGGTGATCTGTGTTGTTATCTGAGAGATGGTGATCTGTGTTGTTATCTGAGAGGTGGTGATCTGTGTTGTTATCTGAGAGATGGTGATCTGTGTTGTTATCTGAGAGATGGTGATCTGTGTTGTTATCTGAGAGGTGGTGATCTGTGAGGTGGTGATCTGTGTTGTTATCTGAGAGATGGTGATCTGTGTTGTTATCTGAGAGATGGTGATCTGTGCTGTTATCTGCGAGGTGGTGATCTGTGTTGTTATCTGAGAGGTGGTGATCTGCGTTGTTATCTGAGAGATTGTGATCTGTGTTGCTATCTGAGAGATGGTGATCTGTGTTGTTATCTTAGAGATGGTGGTGTTGTGATATGAGAGGTGGTTATCTGTGTTGTTATCTGAAAGGTAGCGATCTGTGTTGTTTTCTGAGAGGTGGTGATCTGTGTTGTTATCTGAGAGGTGGTGGTGTTGTGATATGTGAGGTGATGATCTGTGTTGTGATGGTCTGTGAGGTGGTAGTCTGTGTTGTGATATGTGAGGTGGTGGTCTGTGAGGTGGTAGTCTGTGTTGTGGTATGTGAGGTGGTGATCTGTGGTGTGGTATGTGAGGTGGTGATCTGTGGTGTGATATGTGAGATGATGATCTGTGATGTGACATGTGAGGTGATTTTTCTGTAAGATGGTGATGTTAGATAAAATATGTGAGGTGGTCTCAGATGTAATTTGTGAAGATTATCTGTGGTGTGATGTCTGATTTTAGATGTAGAGTGACTATGTGTGAGGAGTTGATCTCTGAGGTAATAATAACCTGCAAAGCAGTGACTACTTAGATGGCGATCTGTAACACAAATGTGGTGAGATGATAATCAGTGAGGTGTTCTGGTGAAACAATAGTACAATTTGTTGGTAAGGTAATAAACACAAAGTTTTGCTCACTGAAATGTCCTGTTAAGAAAATAATTTGTGAGGTGAGGAATGAGAGAAAGATGACAAACCAGGCTTGCAGGAACCTCACTAGCAGCGATTCGGCCAATTCGAACCAAGTACTGGAGAAAGTCCTTCGCAGCATTAGCCTGGGCATCTTTCTTGTTGGTGGAGTTGCCCACAGCAACGTAGTCAAATGAGTCTATGCGGAGCTGCAACACAACACAAACATAATAAATCAGAAAGCTGACTGATGCAACACTTCACACATGCTGTACAGCACCGCAATTAGTAAAAATGACAGCAGACACCAGAACACACAAGCTATGCCTGCATATTATGGCACTCATGGCAGTCACCTGGTTTCCCCATGCAATCATTCAGGGTACATCATGATCATTATGTCATGATGATTATACATCAGGTAGATCTTGTAATCTACCTTCATGTTGTACTTTTATATGTCCAACTGTTTGTTTTAGTCTAGTCCTCCATGTTGTGCCTTTATATGTCAGGTAGGGCTTGCAGTCTAGTCCTCCATGTTGTAACTTTATGTGTCAGGTAGGGCTTGCAGTCTAGTCCTACATGTTGTGCCTTTTTATGTCAGGTAGGGCTTGCAGTCTAGTCCTCCATGTTGTAACTTTATATGTCAGGCAGGGCTTGCAGTCTAGTCCTCCATGTTGTACCTTTATATGTCAGGTAGGACTTGCAGTCTAGTCCTCCATGTTGTAACTTTATATGTCAGGTAAGGCTTGCAGTCTAGTCCTCCATGTTGTAACTTAATATGTCAGGTAGGGCTTGCAGTCTAGTCCTCCATGTTGTACCTTTATATGTCAGGTAGGGCTTGCAGTCTAGTCCTCCATGTTGTAACTTTATATGTCAGGTAGGGCTTGCAGTCTAGTCCTCCATGTTGCACCTTTATATGTCAGGTAGGGCTTGCAGTAAAGTCCTCCATGTTGTAACTTTATATGTCAGGTAAGGCTTGCAGTCTAGTCCTCCATGTTGTAACTTTATATGTCAGGTAGGGCTTGCAGTAAAGTCCTCCATGTTGTAACTTTATATGTCAGGTAAGGCTTGCAGTCTAGTCCTCCATGTTGTAACTTTATATGTCAGGTAGGGCTTGCAGTCTAGTCCTCCATCTTGTAACTTTATATGTCAGGTAGGGCTTGCATTCTAGTCCTCCATGTTGTAACTTTATATATGTCAGGTAAGGCTTGCAGTCTAGTCCTCCATGTTGTAACTTTATATGTCAGGTAAGGCTTGCAGTCTAGTCCTCCATGTTGCGCCTTTATATGTCAGGTAGGGCTTGCAGTCTAGTCCTCCATGTTGTAACTTTATATGTCAGGTAAGGCTTGCAGTCTAGTCCTCCATGTTGCGCCTTTATATGTCAGGTAGGGCTTGCAGTCTAGTCCTCCATGTTGTAACTTTATATGTCAGGTAGGGCTTGCAGTCTAGTCCTCCATGTTGATACTTTATATGTCAGGTAGGGCTTGCAGTCTAGTCCTCCATGTTGTAACTTTTTATGTCAGGTAAGGCTTGCAGTCTAGTCCTTCATGTTGTTACTTTATATGTCAGGTAGGGCTTGCAGTCTAGTCCTTCATGTTGTAACTTTATATGTCAGGTAGGGCTTGCAGTCTAGTCCTCCATGTTGTTACTTTATATGTCAGGTAGGGCTTGCAGTCTAGTCCTCCATGTTGTAACTTTATATGTCAGGTAAGGCTTGCAGTCTAGTCCTTCATGTTATAACTTTATATGTCAGGTAGGGCTTGCAGTCTAGTCCTCCATGTTGTGCCTTTATATGTCAGGTAGGGCTTGCAGTCTAGTCCTCCATGTTGTACCTTTATATGTCAGGTAGGGCTTGCAGTCTAGTCCTCCATGTTGTAACTTTATATGTCAGGTAGGGCTTGCAGTCTAGTCCTCCATGTTGCACCTTTATATGTCAGGTAGGGCTTGCAGTCTAGTCTTCCGCGTGACAGCCCAGCCTTCTTAACCGTTCGGCCAGCTTCTATGGAATCCAATCGGGCGCCCATCGGCCAGCTTCTATGGAATCCAATCGGGTGCCCATCGGCCAGCTTCTATGGAATCCAATCGGGCGCACATCGGCCAGCTTCTAAGGAATCTAATCGGGTGCCCATCGGCCAGCTTCTATGGAATCCAATCGGGTGCCCATCGGCCAGCTTCTATGGAATCCAATCGGGCGCCCATCGGCCAGCTTCTATGGAATCCAATCGGGCGCCCATCGGCCAGCTTCTATGGAATGCAATCGGGCGCCCATGGCTTCTCTCAACAATGTTTATCTTGGACCTTCTATTTTTGTGATCCATTTATTTCTCATTTCAGTGCTTGTCTGGCAAATCTGTTTGTTTCTCCTCATGATGTCCCAGTATACTGCCATCTTCATTGTTGTATAACTGATGATATTAGCAGTTACCCTTTCTTGTATTTCTCCCATTAACTCAGGCAGACAATTTACCTTTCACTCCATGTCTTCAATGCTTTTCCAACTTTAACTGGGATATAAGACTTGCTACCAAAATATGTCAACTGATCAGCCACTTTAATTTTGTCCATCTCCAACGTTAAATATGCTTAATCCGTTACTGATGTCTTTACACAGAATATGTGTCTTCTCATAATGATGTGTAATCTGACCCTTGATGCTCTATTTGCTACAACATCTGCTTTTCTGAGTTAATATTCAGTGAAGTTGAATACTCACACCTGTTGGAATTCTCCACCAAACGATGCTGAACTTCTGGTTAGTAGTTGTGATTAAAATACTGTTAATTTAGTAACATGTTAATAAAACAATGTTACTGTTAATACATGAAGATTAGAATACCCCACGTCTAATAAGCAGTGTTAATGTTAAAATGGTTAGATGCACACAAATACGGAGACTATTGTTCATACACTTTTGCATTGAACACAATGAATAAGATGTACAAAATGCTTGATATCAGTGAATGCTGCTGACCTTGCGTGACTACGTAGGGGTGTGCGCTACATTTTATGAGCTTCACACCACGAGGTTGACTGATTTTGATTTATTGAACTACTAGAAAAAAAGTGTACTCATGTATGGTTTATGGTACCCACAGGAAAACTGTCGTAATTGCAATGAAAGGAATATCTGCAGTATACAAGAGGCAATAACAAGAGAAAGAAGCTATGACAGGAACGAACTATGATTGGAATGACTATGGGACAGAGTACTGACCTCGCATTTAAACCTCTGCCTGTGTTTGGGCCCACCCGTGACAAACTCATAGTTTGGGTTGCCAATTTTATGTTTGCCACACCAGCTGTAGAGAAGTTGTTTAGCATCCATTGCTGGCAAGCCTGATTGTTGAGTCCAGGGCTTAGAATCTGTATTCAACACAAAAAAGAAATCATCAACATCAGAGGTCACACAAAAGCAATACAATTGTCAAGCTGATCTGATCCTGTGTGCTCGATCTGTGTAGCACTGGTCACACAACTGACTCTAGTGCTGCCACTGAACCCATCAGACCAGGTTTAACACTGGCCAGGATCCCTTGGGGCACATCTTCCTGGTGCAGTCAGCTCCCAGGCTGGGTGCCAGGTCTATTCCAAGAATCACTAGACTTCTTTACACATGTCAAGTTTCAGCATTACCTTACACACTTCTTCTTAAAGTCCATGCCGTGTGGCGGTGGTACTTGTGTCGGGTACTTTCAATCAACTCTGACACAGATAATCCTCCATGCCATGATGTCAAACTGTCCAGCATCTGTTATTTCGGTCTCTTTCTGACTCTCCTCCAACTTTCCTAATGTCCCAGTTTACTCTAGTTTTCTCCTTCTCATCACATGATCAAAGAATGTAGATTGTTGCTTTCTGATGTGGGCAATCAGTTCTCTTCATGAGCCAGTTTCTTTGAAGGCATCTTCATTACTCTATCTTTTAAATATTTTCTCCAGGCCGTGCTGGCGTGGTGGTTAATAAATAGGCAGACAGATTGGCTAAATACGCACCACTGGGTGGTAAATTGATACTAGGGATTTTAGTCAAAATTTTTATTTTAGGTTTTTTACTTTTAAACCAAGACAGCTAAATAGAGGTTGAAAAACTGAGTCCAACGGTACCTCAATGAAGTCTGTATGTCATTTCTAAGCGGAGATATTCACATTTCAGTGACAGAAAGTGCCCTCAAAAAATTATAATGGAAAACAGAAACAAGATGGCGGCATGTTCCCAAGTGAAAACTGGACCTAAATTTATCATGTTTAATGTCAATAACTCTCAAGTTTTTTGCTGAACCCCTTAGCAACCATATGTCATTGCTTTCAGGACAGCAAGCTCTAACTAAAGTTGTTGCCTTTTTTAAAAATATGATGTGATGCAAACCTAAATAACATAAAAATGAGTAAATTTATCAGTATTCATTATATACCTTATGAATTAATTATTATTATCCAGTGAGTCTTGCAAGACGTATACTGTAATGTATATATATATATATATATACTTTTGTATCTATTCTTCCTGTTATGATGCATCTTTTTCTATTTGTTGAAAAATGCTTTTTCTCGCACTCTCATTTGTGTGTGTGTGTGTGTGTGTGTGTGTGTTTGTGCATACATCTGACCGAAATTTGCTTTATTCCACTGTTTAAAAAATGTTTAATAGCGAGTGGATTGACTTCATTGCATCGTTACTGATTTTATATGGCTTTGTCTTTCTCCACAATACTGAACAAATAGCGCATGCCGAGAGCTTAGCACAAAGCCTGGATACCGTAGCTCCAGCAACAGCCCTCAGAGGTCTCCGCTAACCAAAAAAATGCATTTTCGAGTCGAACAATGCAGTTGTAAATGAACGTACCACAATCTTCTGAGCGCGAGGTTAACGGCTTGACCACTTTGATACGGAGACCCCTATATTCCTATATTGTTTTATAACCAGGTGAAAATGAGCGCCCCTCTTACTGATTTAACATAATCCCTTTTTCAATCTTTGCGAGTTATTCTTTCATTTTATTGATGATGAGACATTTCACCACATTGTTCCCCTCTTCTTCTCAACTAGTCACTGCTTGATATTTTATTTACTTGTTCAAAATAATCGAAGGTAACCACTCATGCCCGATTTGTGACTCAGTGCTATGTTTTTCATGGAGTAAAATTATTAAATAAGCTCCTTTGTAATTCGCTTTGGATTTATGTTGTGTTTTCATGGAGATGTAATTCGCTTCGGATTTATGTTGTGTTTTCATGGAGCAGCATTTCATAAGGTAAGAGGAAAAATTACATTATATTTTATTAACGTATCTATGTCCTACGTGATCTGTGATTAAATATTATTAATCATAAGTTGTAAGTAAGTGAATTTATTCAGTTGAAAATATTATAATATATTATTAATTTTATTAATCAACTTTCTAAATCATCATCTATAAGTCAATACTACAATTTTAAAACAGTATCAGTCATAAATAATAACTGTTATTTATACTATTTAAGACAATAAATATGCACCACAAAATCATAGTGCAGAAATGTGTGGCAGACATTTTTTTAAATGTCAGTCTGGGTGTGGGGAGTGGGGGTCCACAGGTAAAAAGGCTTTAAACAGGAAATGTTATTCATGCCTAATGATAAGTTATGGCTTAAAAAATGCTATTATGGCTAAAGATTCAAAAAATGATTAAAAAACTTCTATATATTCATTTAACAGTATATTATAAAATGTTTAAACCACTGTCTGCGTCCAAAATGTCAGTCTGGGTGCGGGGAGTGGGGGTCAACAGGTAAAAAGGCTTCAAACAAAAAATGTTGTTCATGTCCAATGATAGGTTATGGCTTAAAAAATGCTATAATGGCTAAAGATTCAAAAAATGATTAAATAACTTCTATATATTCATTTAAAACTATTATTATAAAATGTTTAAACCACTGTCTGTGTCCATTTTTAACGCAAAATACCCTAGAAATAGTCTATGTTAAAAACGTGCTAAAACATTATTTTCAGGTATTTAAAATTATTAAAACTCATGTGAAATTAAAGTTAAAGAAAGGTAAATTATTAATACAAATAAAACTTGCATTATTTTTGAACTGTTTTTATAAATAATTAGATTAATTAATCTGAGATAAACAGTTTGTTTAGGCCATGCGGTAGCCATTTTGAAAAATCGCCGATTCAGCTTTCAAGAAGTGACCAGGAAGAAATTGAAAGTTTAAATTTTGTGATGTACAGATTCCAGCAAAACTGCCCATATTTATGTAAAAATGGACGCAGAATCTAAAAATGACAATTCCTAGTATATATATTCACTTTAAAAAGGAGATATTAAAGAAATTTACTTCCCGCATGGCAAATAGTGAAATTTATTTGGCTGAACAAAGATCGCTATGTAAGTTAGGTGTCAATTGGTTGAGCGACCTTTTCTGAATAACTTTGAGCCCACATATTCGATTCTGAACAGCCAGTATTAAGCGAAGGGATTTCAAAGTAACTAACTGATACGCAAAGGAGCCATTTTTCTTGGACCACCGACTCCATCTTGACTTGTAACTAAGCGATCTCTACTTTCGTTTTTAAGTGGGTCACTTGAATGATCGTAATAGCTATTGATACATGACAGGACAGATGTGGTCAAGTACGTCAAGGCCCTTTGGGAACAACCAACGGAATCAGCAGAGAAAGAAGATTATTATGACCTGGAGAGAACTCAGAATGCGACACCTGGGTGTAACTAGAGGATATGGCCGACTCACTACAGTGTAGTCTTAAGTCTACACTCAGAGAAAAAGCAAGACGGACTTTTAACCAGATTGTGACCAGTACCATCAGTATTGGAACTCTGTGCTGGCTGCTGAAGATGAGGACAGAGCATGCATGAAAATGCTCCGAGTGCTGTGATGTCAATTCTTGACTCAACTCAGACAGACATTCTCATTCTCCGAAAATCAGAAACGAATGTCTAGTGACACTAGTGTGGAAGTGGTCACCGCCATGTTGTGATATAGTTTAGTTGTCTGTCGTGTGTAAGTACGTCGGCCAGACACAGTCAGTCAGTCAGTTGAGTCAGCCTGGATTAAGAAGACATGACAGTACTGACAGCAACCAAGCATCAGCGACTAGATACAATGTTAGTGACAGGACAGCGACTTCGTGGGAACGGATGACAGGACAACAGATATAGCGAAATGATACGTACTTGTGGTCAATGTTTTGTCTGGAAATATCGAATCTCAGTAAACCGACGACTGTCATGGAGGACAGCACAACGGTTTTTTGACTGTCGGGTTTTTTCAAAAACTTGACTACTGTCCGAATTGTTTACGACTTAAATATAACTATTGCCAGACACATTACAGCCAGTGTTGCCACTTTGGATCTTTTATGTCCAAATTTAGATCTTTTTCATTGCATTTAGATACTGATTTTGACGTTTAGATCGTAAACATTTTTCTAGATTCTTTTCATATAGAGTTAGATATTTTATAGATTTTTTTTTTCTTTCATTGTCAATTTAATAATTACTGTGTAAAATATTTACTACAATATTTTTGTTTTGGTCTGGCACGTACATTGTGACAACTTGAACTTTGAACTCTCACTGGGGTCAACGCACAAATATCTGGCAGCCCCAGATACTGATTAATAAAAACGCGAGTAAATCATACTCTTTGTTTCAACCGTATCCTCACTGAGCTGACTTTGCGTTTCTTTTTCATGTGATTTAAAAAAAAATAATTGCTCACCTTCTTATGTGGCTTTCACTTTGAAAAAACCTTTCAACATGCCAAAAGTAAAGTATGTGCAAAAAATGTGTAAAGAGTGGTTGCATGATGACAAAATTAAAAACTGAGGATATGATCAAAGCTTGTTATAAGTACTGCAAGTGTGAAATCAAAGCGAAAATACAAAACTCAAAGAGTCATGCAGAGACTAAAAAAGCATAAAACTGCAGTTTCATTTTAAGATATTACACCGCTGACATCTGTTTTCAGAACTATACCCATCCACCCACCCACACACACACACACACACACACATACACACACACACACACACATACATACACACACATACATTCACACATACATACATACATACATACACACACACATACATACACACATACATACATACATACATACATACATACATACATACATACATACATACATACATACATACATACATACATACATACATACATACATACATACATACATACATACATACATACATACATACATACATACATACATACATACATACATACATACATACATACATACATACATACATACATACATACATACATACATACATACATACATACATACATACATA